ATTGTTTGATTATATTGATAAAATATATAACTGCAGTAATCTAGTCTTGCCAAATATGATTGACTTGCATCTGCTGTATTGGATATATTTGTTTCAGGAACTGTATGACAGGCCTAAAATGCGTCACGAAACTTTGCTTTTGACCTGTAAAAGCTAACCAGAAAACGAAAACACGGCGCCGTTGTTTACAATGAACGCATGTCTAAACAAACATCCTTTTTTTATATACTTAAGTAGAAGTATACAACTGTTTGGCAAACAATATCAAGCAATATTTTAGATTCAGAATCAACATACCATGACATAACAGAAACATATATATTAAATTGTATATATATTCATATTTGCCGCTATTCACGATAAATTTATTTTACCGTCACTGTTTAAAACTACTCTGAACTACTTGTATGCATAGATCATCTTATTTGTAAACAGTAGGCGGACGTATTATATATCTAACAGTTACAAAAGTCTGCTGAAATCTTCTATTTCTTTAATTGTGTAAAACACTCCAAATGTATTTGTCATAATGAACATAGTTTAAAAGTATATTTGTCACATGCAATAATACTGTCCGGTATTATTAGTAATATTTTCAATATCAACCACATATTGTGAGAATCTAGTAAAAAGGAACTGAGTAAAGCAATGGTAAAATCTATCCATATATACAAAATTGTATATTTTTGGATATACCATATATATACAAAATTGTATATTTTTGGATATACCATATATACAAATTGTATATTTTTGGATATACCATATATACAAATTGTATATTTTGTATATATTGGAATTTTCCCTTGTGATACTTTCACTGGCCACTGACAAAGATTAGCAGTATTAGAATAAGAAACTAAATTAAATCCAGTATGACGTGATGATGTGTAAGCATACAGAATACTAAGAGAGCCCAACTTACCTCAGTTTCTGTACCGTACTTGCGCTTACCTCCTTTTGCATCCTGCGTATCATTCAACCTGTCGGATCGACTTGTCCCGGGTAGTTAATAATCTTAAACATCACGACTGTAAAACAAAGTTGCTTACTTACTTACTTTGGAGATTTAACGTGCGCTTTCCGACTGATGTGTATTTCGCACACGTGCCCGGCCAGGCCATTTAATGTGTTTCCGAAAGGTGCGAAAGTGGTGTGTGCAAACCAACAGGGGGCTTTAGGGGTTGCTTATATACAAAAAGTTGCTAGATATATAGAGAACTTAAATTTATGGCGTCTTTTAACTATCACGACAATAATACTGAGTGGTCCAAGTCAGGTTCAGGAGAAGTGTGTTTTCACAGAACGAGCTGCTCGGAGATGCAGCACGTATTCTCGCGGTATGGCAGATTACAACTGTCTCAGATAATCCTGTTTTCCTAAACACACTCATAGATAATAGAAGCATTAAGCAGGGTTGAGGGAGAGGTTTATCCTGAAATGCAAAGTGTCTCACCTTACCTTCTCCAAGTGTTACCCTGTGAGTATGATCCTTGAAAAACCCCACGACGGATTAGGTAAAAGCAAGGGATTTTCCGACCAGACACATACCATGAAAAAAGGGCTTCACTTTAAAGAGTATACTTCACTCCAACACATTTGGTGAAATTTTCTTGAGAAGATACAGTGAAAGTGCTCGACTTTAACAGACCAGTTTTCTTTGAGTTATCGTGCGCCATTATTAAGTGTTATATAGGTAGATATAATACTAGTCATGTTGAGAATGTAGAGGAATGTGAAGGGCTTCACTTTGAACTCATGGTTTTCTTTAAATGCGATAAACTGTGACATTATAAAGTGGTACATAGGTAGATATAACACTAATCTTAAGATGTAAACACATTTGAAGATAGATCTGTGTGTTTAAAGTTGCTTTTGACAGCCCGGGCCAAGTCGGACCCAACACTTCTGACAGAGATTTTCTTAAGAAAATACAGTAAAAATGCTTGACTTTGAGCCCCTTGTTTTCTTTAAATACGATGTACCGTGACATTATAAAGTGGTATATAGGAAGATATAACACTAATCCAAAGAAGTTAACACATTTGAAGATACATCTGGTGTGTTTAAAGTTGATTTTGACCGCCCGGGCCAAGTCGGACCCAACACAAGCCAAACACTTCTGATAGAGACTATGTTGAGAATGTAGAGGGAAAAGGGCTTCACTTTGAGCCCCTTGTTTTCTTTAAATGCGATCAACTGTGACGTTATAAAGTGGTATATAGGTAGATATAATACTAATCTATAGATGTGAATCCATTTGATAATACATCTGTGAGGTTTAAGATGATTTAGACAGCCCGGGCCAAGTCGGACCCAACACTTCTGACAGAGATTTTCTTACGAAAATACAGTAGAAATGCTTCACTTTGAGCCCCTTCTTTTCTTTAAATACGATGTACCGTGACATTTTAAAGTGGTATATAGGTAGATTAAACACTAATCTATAGATGTAAACACATTTGAAGATACGTCTGTGTGTTTAAAGTTGATTTTGACCGCCCGGGCCAAGTCGGACCCAACACAAGCCAAACACTTCTGATAGAGACTATGTTGAGAATGTAGAGGGAAAAGGGCTTCACTTTGAGCCCCTTGTTTTCTTTAATTACAGCGATCTGAGACACTATAAAGTGGTATTTAGGTAGATATAATACTAATCTATAGATGTGAATCCATTTGATAATACATCTGTGAGGTTTAAGATGATTTAGACAGCCCGGGCCAAGTCGGACCCAACACTTCTGACAGAGATTTTCTTATGAAAATACAGTAGAAATGCTTCACTTTGAGCCCCTTCTTTTCTTTAAATACGATGTACCGTGACATTTTAAAGTGGTATATAGGTAGATTAAACACTAATCTATAGATGTAAACACATTTGAAGATACGCCTGTGTGTTTAAAGTTGATTTTGACCGCCCGGGCCAAGTCGGACCCAACACAAGCCAAACACTTCTGATAGAGACTATGTTGAGAATGTAGAGGGAAAAGGGCTTCACTTTGAGCCCCTTCTCTTCTTTAAATACGATGTACCGTGACATTATAAAGTAGTAAATAGATAGATATACTACAGCCCGGGCCAAGTCGGACCCAACACAAGCCAAACACTTCTTATAGAGACTATGTTGAGAATGTAGAGGAAAACAGTTATTAACACGTGTGGCACGGGTGGCCCAGTCGTGTAAGGCGCCGCGATTCGCTGGGCAGAGTTGCGTCCCTTAGGCACGCCAGAAACCTATGATTGTGGGTTCGAAACTCGAGTGACTAGACTTACATCTAGTCTCTGAAATAATAATATTTTACAGAGACTTTCTTCCTTAAGGAATATTCTTCTATATAAGGATTATTCTTTTACGACAGTCACATGGGGGTCTTAGATGTGAACTGTGAAGGAATCGGAAACAGAGTCCATGTACAATATATTTACCCCGCATTAATTCTCCAAGACGCAAGGAATTACTTCCCCTCATCGTTGAACACCCAAAAACAAGGATGTTACGTTTCCAAGATTCTCATCCTAAAACTGATGTAGAGATGTGAAAACATTTTTGTACAACTCGCCTTTAAAACTGTGCTGACCCCCGCTGTAGCCTGTGTCTACACCTACCATATCCGTCTGTCAATAAAGCTGGATCGTGTGTTGACCTGTCACACTATCGCCATAGAAACCCTTCTAATACAGTACTATGAAGAGGGTGTGTATAATATCACCAAGTGACATTTGCCATAACGAACCCCTTTCTAAATTATGTTTTTGTATGTGGAAGTGTTGTTTAATGTTTTTGTTTTAGCCAAATTGCCAGTACTCATTTCCTCATTTATACGTAACAACGTATGCTGCTTCATAAACACTTATGCCCAGTGTTGTTTGCAATTAACATTCGAAAGAGCTCGTGTTTTTACACAAGGTTGAGCCTTGAAATCTCTTGTCTCACGTACAAGCCGAGAGGGTTTCTATTTTTAGCGTAGCATCTGGTTTAACGACATTCTTGCACAAGCACAATGTACAAACCGCATGCAAAGGTTATCCAAGTGCATAAGTGAATTGAAACTGTTACATCGCATTGGCAATATTACAGAAACGAAGAGACGACAGAAAGCAATATGAAATAAAAAGTAAATATCTTCAAGGCATGATATCCACCGGCATGTGATTCACATGAAACGACAAGTATGTCCAAAACAGTAAACAGACATATTCATATTAATGAGTGAGTGAGTATGATTTGACGAGATTCTGAGCAATATTCCAGCAATATCACGGCGGAGGACACTAGAAATGGGCATCAGACATTGTACCCATGTCGGGAATCGAACCCGGGTTTTCCGCGAACGCTTTAACCACTAGACTCCCCGACCGCCCCTCATATCATAGAGAAATATTAAGGCATCATACTATGAACATCCGTGTTCAGATAAGATCAATGACAAGCATAAGGAATACACTTGTTTATCCTTGTTTGTTTATTTATTTGTTTGTTTGTTTGTTGTTTAACAACGCACTCAGCAATATTACAGCTTTATGACGGCGGTCTGTAAATAAACGCATCTGGCCCAGACAATCAAGTGATTGACATCAAGAGCATCGAGCCACGCAATTGGGATCGATGACATGCATCAACCAAGTCAGCGAGCCTGACCACCCGATCCCGTTAGTCGCCCTTTACGACAAGCATAGTCACCTTTTATGTGTTACACATCGCGTCGTGAACAAATATCTCGGTACGCACCAAGACGGAGTTTGGCGTCTGTTCGAGTCACGCACGCACGCACGCACGCACGCACGCACGCACGCACGCACGCATACATACATTCCTATGAAGATTTATAAACAAACTATTGGAGAATTCATATTTCACACATCGCAATTGAACCCACGTTACACATTGCAATACCAGCCCTGTACATTGTGCCCTGGAGCGCAACATACATGTACCTTGCACACCGACGGCGGGGACAATACTAAATGTAAAATCTCATGTGTCACATATTCAGTCACGTGACATGTTGCGCAATAGAGGCTATACACCACCAGGGCCGCATTTGCCTGTTCTTTGTTTCTGAACTAGCACATGTTTGCACGTTTTAGACCGGAATAGTTTTCTTCAACCAGTAAACAGGTCCGGTTCTGGGAAAACCTTGATCCCGCTGTACACCACACGTGACGTGGAGGACATAGCATCAGACCAGGGGCAGAGTTCGGCAGTACATCAACATGGCGGCTACCACAGCGGTTCTCGTCATCGTGATGGCTAGTTACCTGGCAACAGCCGAGGACATAAATGGTTAGTGCGTACTCTCTCTCTCTCTCTCTCTCTCTCTCTCTCTCTCTCTCTCTCTCTCTCTTCTGTCCTGTAGTCAACGCTCACAGTTTACTATGATGTAGATTGTTTTCACTTTCATGTTTTGGGGGATGTGAACAAGGGAGAAGTTTTTCATGTTTGTTTTTGGCAAGAAATAAGGAATATTTGGGAGAATTGCTTCTAATGGTCTCTTTGAAAGGTATCGAGGTGCTTCATTGCCATTCTAAGACAACGCATGAACACACAATGCCATTTAGAAAGTGGTCATACGTAACAAATATTTATTTGGGATAACACACACACACAGCCTGGCGATTAGGTGACTCATTCTGGCAGTGAGGGTTCGTATCCCCCCCCCCCCCCCCCCACACACACACACACACACCACACACACATCCACACACCCACACAAAAAGTAGGAGAATATATCCATATATATGCAACAAACAATTATTTTAAAAAATAAACCCTAAAATGGCGCGGCCTACAGAAGTCACGAGGGACATGATATATGTAATCTTCTAAAGAAATATAGTCTCCACTCCCTACCATTTCAGTTTTGAAAAAAAGGTCCAGAGTATAAAAGCGACAAAACACTTTCAATATTCCGACTGTATCAGGAGAATGTGTTTACTTGTACGAGGGCTGTCTGATACATTCTGCGCCCCACACGGAGGGAATTGCGTAATAGTGTACTCTTTTGTTGTGGATAGTACATGATGTCATAGATGTTTATCAACAATACCTTGACAAATCAGTTAAATAAACAGATTGCTGTTGACCTTTGGAAAGTGAACAAACTTGGAAACGTGTATTGATCAAGTACTTCCAGAAAAGGGGTTAACGCCGACAGATATGAGAACAACACAAGAGGAGGATGCTCCTACCAATGCCACTGTAAAGAGGTGGGCAGGAGAGCTTAAGTTGTTGCAACGGTCTGTGCCTATGTACGAAACCCGGGTTTACCACTTCCAGTCCAAACAACAATCAAAACAGTGGAAGCAGTTGACATCACCGCCACCAAAGAAGGCAAAGAATGTCCATCAGCTGAAAAGGTTATTACCTCTGTGTTCTGGGATGCAGAGGGTGGTATCATGGCGTCATCATCTTCAAAGGGCAAGGCAATAAACGGAGCATAGAAAGCTGCACTTGTGAGGCAATTGCGGGTTTAAGACTACGAGACGGGGGAAGCTGGGACAATCTATGCTCGTCCATCAGGACAATGCACCAGTGCACAAGTCAATCATTGCCCTGGATACAATCTAGGAGTGTTTCTTTGAACTCCTTCAGCATTCACCGTTATTCTACAAACACGAAGAAAGCTCTCACCGGAACCCATTTCGACTCGACCGATGACGTCATAGCAGCTGTGGGAAGGGCTCCTACTATACTGGGATAAAGTCCCCCAACATCGTTGGCAAAAAATGTATCAATGTGGAAGGAGATTGTGTTAAAAAATAAATAATTTAAATGTCTTTAGGTCAAGCCTTTTTATTATTTCAATCGCCTCTGGTATACATGTATTGGTTTAACTATGTTCCCCTTTTCAGAAAAGACAAAACAAATAATGACATATCAATAACAGAATATTACGAAGACGAACAGACAATTATATTGACTATTGTAATGTAGAAACTGCATATAAGAAACATACTGAGCACGTGAAAGTTCCTTAATACGTTTCATATTTCTTATTGTTGTGTGCAATTTTTTATTTACTCTGAAGTCAGCAATATTCCAGCTTTTTTGCTGGTGGCGTACATAGTTAAGTCTGAGCCAGACAAGTCGGTGGTTAAAGTACTAGCATGGTCGAGGTCCAACTGCTTCGGCTGCTACAGTATTAAATCAGCCACCCAATGCCAATACAAGTCTGTGGTAACTGCGACATATTCTGGATAGCCACTGGGTAGCAATAAGTGAATATTTAAATAGCATCATAGTGTGTATCGGAAAATAACATCCGGACTCAAAGATAGGAAAAGACGTGTGCAGCTTCAATGTCTCGCTCAAACATTTATGAAAACCTTTTAAATTATATCACGCTGGGACTGGCTGTAATATCCGTACATCCGGGTCGTTAAAGTGTTTATGAGGCTGAACGCTTGTGGCACTTGTAAACTGATATTGTCAAGACCGCGAGGTTGTCCCGACCTCGTGTGTGTGTCCTATGTCACTAGATATATTCAACATTCGTCAGCCGACGCGAAAACAAGGAAGTTCTGCTGGCAGTCACGGGGCTTCGCGGACATTTTTTCCCTTGTTCTGCATTGCGTAATTCATGTTTTGGATGAAATGTGCCTTGATTAAACAAAGCCTACACATCGAAAGTAAACCCGCTACAATACGTCAATAGTAAATTGTTTGGACACAAGAAGCCATGGTCAAACGCAAAATTTAAACTCAGAATTTGAATCTGCACTGTTGACCTAAGATTGAAAATACCGATGTCTTTGCGGACATTTCATGTGATTATCTGCCATTGCGTGAGTAAAGTGAGTGAGCGAGTTTCGTTTTACGCCGCTTTTAGCAATATACCAGCCATATCATGGCGGGGTACACCAGAAATGGGCTTCACACATTGTACCCATGTCGGGAATCGAACCCCGCTCTTCGGCGGAAGTAAAGCGAATGAGAAATTGGTAAAGTCACGTTACCATGAGAAAGTATGCTGCACGACAGTGCATCTTGCAACACTTGGCTAAAAATTGCCTTCGACAATAATGCAACCATCAGTTCAAATCTCATTGTTCGTGGTCAAAGTTTAAGCTAACAAATTCCAAATCAAGCTATAGCATTCTGCAGGATAGCAGATCACAATGATATGCAGCCAGACGGTTCGGGGTGTCCCAAAAGGTTATGGAACCTTTGGATTCGGTTCAAACAGACAATTCCGTGAGTGATCTTCCTCGATCAGTTCGCCCAAATGCCTCCACAAGAAAGGATGACTAGTACCAGTAGACGTCGACTGCGTTTGCAGGACAAGACATCATCTGCAATGGGAGCATCACAGGTGGTCATAAGTTCTCTTTTCGGATGAATCCCGTTTCAATTTCCTGTTAAAAGATAGACGGAGAAGGGGTTATTGACGCCAAGGTGAACGTTACATTGACACTGCAGTTAACGCTGGAGCACAGCACACACCCCCAGCGTCAGATCGGGATGCTAATTCGCGGGATGCAGAGGCGATGTAGAGCTTGCATCTTGGCCAGAGGTGGTCATACCCGATGTTATGTTTGTGGTACCACCACCTGTTGTTTGGCATATTGTCCGTTCTGGATAAACTGTCTTTTGCCTTTTGATTTTCGAGCCTGTGACTTTGTCACATTGTGTACAGTTAATATCATGTGTTATGTTCATCCTATTCCCAGACTGTGATCATAAACCCTTAGTTGTGTCACTGAAACGTGTTTTGTGTCATTAAAGATCCATCTAGTCAGTTGGCCACCAGCGGAAAAGAGGCTTAGTTTAGATTTTCGTTCCCACATTTTCCTGTATACCTTAAACCTTTTCTATTGCATAAAGGAGGTATCTGTACACAATTTTCATTGGGTAGTAAGCTTGCAAGTGTGGGCGTGAATTTTCAGGGGGGTCAAAATTGCATAAATTGAAGGGAAAATGCATAATTTGACAAAATTGGCTGTAACATATTTATTAAGTTATTAAACTATCCAAATTATGTCTTTGATTACAGGTAATGTGTTCAGTTATCTGAAATTGGCAAACATTTTGTTTCATTTAACTGTTATTCTAATTCTCAGTGGAAACATTGATAAAAATATGGGTTTTTTTACTTCATTTTCAAATCTTGTGAGTAGGTAAAACACTAATTCCATTGAATTGTGACAATAAAACCACTATAACTGGTTATTAAGATTTGCCTGAACCATGGTTGTTCACCATGAGTAACTATACTTGAGTCTAAACATTGGACGCCAAGTACAAATCCAGTATTGTTTTCAAACAGTGTGTTTTCAGTGTGGTTGGATGTGACACCGAATAGAAAGACTATCTCCACATGCATGTTGCGGTCCCAAGATAATCAGTATAATTAGGCACCCGGCTTTGCATTTATTGGAACAGAAGGGCGCACATGTCACGCACTACAACACCGTACACTATTATGTAAAACCACGTTGGTCACACCTCGAGGCTGCCCTGACATCGTCGTGAATATGATGACAAATGGTGTTTAGATTAACACAGAATTTGCTAACTGACTCACCGCGTTAGTGTTCGTGAAGTCTCTAATGTTGTTATATACAATGGGAGCAGGTTACATAAAAAATACATAACATGTCTTATGGTTTGTATGATGTGATGTGGTGTGTGGTGTTGTTTGGTGGTGTGATGGTGTGGTGTTGTGTAGTGTAGTGGTGTGATGTGTGGTGTGTGATGGTGTGATGTGTGGTGTGTGATGGTGTGATGTGTGGTGTGTGATGGTGTGATGTGTGGTGTGTGATGGTGTGTAGTGTAGTGGTGTGTTGTATGATTGATGTGGTGTGGTGTTGTTTAGTGGTGTGGTGTAGTGGTGGTGTGTAGTGTAGTGGTGTGTTGTGTGGTGGTGTGATGTGTGGTGTGTGATGGTGTGGTGTTGTTTGGTGGTGTGGTGTAGTGGTGGTGTGTAGTGTAGTGGTGTGTTGTGTGGTGGTGTGATGTGTGGTGTGTGATGGTGTGGTGTTGTTTGGTGGTGTGGTGTAGTGGTGGTGTGTAGTGTAGTGGTGTGTTGTGTGGTGGTGTGATGTGTGGTGTGTGATGGTTTGGTGTTGTTTGGTGGTGTGGTGTAGTGGTGGTGTGGTGTAGTGGTGGTGTGGTGTAGTGGTGGTGTGGTGTAGTGGTGGTGTGTAGTGTAGTGGTGTGTTGTGTGGTGGTGTGATGTGTGGTGTGTGATGGTGTGGTGTTGTTTGGTGGTGTGGTGTAGTGGTGGTATGTAGTGTAGTGGTGTGTTGTGTGGTGGTGTGATGTGTGGTGTGTGATGGTGTGGTGTTGTTTGGTGGTGTGGTGTAGTGGTTGTGTGTAGTGTAGTGGTGTGTTGTGTGGTGGTGTGATGTGTGGTGTGTGATGGTGTGGTGTTGTTTGGTGGTGTGGTGTAGTGGTGGTGTGTAGTGTAGTGGTGTGTTGTGTGGTGGTGTGATGTGTGGTGTGTGATGGTGTGGTGTTGTTTGGTGGTGTGGTGTAGTGGTGGTGTGTAGTGTAGTGGTGTGTTGTGTGGTGGTGTGATGTGTGGTGTGTGATGGTGTGGTGTTGTTTGGTGGTGTGGTGTAGTGGTGGTGTGTAGTGTAGTGGTGTGTTGTGTGGTGGTGTGATGTGTGGTGTGTGATGGTGTGGTGTTGTTTGGTGGTGTGGTGTAGTGGTGGTGTGTAGTGTAGTGGTGTGTTGTGTGGTGGTGTGATGTGTGGTGTGTGATGGTGTGGTGTTGTTTGGTGGTGTGGTGTAGTGGTGGTGTGGTGTAGTGGTGGTGTGTAGTGTAGTGGTGTGTTGTGTGGTGGTGTGATGTGTTGTATGGTGTGGTATGTGATGGTATGGTATTGTCTATATTGCCTTGTGTGATGTAGGTAGTTGTTATCTGGTGTTATGTGATGTGGTGTTGGCTGGCGTGGTGTGGTCTGGGCTGGTGTGGTGCTGTGTTGTATGGTGTGGGCCGGTGTGGTGTGTTGTGGTGCTGTGTTCTATGATGTTGGCTGGCGTGGTGTGGTCTGGGCTGGTGTGGTGCTGTGTTGTATGGTGTGGGCCGGTGTGGTGTGTTGTGGACTGCTGTGGTGTGGTGTGGTGTGGTGTGGACTGCTGTGGTGTGGTGTGTTGTGGACTGCTGTGGTGTGGTGTGGTATGGGTGGGCTGGTGTGGTCTGGTGTGGTGCTGTGTTCTTTGGTGTGGGCTGGCGTTGTGTGGTCTGGGCTGGTGTGGTGCTGTGTTGTATGGTGTGGGCCGGTGTGGTGTGTTGTGGACTGCTGTGATGTGGTGTGTTGTGGACTGCTGTGGTGTGGTGTAGGCGTGGTATGGTGTGGGCTGGTGTGGTCTGGTGTGGTGCTGTATTGTATTGTGTGGTGTTGTGTTGTATGGTGTGAGCTGCTGTTGTGTGATGTGGGCTGGTGTGGTGCTGTGTTGTATGGTGTGGGTTGGTGTGGTGCTCTGTTGTATGGTGTGGTGCTGTGTTGTATGGTGTGGGCTGGTGTGGTGTGGTGTTTTGTGGTGTGGTGTGGTGTGGTGTGGTGTGGTGTGGTGTGGTGTGGTGTGGTGATGTAGTGTGGTGGCGTGGTATGTGATGGTGTGATGGTGTGGTATTGTATGGTGGTGTGCGGTGTGGTGATATGGTGTGGTGTGGTGTGGTGTGGTGTGGTGTTGTGTGGTGTGGTGTGGTGGTGTTGTGTTTTGTGGTGTGGTGTGGTGGCCTGGTGTGGTGGCCTGGTGTGGTGATGTGGTGTGGTGATGTAGTGTGGTGATGTGGTGTGGTGATGTTGTGTGGTGATGTAGTGTGGTGATGTGGTGTGGTGATGTAGTGTGGTGGCGTGGTGTGTGATGGTGTAGTGTGGTGTTGTGTGGTGTGGCGTGACGTGGTGTGGTGTGGTGTGGTGTGGTGTGGTGTGGTGTGGTGTGGTGTGGTGTGGTGTGGTGATGTGGTGTGGTGTGGTGTAGTGGTGTGGTGTGGTGTGGTGTGGTGTGATGTGGTGTGGTGTGGTGTGGTGTGGTGTGGTGTGGTGTGGCGTGGTGTGGTGTGTAGGTGTGGTGTGGTGTGGTGTGGTGTAGTGTAGTGTGGTGTGGTGTGGTGTGGTGTGGTGTGGTGTGGCGTGGTGTGGTGTGGTGTGGTGTGGTGTGATATGGTGTGGTGTGGTGTGTAGGTGTGGTGTAGTGTGTGATGTGGTGTGGTGTGGTGTGGTGTGGTGATGTAGTGTGGTGGTGTGGTGTGTGATCGTGTGATGGTGTGGTATTGTATGGTGGTGTGTGGTGCGGTGTGGTGATGTGGTGTGATGTGGTGTAGTGGTGTGGTGTGGTGTGGTGTGGTGTGGTGTGGTGATGTGGTGTGGCGTGGTGTAGTGGTGTGGTGTGGTGTGGTGTTGTGTGGTGTTGTGTTAAATGGTGTGGTGTGGTGTGGTGGCGTGGTGTGTGATGGTGTGGTATTGAATGGTGGTGTGTGGTGCGGTTTGGTGATGTGGTGTGGTGTGGTGTGGTGTGGTGTAGTGGTGGTGTGTAGTGTAGTGGTGTGTTGTGTGGTGGTGTGATGTGTGGTGTGTGATGGTGTGGTGTTGTTTGGTGGTGTGGTGTAGTGGTTGTGTGTAGTGTAGTGGTGTGTGGTGTGGTGTGTGTGGTGTGGTGTGTCGTGGTGTGGTGTGGTTTAGTGATGTAGTGTGTTGGCGTGGTGTGATGTGGTGTGGTGTGGTGTTGTGTGGTGGCCTGGTGTGGTGGCCTGGTGTGGTTTGGTGTGGTGATGTGGTGTGGTGTGGTATTGTATGGTGGTGTGTTGTGGTTTGCGGCTGTGGCTGATCCATGTTACCCGTTAGCAGATGCTTCCAACCATGACCCTCATTCAATGTGAACAGCGTCTCACCTCCTCGATCATAGTGTCTCAGTAGCTGTATATGCATTTGTTTCAGCGCGGTTCTGTGTAACCTCCGAACCAGCCATGACTAAATGTGCGGACATGAAGAGTGCCTTTGCTGACGCTGGACTAGGCAATATCGGCTGTGTGAAGGTGAGTGAGTGAGTGAGTGAGTGAGTGAGTGAGTGAGTGAGTGAGTGAAAATTTCATGATGCATGATACCTGTGCATATCAAGTATGAAAACGGTGCCATGGCAAAATAAAGTCGTCAGTCAACAACAATACACCGTAAAACATATGAAGTATGGGGCACGCCCACGTCACAATAATCCTGAACACGACGGTAGCCACGTTTATGCGGCGTTACCGCGTGACTGGCAGGAAGACCCTGCGAGACAACAGCCGCTGGGGACCGCTACCTGCTGCGACTTCGCTTTGACGTACAATCCGTCGAATGATAGCGGAGTCTGTCGTCCCTGAACAGAACCTGTGCTTTTTTTCTGATGAGAACATGTCCCAGCTGCTCCGAGACGACGTCAGGACACATCTACCGACGTCGCCACAGAATTCGACGCTGCCCCAATCCTCGAATGGGCAGAGATCTGATTGTACAGGCACTGAGAGTGGACATTTGCACTGATTCATTGACATTCATTTTGTGATGATTTTCTTGATAGTGCTATGTGAAATCGCATATTTTCCACTTGTGCCGTTTGTGAACAGGCGTTGACATTTGATTAGAGTTCTTGTGTATACAGTGTAACACTTTAGAAATACAACGTTTGCTCAGCTTGTTTGTGGCAACTTTTATCGTTTCGATGCTATGAAACTGTGGAGGTTATCCTACGAAAAGCTAGATTGTACAATTTATCAAGTACCCAACAGGAAGCTGTTTGATGCCATTGTAACACCTGTATTAACATACGGTTCAGATATTTGGGGCTTTGAAATCTTAAGAATGATTGAAAATGTTCACTTGACCTTCATAAGAAAATTACTTCGTGCAAAGAACGCGCACCTCTATATATGATGTATGGTGAAAGTGGAAGAAAACCTTCAGATATTGATGTGTACTCCACAGTGATCACATACCGGGCTAAATGTTTAAGTAAAAATACATTTTTTTTACTTTAAGACAATTCAAACTTTCAAACCACCGACTACCAGTGGAGCTTGGTCGGTGGCACCATATAGCTCTGTGTTTCTTCTGCCAATCAGATGATATTGTATCACTATTTATTTGTTTTTGCGAATATTTTGTAGATACACATGTATAATAGAGAAATTATTCCCATTATACTGTCTGAAGAACCCTTCTATGTTCACAATGATAAATGAATTTAAAAGTAAAAATACTATTTTATTAAAGAAGTTTTTTTTAGATTTTGCTGTCAAATAATAAATAAGTGTAAGTATAATTAACTCTGCCGCCATATGTCTGTATACTGATCTCTGATAACTGCCGCCATATGTCTGTATACTGATCTCTGATAACTGCCGCCGTATGTCTGTATACTGATCTCTGATAACTGCCGCCAAATGTCTGTATACTGATCTCTGATAACTGCCGCCATATGTCTGTATACTGATCTCTGATAACTGCCGCCGTATGTCTGTATACTGATCTCTGATAACTGCCGCCGTATGTCTGTATACTGATCTCTGATAACTGCCGCCATATGTCTGTATACTGATCTCTGATAACTGCCGCCGTATGTCTGTATACTGATCTCTGATAACTGCCGCCGTATGTCTGTATACTGATCTCTGATAACTGCCGCCATGTGTCTGTATACTGATCTCTGATAACTGCCGCCATATGTCTGTATACTGATCTCTGATAACTGCCGCCGTATGTCTGTATACTGATCTCTGATAACTGCCGCCGTATGTCTGTATACTGATCTCTGATAACTGCCGCCATATGTCTGTATACTGATCTCTGCCGCCATATGTCTGTATACTGATCTCTGATAACTGCCGCCATATGTCTGTATACTGATCTCTGATAACTGCCGCCGTATGTCTGTATACTGATCTCTGATAACTGCCGCCGTATGTCTGTATACTGATCTCTGATAACTGCCGCCGTATGTCTGTATACTGATCTCTGATAACTGCCGCCATGTGTCTGTATACTGATCTCTGATAACTGCCGCCGTATGTCTGTAAACTGATCTCTGATAACTGCCGCCATATGTCTGTATACTGATCTCTGATAACTGCCGCCATATGTCTGTATACTGATCTCTGATAACTGCCGCCATGTGTCTGTATACTGATCTCTGATAACTGCCGCCATATGTCTGTATACTGATCTCTGATAACTGCCGCCGTATGTCTGTATACTGATCTCTGATAACTGCCGCCATATGTCTGTATACTGATCTCTGATAACTGCCGCCGTATGTCTGTATACTGATCTCTGATAACTGCCGCCATATGTCTGTATACTGATCTCTGATAACTGCCGCCATATGTCTGTATACTGATCTCTAATAACTGCCGCCGTATGTCTGTATACTGATCTCTGATAACTGCCGCCATATGTCTGTATACTCATCTCTGATAACTGCCGCCATATGTCTGTATACTGATCTCTGATAACTGCCGCCATATGTCTGTATACTGATCTCTGATAACTGCCGCCATATGTCTGTATACTGATCTCTGATAACTGCCGCCGTATGTCTGTATACTGATCTCTGATAACTGCCGCCGTATGTCTGTATACTGATCTCTGATAACTGCCGCCATATGTCTGTATACTGATCTCTGATAACTGCCGCCATGTGTCTGTATACTGATCTCTGATAACTGCCGCCGTATGTCTGTATACTGATCTCTGATAACTGCCGCCGTATGTCTGTATACTGATCTCTGATAACTGCCGCCATGTGTCTGTATACTGATCTCTGATAACTGCCGCCGTATGTCTGTATGCTGATCTCTGATAACTGCCGCCATATGTCTGTATACTGATCTCTGATAACTGCCGCCATATGTCTGTATACTGATCTCTGATAACTGCCGCCATATGTCTGTATGCTGATCTCTGATAACTGCCGCCGTATGTCTGTATACTGATCTCTGATGACTGCCGCCGTATGTCTGTATACTGATCTCTGACAACTGCCGCCATGTGTCTGTATGCTGATCTCTGATAACTGCCGCCATATGTCTGTATACTGATCTCTGATAACTGCCGCCATATGTCTGAATGCTGATCTCTGATAACTGCCGCCATGTGTCTGTATACTGATCTCTGATAACTGCCGCCATATGTCTGTATACTGATCTCTGATAACTGCCGCCGTATGTCTGTATACTGATCTCTGATAACTGCCGCCGTATGTCTGTATACTGATCTCTGATAACTGCCGCCATGTGTCTGTATACTGATCTCTGATAACTGCCGCCATATGTCTGTATACTGATCTCTGATAACTGCCGCCGTATGTCTGTATACTGATCTCTGATAACTGCCGCCATGTGTCTGTATACTGATCTCTGATAACTGACGCCATGTGTCTGTATACTGATCTCTGATAACTGCCGCCATATGTCTGTATGCTGATCTCTGATAACTGCCGCCGTATGTCTGTATACTGATCTCTGATAACTGCCGCCATATGTCTGTATACTGATCTCTGATAACTGCCGCCATATGTCTGTATACTGACCTCTGATAACTGCCGCCGTATGTCTGTATACTGATCTCTGATAACTGCCGCCATATGTCTGTATACTGATCTCTGATAACTGCCGCCATATGTCTGTATACTGATCTCTGATAACTGCCGCCATATGTCTGTATACTGATCTCTGATAACTGCCGCCGTATGTCTGTATACTGATCTCTGATAACTGCCGCCGTATGTCTGTATACTGATCTCTGATAACTGCCGCCGTATATCTGTACACTGATCTCTGATAACTGACGCCATATGTCTGTATACTGATCTCTGATAACTGCCGCCATGTGTCTGTATACTGATCTCTGATAACTGCCGCCGTATGTCTGTATACTGATCTCTGATAACTGCCGCCGTATGTCTGTATACTGATCTCTGATAACTGCCGCCATGTGTCTGTATACTGATCTCTGATAACTGACGCCATGTGTCTGTATACTGATCTCTGATAACTGCCGCCGTATGTCTGTATACTGATCTCTGATAACTGCCGCCGTATGTCTGTATACTGATCTCTGATAACTGCCGCCATATGTCTGTATACTGATCTCTGACAACTGACGCCATGTGTCTGTATACTGATCTCTGACAACTGCCGCCGTTTGTCTGTATACTGATCTCTGATAACTGCCGCCGTATGTCTGTATACTGATCTCTGATAACTGCCGCCATATGTCTGTATACTGATCTCTGATAACTGCCGCCATATGTCTGTATACTGACCTCTGATAACTGCCGCCGTATGTCTGTATACTGATCTCTGATAACTGCCGCCATATGTCTGTATACTGATCTCTGATAACTGCCGCCATATGTCTGTATACTGATCTCTGATAACTGCCGCCATATGTCTGTATACTGATCTCTGATAACTGCCGCCGTATGTCTGTATACTGATCTCTGATAACTGCCGCCGTATGTCTGTATGCTGATCTCTGATAACTGCCGCCGTATATCTGTATACTGATCTCTGATAACTGACGCCATATGTCTGTATACTGATCTCTGATAACTGCCGCCATATGTCTGTATACTGATCTCTGATAACTGCCGCCATATGTCTGTATACTGATCTCTGATAACTGCCGCCATATGTCTGTATGCTGATCTCTGATAACTGCCGCCGTATGTCTGTATACTGATCTCTGATGACTGCCGCCGTATGTCTGTATACTGATCTCTGACAACTGCCGCCATGTGTCTGTATGCTGATCTCTGATAACTGCCGCCATATGTCTGTATACTGATCTCTGATAACTGCCGCCATATGTCTGAATGCTGATCTCTGATAACTGCCGCCATGTGTCTGTATACTGATCTCTGATAACTGCCGCCATATGTCTGTATACTGATCTCTGATAACTGCCGCCGTATGTCTGTATACTGATCTCTGATAACTGCCGCCGTATGTCTGTATACTGATCTCTGATAACTGCCGCCATGTGTCTGTATACTGATCTCTGATAACTGCCGCCATATGTCTGTATACTGATCTCTGATAACTGCCGCCGTATGTCTGTATACTGATCTCTGATAACTGCCGCCATGTGTCTGTATACTGATCTCTGATAACTGACGCCATGTGTCTGTATACTGATCTCTGATAACTGCCGCCATATGTCTGTATGCTGATCTCTGATAACTGCCGCCGTATGTCTGTATACTGATCTCTGATAACTGCCGCCATATGTCTGTATACTGATCTCTGATAACTGCCGCCATATGTCTGTATACTGACCTCTGATAACTGCCGCCGTATGTCTGTATACTGATCTCTGATAACTGCCGCCATATGTCTGTATGCTGATCTCTGATAACTGCCGCCATATGTCTGTATACTGATCTCTGATAACTGCCGCCATATGTCTGTATACTGATCTCTGATAACTGCCGCCGTATGTCTGTATACTGATCTCTGATAACTGCCGCCGTATGTCTGTATACTGATCTCTGATAACTGCCGCCGTATATCTGTACACTGATCTCTGATAACTGACGCCATATGTCTGTATACTGATCTCTGATAACTGCCGCCATGTGTCTGTATACTGATCTCTGATAACTGCCGCCGTATGTCTGTATACTGATCTCTGATAACTGCCGCCGTATGTCTGTATACTGATCTCTGATAACTGCCGCCATGTGTCTGTATACTGATCTCTGATAACTGACGCCATGTGTCTGTATACTGATCTCTGATAACTGCCGCCGTATGTCTGTATACTGATCTCTGATAACTGCCGCCGTATGTCTGTATACTGATCTCTGATAACTGCCGCCATATGTCTGTATACTGATCTCTGACAACTGACGCCATGTGTCTGTATACTGATCTCTGACAACTGCCGCCGTTTGTCTGTATACTGATCTCTGATAACTGCCGCCGTATGTCTGTATACTGATCTCTGATAACTGCCGCCATATGTCTGTATACTGATCTCTGATAACTGCCGCCATATGTCTGTATACTGACCTCTGATAACTGCCGCCGTATGTCTGTATACTGATCTCTGATAACTGCCGCCATATGTCTGTATACTGATCTCTGATAACTGCCGCCATATGTCTGTATACTGATCTCTGATAACTGCCGCCATATGTCTGTATACTGATCTCTGATAACTGCCGCCGTATGTCTGTATACTGATCTCTGATAACTGCCGCCGTATGTCTGTATGCTGATCTCTGATAACTGCCGCCGTATATCTGTATACTGATCTCTGATAACTGACGCCATATGTCTGTATACTGATCTCTGATAACTGCCGCCATATGTCTGTATACTGATCTCTGATAACTGCCGCCATATGTCTGTATACTGATCTCTGATAACTGCCGCCATATGTCTGTATGCTGATCTCTGATAACTGCCGCCGTATGTCTGTATACTGATCTCTGATGACTGCCGCCGTATGTCTGTATACTGATCTCTGACAACTGCCGCCATGTGTCTGTATGCTGATCTCTGATAACTGCCGCCATATGTCTGTATACTGATCTCTGATAACTGCCGCCATATGTCTGAATGCTGATCTCTGATAACTGCCGCCATGTGTCTGTATACTGATCTCTGATAACTGCCGCCATATGTCTGTATACTGATCTCTGATAACTGCCGCCGTATGTCTGTATACTGATCTCTGATAACTGCCGCCGTATGTCTGTATACTGATCTCTGATAACTGCCGCCATGTGTCTGTATACTGATCTCTGATAACTGCCGCCATATGTCTGTATACTGATCTCTGATAACTGCCGCCGTATGTCTGTATACTGATCTCTGATAACTGCCGCCATGTGTCTGTATACTGATCTCTGATAACTGACGCCATGTGTCTGTATACTGATCTCTGATAACTGCCGCCATATGTCTGTATGCTGATCTCTGATAACTGCCGCCGTATGTCTGTATACTGATCTCTGATAACTGCCGCCATATGTCTGTATACTGATCTCTGATAACTGCCGCCATATGTATGTATACTGACCTCTGATAACTGCCGCCGTATGTCTGTATACTGATCTCTGATAACTGCCGCCATATGTCTGTATACTGATCTCTGATAACTGCCGCCATATGTCTGTATACTGATCTCTGATAACTGCCGCCATATGTCTGTATACTGATCTCTGATAACTGCCGCCGTATGTCTGTATACTGATCTCTGATAACTGCCGCCGTATATCTGTACACTGATCTCTGATAACTGACGCCATATGTCTGTATACTGATCTCTGATAACTGCCGCCATGTGTCTGTATACTGATCTCTGATAACTGCCGCCGTATGTCTGTATACTGATCTCTGATAACTGCCGCCATATGTCTGTATACTGATCTCTGACAACTGACGCCATGTGTCTGTATACTGATCTCTGATAACTGCCGCCATGTGTCTGTATACTGATCTCTGATAACTGACGCCATGTGTCTGTATACTGATCTCTGATAACTGCCGCCGTATGTCTGTATACTGATCTCTGATAACTGCCGCCGTATGTCTGTATACTGATCTCTGATAACTGCCGCCATATGTCTGTATACTGATCTCTGACAACTGACGCCATGTGTCTGTATACTGATCTCTGACAACTGCCGCCGTTTGTCTGTATACTGATCTCTGATAACTGCCGCCGTATGTCTGTATACTGATCTCTGATAACTGCCGCCATATGTCTGTATACTGATCTCTGATAACTGCCGCCATATGTCTGTATACTGACCTCTGATAACTGCCGCCGTATGTCTGTATACTGATCTCTGATAACTGCCGCCATATGTCTGTATACTGATCTCTGATAACTGCCGCCATATGTCTGTATACTGATCTCTGATAACTGCCGCCATATGTCTGTATACTGATCTCTGATAACTGCCGCCGTATGTCTGTATACTGATCTCTGATAACTGCCGCCGTATGTCTGTATACTGATCTCTGATAACTGCCGCCGTATATCTGTATACTGATCTCTGATAACTGACGCCATATGTCTGTATACTGATCTCTGATAACTGCCGCCATATGTCTGTATACTGACCTCTGATAACTGCCGCCGTATGTCTGTATACTGATCTCTGATAACTGCCGCCATATGTCTGTATACTGATCTCTGATAACTGCCGCCATATGTCTGTATACTGATCTCTGATAACTGCCGCCATATGTCTGTATACTGATCTCTGATAACTGCCGCCGTATGTCTGTATATTGATCTCTGATAACTGCCGCCGTATGTCTGTATACTGATCTCTGATAACTGCCGCCATATGTCTGTATACTGATCTCTGACAACTGACGCCATGTGTCTGTATACTGATCTCTGACAACTGCCGCCGTATGTCTGTATACTGATCTCTGATAACTGCCGCCATGTGTCTGTATACTGATCTCTGATAACTGCCGCCATGTGTCTGTATACTGATCTCTGATAACTGCCGCCATGTGTCTGTATACTGATCTCTGATAACTGCCGCCATGTGTCTGTATACTGATCTCTGCCGCCATGTGTCTGTATACTGATCCCTGATAACTGCCGCCGTATGTCTGTATACTGATCTCTGATAACTGCCGCCATGTGTCTGTATACTGATCTCTGATAACTGCCGCCGTATGTCTGTATACTGATCTCTGATAACTGCCGCCATATGTCTGTATACTGATCTCTGATAACTGCCGCCATGTGTCTGTATACTGATCTCTGCCGCCATGTGTCTGTATACTGATCTCTGATAACTACCTCATTATGTTATGCTATGTGGCCTTGAGTGAATAAAGTTCTGTTCTGAAAAACTGATCGGTATACTTTACTTTTGTCCTGAATTTTATCAGGACCACTCAGTCGTGAAGAAAACCTTTGACCATAGATATTGATTTCACGCGTTCAACTCAACACGTTTCTTTATGAGGGTGGAAAACATATCATGTGTGCAAACCTGATGTATCTATGCACACAAATACTCAAAAAAAATTATTGATGAAATACCGCGCTTCTTTAAAGTTCAGTTACGTATTGACGTATGAGTAGATACCACCTACCTATATATAACACAGGTAATAAAGAACTCTAAACGTGTCTCTCTTGGTGACCCAACGGAGGGGCTGGATATTGGGACTTGATGTTTTTAAAATCAATAGTTCATTTACATTGAATCAAGCAATTAAATATTACCGGTGCCCCAATTTGACCGCAAGTTATCAAACCTCAACAGGCAGATGACCGGTACCAGTGTATGAAGAAGGTGAAGGACGGGCAGGCGGAGGTCATGCGCGTCGACGACACAGATATATACGCAGCTGGGAAATATTTTGGATTGGTCCCGATCCTCAAGGAATCCCACAGTCTGAGTAAGTAGTTGAGAGAGAGAGAGAGAGAGAGAGGGGGGGGGGGAGAGAGAGAGAGAGAGAGAGACCAATATTCGGGTTCACACTAACCATTTACGTCCTCGGCTGCTGCCAGGTAACAGAGAAAGAGTTAGAGACTAAAAGAGAGACAGAGATGGGAGGGTGTGTGTGTGTGTGTGTGTGTGTGTGTGTGTGTGTGTGTGTGTGTGTGTGTGTGTGTGTGTGTGTGTGTGTGTGTGTGTGTGTGTGTGTGTGTGTGTGTGTGTGTGTGTGTGTGTGTGTGTGTGTGTGTGTGTGAAAAAAGATATTACCTTCAAGAACAAAACAATACATTGTTGAAATGTTCTTTTCTTACATAAATTCCGGTTCATAGTTTTAAATAAAAACATATCTGGTTTTGTAGCTGTTGCTGTAAATATATCTTTACAAAATCCTCGATACAATATCCCAGCCACTTGTCGAAAGTGACGAGACTTTGGTGTACATTTCAGGTGCCAATGATGGGTTGTTTCTGTACAAGGCTGTGATCGTCATCCGCAAGGACAGCCGTATCACGTCACTGGAGGGGCTGCGGCAGAGGAAGTCGTGTCACACGGGGGTGGGGCGGACGGTGGGGTGGACGGTGCCGGTAGCCAACCTGCAAGCAAAAAAGCTCATCACAATCCAAGACTGTGACAACACTGTCAAAAACGTGGCCAACTACTTCCGCGAGAGTTGCGCCCCAGGCGCGTTCGACACGAAAAATAATCTTTATGGTAGGTACTCCGTGGGGATTCTAGGGACGGTAATGTCCCAAATACCAACGCTTGTCGCTAGACCCGACTAAGAGAATTGGTTGTTTACCATGGGTGAACTGGTTGATTGTGTGTCATCGTACATCCTTGGTGCGGATTGAATGGTTATAATGTGTGAGCTGGTTGATTGTGTGTCATCGTACATCCCGAGTGCGGATTGAATGGTTATAATGTGTGAGCTGGTTGATTGTGTGTCATCGTACATCCTTGGTGTGGATTGAATGGTTATAATGTGTGAGCTGGTTGATTGTGTGTCATCGTGCATCCTTGGCGTGGATTGAGTGGTTATAATGTGTGAGCTGGTTGATTGTGTGTCATCGTACATCCTTGGTGCGGATTGAATGGTTATAATGTGTGAGCTGGTTGATTGTGTGTCATCGTACATCCTTGGCGTGGATTGAGTGGTTATAATGTGTGAGCTGGTTGATTGTGTGTCATCGTGCATCCTTGGTGCGGATTGAGTGGTTATAATGTGTGAGCTGGTTGATTGTGTGTCATCGTACATCCTTGGCGTGGATTGAGTGGTTATAATGTGTGAGCTGGTTGATTGTGTGTCATCGTCCATCCTTGGCGTGGATTGAATGGTTATAATGTGTGAGCTGGTTGATTGTGTGTCATCGTGCATCCTTGGCGTGGATTGAATGGTTATAATGTGTGAGCTGGTTGATTGTGTGTCATCGTGCATCCTTGGTGCGGATTGAGTGGTTATAATGTGTGAGCTGGTTGATTGTGTGTCATCGTACATCCTTGGCGTGGATTGAGTGGTTATAATGTGTGAGCTGGTTGATTGTGTGTCATCGTCCATCCTTGGCGTGGATTGAATGGTTATAATGTGTGAGCTGGTTGATTGTGTGTCATCGTGCATCCTTGGCGTGGATTGAATGGTTATAATGTGTGAGCTGGTTGATTGTGTGTCATTGTGCATCCTTGGCGTGGATTGAGTGGTTATAATGTGTGAGCTGGTTGATTGTGTGTCATCGTGCATCCTTGGCGTGGATTGAGTGGTTATAATGTGTGAGCTGGTTGATTGTGTGTCATCGTGCATCCTTGGCGTGGATTGAATGGTTATAATGTGTGAGCTGGTTGATTGTGTGTCATTGTGCATCCTTGGCGTGGATTGAGTGGTTATAATGTGTGAGCTGGTTGATTGTGTGTCATCGTGCATCCTTGGCGTGGATTGAGTGGTTATAATGTGTGAGCTGGTTGATTGTGTGTCATCGTCCATCCTTGGCGTGGATTGAGCTGTTATAATGTGTGAGCTTGTTGATTGTGTGTCATCGTGCATCCTTGGCGTGGATTGAGTGGTAATAATGTGTGAGCTGGTTGATTGTATGTCATCGTGCATCCTTGGTGTGTGTGTGTGTGTGTGTGTGTGTGTGTGTGTGTGTGTGTGTGTGTGTGTGTGTGTGTGTGTGTGTGTGTGTGTGTGTGTGTGTGTGTGTGTGTGTGTGTGTCGAGCGCCAGGCAGGGTAACAATTAGTACCATTTTTTAGGGTGTGGTAAGACGCGCCGGAGATCGACGCCCCAAACTTCCACTCTCTGGGCAGGCTCTCTACCAGTAAACCACGGAGCCGTTAGAATAACGTTAATGAGTACATGTATCAGACACTAGATCTCCAGGACTAGTATTTCGGTAAACCTACACCAACCCCTGGGTTTATGAATGATAGGAAACGTCCGCTGGTGATTATGCATGTTGCTGTTCATTGAAGACGTTGTATCATAATAGTATGTGGTATACTAGTATTTATTTGTATATATTTTGTTTGGATAATGTTTCATAAAAAAACAAACAAATTAAACTTATATGTTGCTGCATTTAACCCTGTTCGTACTTGCTTCTGTAATGGCTTGGTCTCGCGGTCACAGCTCTCGCTCGTCACGCTGGAGGCCAGGGTTTGATTCCCCAAATGGTTGTAATGTGTTTAGTTAGTGTTCCCCGCTCTGATATTGCTGGAATATTACAAAAGGCGTAAAACCATACTCACTCACTCACTCACTTACGGTACATACTGGTCGTATCAAACATACTCTATGTCGATTGAACCTGTACATTTCCCCCCGCAGGAGACAACCCTGACAAAGTGTGTAAGATATGCGGCAACCCTCGGTGCCCGTCTAACGACACCTTCAGTGGCTACACAGGCGCCGTACAGTGTCTAGTCCAGAACAGAGGCGAAGTAGCTTTCGCCAAACACTCCACCATCGATGAACTTGCTCGCGCGAGCACAAGTATCAGGAAGGATGATTTCCGTCTTCTTTGTCCCGACGGTCGGGTTGTACTTGTTGACGAGTGGGAGTCCTGCTCCTGGGCAACGAGACCTACTGACGCCATTGTGACGTCGCCAACGTTACCCCGGGCAACGACAGACAAACTACGGGACATCTTTGAAAATGGCGCCAGACGGTTTAATGGATCTGGATCGTTCAAAATGTTTACTTCTACCGGAGGAACTGACTTGTTGTTTACAGATGGAACAAAGAGACTGCTGGGAGTAAGCGAAACTAACTACAAAGATTATTTAGGTAAGTGATTAAGCATGGTGGAGTGTACCCACTCTTAATATTTTTTGGTACACGGAAGGCTAACGTCATGCAAGACAAGACAAGGCAATTTATTCAACATATATGCAGAGGCCACTGTCCCCAAATACAGAAATATAGAGGGTAGTTTTCTTACCGCTGCAATTTATAGATACACGGAGAAAGTACTTGGGGTGTAGTCAGTATTTGTCTTTGTACGAGGTACACAAATATACACACATACAGCACAGACACACATATCATTTGTATTTTTCTAGACAATTCAGAATTATAAATGGTATTAAACTTATTTATTTCTTTTTTGCAGATTATATAGGAAAATGTGTGTTTTCAGTGTTCATTATGTTCATGAATGTATTTACTGCTCTGTTACCCCGGACATTCCCCCACATATTGTTTATGCAACACACACAACACACACATGAATTTCATCTTCCACGTACTTAGTGTCAACAGTCACATATGTGTTGAACATGCTATTTCCAGGTTAAATAGTCAAACTGCCTAAAACAAGTTTGTGTTAACCTCTCGCCCACAAGATAGTTCCGAATGTGAAGCACTCGTTGGTGCCTTCTCTGATGATTTACTAACCTTCAACACATTATCAACATCGGGGTTAGACAAGAATGTATTTTGTCTCCTACATTATTTAATATACACCTCAATGATCTTCCACATTATAACAAATCTCATAGTAATAATATAACACTTTATGGTTTATGCATTTGTCATTTGTTGTATGTCGATGCCTTAATACTATTTGCCGATTCAAAAACAAACAACAAGTGTTACTTGATGGTCACAGTGTATTTTGTGCAACAAATAACCTAAAGATTAATGGTGACAACACAAATGATGTAGTGTTTGGCAAATCAAGTAAAATTAAAGAAATGAATACCTGGACGGTGTGTGATGCAAAAATACTAGTTACGGATAGATATAACTACTAAAAAAATACTTTTGAAGCAAATTGTAAACTTCTAAATAGTGCTAAACGTCTCCTGAAAATGTAAAATGGCCTACCACACGCTTCAGTCTACCATATTTTAACCATACCTATTGCTCTTGCTTGCAAATTAATCGAAACATTAATCGAGCCAGTGAAATAATTAATACTGAAATCTCGGGTCCTCCTGAACAACTGTGATTTATTCATCATTGAGAAACTGCAGCACAGATTTTGTAAATCCATGTTAGTCAAGTCCAGCAGAACTAGGATTCTATCCTCTCATCTACACAGTACAAATAAAAATAAATGAGTTCCTATCACCATGCATCTTCCCGAGGCAAGGGTGTGAACTGACCATAAAAGTATATTCAGTCCAATCAAAATCGCGCAACAACAAGGATTATTTCAACGATTTCGGTCGACTGACGGATTTGCAAAGCATGTGTACCGCCAACTGGGCGTCGGCAGATATCTTGCAATCCTTTAATCAAGGTGCTCAAGTGAGTTCATGTACTTCGCGAGGTGAGGCCCGTTTTATTACAATATTGTTCCTGTTAAATAATCATAACAAGCAGAGACACTGCTTACCCATGCACGACCAACAACAGTCGTAGTGAATACTGAATAGATAGCACTGCTCATTAACCTCACATTCATGGGTGACCTCTGCCGTCATGGCAGTTCTCAAAGTCCCTTTTCTATGTTTCGTGGTGCATTCCGCATCTCCAATACAATAACCCTCTCCTGTCTTTATCTTGCTGATTGTATACATGAAACCACAATCACATCAGTAACTGCAACCTCTTGACGTTGGAAGAGATATTGAATGTGAGGCACATAACTTCAACAAATTATGTATCTAAATTAGAATATATATACATTAACGTTTTCATTACACAGATTAAGGTAAGGTGAAGGAAGTTTAGTCATCAGTTCTAAAAGTTCTAAAGTTTTGGACACGCAGCTAACACCGGTGAGCGCAGGTCAGTTGTTCACACCGCCCCTCAATCATAAACCCTTAAATAAACACAAGCAAAACAACAAAAAACTTGATAATGCACCGCAATTCACCTTCATGCGAATACCTAAAATTAAAAATTCACCTTTATACGAAGACCCAAATACAACACATGGCTTCAGACATGGTAGAGGCCTTGGATAACGTTAGCGCTTGGGGGACAAGATGGAGGTGAAGGAGAGCAGCGCTCTGATTGGTTAAATGGCTCCCGGTCGGAACTGTGTGTCACTTGGCGCCGCCATTTTGTTAGAAACAATTGCAAGTGATAGTAAGGGTGGAATCTGATTGGACAATAGGAGAGACATAGACGGGATGTAACTCGTAATAGCCATTGGTTGCGCAACGATCGAGCCAGTAAAGTCAAGCCTAGTTCGGCAAGGGTGGAAATTGGACTTTTATAGTAAGTTAACGCCCTTGCCTCGGAAAAATGTCCAAAAATGTAATACTTCAGAATACTTTAGCTGAAAGTAAATCTTTGGTGAATAAACCAATAGGATGGGTATACCATCTCTCTCTATTCTGAGAAAAACAAAAATTATAAGTACATTTATAAGATTTCCTATGACCAACATTCAAAGAGACAATAGAGTCAAAATGCGACCCCCTCTTCAAGGAACCTCTTCAAGATGCTAATTAACAACTAAAGGCACAAGAAACAGACTTAGGGTAGTTAAAAATGAAATTAAATTAGAACCTCAGTCACCGTAAAGTAAGAAAATATCGAGTGCACTTTGCTAAACTAAGATTAAGTAACTATAAATTAACTATAGAACTTGGAAGACATACACAACCAACCACCCCACTGCATGTTCATCAACTAATGATGAAACATATATGGTCCTTGGAAAATTGTCCACACAAAAAGTAAATGTCATAATAATGAAAACACATTATTTCTCTTCATCCTCTCAAGGAATGAAGCCATCAACATCAATTGCAAAAGTTTTCATATCTATAATTTCAATAAATACCCATTGATCATAATCAACCTATTTTATGTATATCATCAAATCTGTAATACTGATTTTTTCTTTAAATGATCCCTTTGTGTTTACATGTTTGTCTGTATATATGTATGTATGAAGCATAATGTTTTGGCATCTAAATATTGCATCTGGAATGTTTTCTGCAATAAATATTATCGTATCTTATCTATCTTATCTTATACCAAGTACATACATGGTGAATAGTACAATATACAATGACAGTATGTGGACGAAAGGGTGTTTATGATTTTGTTTCTAATTATTAGAGAGGTAAAAGATTAATATGTGCATTGTTTGCAAATGCTTAAATATTACCAAAGTAAAGTAGAGTACACACGCAGAAGGAGACCAGGCGATGTATAGACTAGACAAGTACAATTACGCAAACAAAAGGTTCAGGTGTGAACAAAATATCACTTTGTTATTTTACGAGCCCTATATAAGGTATGATAGAGTGTATTCATTCCTATCTGCTATTGAGTGAGTACTGGCGCGTTTAGCAATATTCCAGCAATATCACGGTTGGGAACACCAGAAATGGGCTTCAGACTATGTGTTATTTGTTAATGTTAGTTATCTGTTAAACTACCTCGTGAATCAGGATACTTAGTAATCTCCATCCTCATTGTCTGCATGTGATCCCGGGCCATGTGGGCTATGTGGGTGGGTAAAGCACTGGGGAACACTTTGTTTGTTGATAGTAACATTATATATTCTGTGGCTAGTTCCACACTTAGAGTGATGTCTGGAGAGTGGGAGGCGTCCTACAATTACTGGATGACACTTTCACTGTTTCTGTCATATTCTACAAGATAGGCACTTTCCTTGCATTTGGTCTGGGACTAGGACATTTTGAATAATCTGAGACTTACATTATATATTTAGAAATGTAGGCTGGCACCAAACGTAATTGTGCATATGTTCCTATCAAAATATCTCTGGTCCATACCCCTTTTCAACAGCAGGAATATGTACTTCCGGATTACGGCGTAAACAACATGCAAACATAACCGCGTCGGACAAACCAGTGGTTGATAGTATGAGCACCAAGCAATGTCTCACGACAACAACCCTATATTAGTCGGCTCAGAAAAGTTTAAGTCTCCTGCCGCCCTGGACTTAAGGCAATATGAATGGTTCCGTTATATCACGGTGTTTCATCGTAAACCCCATAATGGGGGCAGTGTTATGATGCAGACAAACCAAAGATCATGTTTTGGATTCGTACACACGATCATCGTATCCTGGCACACTAGGCGCCACAATTCGCGGCGTCTAACATGGTTGGTGAATACCTAACCCCGACTTCACACATTGTGGTACATGCAGCCTCGGCTTTACATGTCTTTACATGACTTTACATGTTTCCAGGGGATGGCTACCTGAACACGCTGGAGAACTACGTCAAGTGCAACTTCACCAACAGGTGGTGTGTTGTCTCTGACGCGGAAGCAAACAAATGTTTACAAATGAGTGCAGCGTTCGCCGCCGGGCGGATCAGCAGCCAGCTGACGTGTGTGCGCGCCGAGTCACACAGAGAATGTATGGAGAAGATTGAAGCGGGGGATGCTGACCTCGTCACCTTGGATGGAGGAGATGTGTACACGGGCGGGAAGTAAGGACACTTATTTTTTCTCTTATGCTAGACGATTTTCTGCTTTCCATTTAACTTGGGTCGACATAACAGTAATACAACTTGACAAAATATTGTATGCTAAAGGTGAGACTCAAATAAACTGTCTGTCTGTCTGTCTGCTTGACTAGAGAATCTGTTACGTAGAGATATGTTCCAGGTCCCTTCATTTCTAGTTATCAGGGATTCACTGTTTACTGTTTATTGCAGAATGTTTTATATTTTTGCCGCAACATGTATATATATTTAGTTCAGAGAAGGCTCTGATCTTATACTTTTCATAAGATATTTGCAGTGGCATGAGATTACAATCACTATATCTGATCAAATATTATTTTAGAAGTTAATGATTACATTTTTATTGAATTTGTGGTTGTTTCGTATAATCTTTAAGAGTTCAGGGATGGAGTGTTTTTTTATTTTAACTTAAATTTTTATTGTTGCTTTTGTCTCAAGTCCGATCTGTAAACCGAAAAATAAACAGTGCGGCCTTACCAGGATTTTGCCATATATTTCTTTACAACGTCAAGTTGTTCCCGACCACAAATGTGTTGCTCTGAAATGTTTTAACGTGTTATATGGGCTGGATTCAAGTCACTGAATGTCATTTGATTCTGCAGGCCAGAAGTAAGTCGACATTGCGTCTTCATTATGCTTGATAATTATTAAAAAAATATAACCCACTGTCAACGTAATACGCTTGATACTTTTACTCACCGACCTTTGAACTGCTAGCTAGTCTTTGAAACCACTTGAATTATGAAGCTGGGGATTTGTGTGTACATGGTGGTAGCAATGGGTGTCTGCAATCACCCTGAATCCATTTACTTGGTACTGGAATGTCAAGAGCATGCCGGGCTCGGTCAAAGCAAGACTTCAGTTAGATCCGCTATCTGTCGTAGGTATCCTAAAGCCAAGAGATGCAATAGCGAAGGCCATCTGACTCTATTTCTGAGAGATGGACAGCTAATCGACCGAACAGCAAAACATAAAAAAGAAATCATGTCAATACTTGTATACGAAAATAGAAATCTTATCAATTCAAAAAGAGAAATGTTATCAATGCTAAAACTCTGCGGCCTCTTAGCCAATTAAAGCAACAACGAAAGAAGTGTATCTTTCGCCATGGATTCCTAGACAGTTTACGGGTCGTTTTGTTACTGGGTGGTCATGTCCAAAGTTAGTTTCGCTGATAAGTAATTATGGAGCAATTGTGACATAGGACTGACTTACTTCTGATGTTACTGGGCTAAACCTCGGATGTAATATCGTAAACAACCTTTTAGTAGTAATCCGTGAATAACCAATTTTCCAGGGAATGCCTAGTTTAGGTCAAGTACCTTTTTATTGCCGTGAGTCTAGTCCAAGCGACTTTAGTCTATAAGGCTATATTGTCATTCAGGCGTATTGGTGTGTCTTAAGACCACCTCCGTGGTCTAGTGGTAGAGTGTCCCCCCGGAGAGAGGAAGGTCCGGGGTACGATCCCCGGCCGCGTATACCAAAATACGTTAAAAGATGGTACTTGTTGTTACCCTGTCTTCCGCTCGGCATGAAGGGGTTAAAACAAGGACAGGTCGGCTCGGAGTCAGTATACTGGTATACTGGTGTCTGAGTGGGGTATTCATGTTAAACTGCGACTGTTGGCTAGAACTACAAAACTGGCATTATTCTGGACTAGTACAAGCACACACATGCATGCACGTCGCTATATAAGTCCAGTAATCTTGAGTGCGATGTTAAACCCCATTTCACCTCACTTCACCTCATACAGAGTTAAAAGACCTTTGATCAATGTTTAAACACGCCGAATAGTGCGAGCTATACTTTGGATGGTACCCTGTCTGGAGAGCAGCATGCTACTGGGGAGGGGTGGGAGGGGGGGGGGGGGGGGGTGTCCTCGGTACCACATGCTTCTCACGTAGTCTACGACAACGAAGCTCAGGTAGTTATAGTAGTTGACCTTGGTGTGTCAGTGACTCATGATATCGACCACTGGTTTTCCCAACCCTCGTGAAAACAATACGGTGACTTACTTCCCTCGCAAGCGCAGCATAACATTTGGACTATGTGCTTTAACACGAGGGCTACGGAAAACACGCAATTCCCAAAATATTTTTGTCGCCTACAAAACCCACTAACCCTTGTTACAGACTCCTCGAATTCCTGTAAGATTTCTGATGCGGCGTTTAGTTATATTCACTCACTCCTTGTTTCAGATACCACAAGCTGGTTCCACTGATGGCGGAGAACTACGAGGGCACAAGTGAAGCGAGCTACTGGGCTGTAGCCGTCACCAAGAAGAGCAACACTGGGGTCAGCTTTACTAACCTGAAAGGTAACCAGTAGTTATCTCCTGAACATAGAACATGCGTTTATCCATCTTGATCAGAGATTGTACGGAGCTTCGGGAAATACTGTAGCCCTTACCTCGCGAGTGGAAGGCCCGGTCAATGTTTCCACTATGAATGGTGAGGACTCTTCTGTAGCCATGCCCCTTGTTTCTGACTGTCCCACAGTGTCGAGGGAGTTGTAGCGGTCATCATGTCAATCTGTAGTGTCAGTCATGGTCAACATGTTTCTGTTGCATGAAATCAAAACTTGTACAATGTGGACTATGACATATTGTATCATAAAAAATATTTTATTTTGAAAAATCAAATGGACTAGGCATAAGTGACACACTTACGAGACTTACGATTTGTTTTGGATTCGCGATTTATTAAAAGTACATTTTCCTGACCATGTTACATTTGCTTCCATGTTAAATTTAATCTTGTGAGTCTGCAATGTCGATATGTCCAAGCAAAAGCTGACGATTTAAAAAATTATTATTACAAATTGAATACACTATTCTGATAAACATTTAGAGCCTGAAAAAAATATAAATACTATGATTTCGGATATGATCTGTGATAGCACAGATGGATGCGATCTCATGTTTCACATCGCCCGGGCAATTACCGTTCTGTATGTGAAAGGAAATTCATACATACCCATGTTTCCTTTATCCAGAATTGTGTTAATCCGGATTATTTCAATCGGAACGATACCGTCCGGATTAACGAGGTTTGGCTGTATTGTGTTGTGTGTATTTCAGGGAAGACCTCCTGCCACACAGGCATCGTGAAGACGTCGGGCTGGAATATTCCCATAGGAACCTTGATTGAGAAGGGGGCAATAAAGTCTTCGTCCACACGGTGTGGCATCATTGAGGAGGTGGGGAAATTCTTCTCCAAGAGTTGTGTCCCCGGGGCACTGGACACCAAATACAACCCAACCGGAAACAACCCCAGTAATCTCTGTGAACTGTGCGGGGGGAAACAGTTCTGTCAGAGAGACAGTTCCAACAAGTACTACAGCTACAAGGGGGCGTTTCGGTGCTTAGTTGAAAAAAATGCTGACGTTGCTTTTGTAAAACACTCCACGGTCCAAAGTTACACGGATGGTAAACTAAACGAGGACTGGGCGAAAACTCTTAACTCCGCGGACTTCGAGCTTCTTTGCCCTGACGGGTCTCGGGCGTCGGTGGATAAATGGAGGCAGTGCAACCTAGCTAAAGTTCCCTCTCACACTGTCGTCACAAGTGGCACGAAGACGGCGTCAGAACGACGTCACTACTCCACCATATTAAGGAAAGGTCAGCTCAAGTTTGGGAAGAACAGTGATGTTTTTCAAATGTTCGCGACATATGAAGGGAAGGACGCCATCTTTGATGACTCAACCACATTCCTGTCTGTTGTACCGCAAGACAAGCAAGAATACACCATGTGGCTCGGTAATGAGTACGTTGGGGCTACGGCTGCTTTGGACAAGACAGTGTGTACCAGCGGTGGGCGCGGACTTGATATAGTCCATACCGTTATGGCTGTGCTCGTGTTGGTTAACCTCATGTAGTCCATACCGTTATGGCTGTGCTCGTGTTGGCTAACCTCATGTAGTCCATACCGTTATGGCTGTGCTCGTGTTGGTTAACCTCATGTAGTCCATACCGTTATGGCTGTGCTCGTGTTGGTTAACCTCATGTAGTCCATACCGTTATGGCTGTGCTCGTGTTGGTTAACCTCATGTAGTCCATACCGGTATGTCTGTGCTCGTGTTGGTTAACCTCATATAGTCCACACCGTTATCGGCATGTACCTAATACCACAAGTCACATGAGGCACTTCCTGAAACTATTTTATAACGGTTGGCTGTGTCATAATTATACAAATGACAATACTGCGACCTTCGGAAATAAATCATTTTGCTCGGTTTCAGATAATAATAATTTACTTGTGAACTCTTGGAGTAAATGCTTTGTGTAATACTGTAACACATTTTAACCATTTCTTACCATGACATGCAAATATCAACGAAAAGGGCAACCTTTTTATCACATTTGATAAGTCAATGTAATCCATACGTCGAGGCAAAGTCCAACCTTCGTTTTGATATGCGTTTGAGATGCTGTTACAGCAAACGTTCTATTCAAGACCTTTAAGACATAATATATAACCGTTAGGAATTGAATACCGCAATGAAGATGTTTTGTGACTTGTTGACAAAGGACGTCGGTCTATTGTTTCAATAAATGCATATGCCCTAAAGAATAATCAGTTTTGTGTATCAAAGTGTCACCTGTATTGATAAAACATGATCGATCTTTAGAAATCCCCATCAAATGATATGTTGTTAGTTTACCGATAAGACATCAAAATGATGAATCAGAGCAGTCTGTCTGCCACTATAATATTCTATGGGTATTGTAAACGCCTCTTGAACAGTATTTCATTTATGTTACGGCGTGTCAGGTTATGGGGGAACATCACAAAGGGAAATAAATGGTGGACCTTTTTTTGTATTTCGTGATCCTCACCAGCACGGGTTTGTGCTGACCGACTAAGGATTACCACCAGGACGAGTCTGTTTTTCGAACCCTAATATTGTAAACAATCCTCAGCAGAATAGCTTGTGAATGTACTCGGTTGCGTATTGTTTTTGTAGATTCGGTGCGCTTGCAATTGTTATATATATTTGACAAGTTTTGTATATGATTGCCTAGTATTGAATATACAGAAATTTTATCTCTACTGCTCAGAGATATGGGGCTTTCACCAGTCTCAGGATGTCATCAATGTACATGATAGATGCTGTAAGAATATTTTACAATATGGGAGATTTGTCCCCAATATAGTTGATCGTGGTGAGCTTGGACGTTATTCTCCTAAAGTCAATTGTCAAATATTAGCTCCGACTTGTTTCTCAAAAAACTAATATAATCATTAGCCATGCTTATTCATATCAATACAATCTGGCAGAAAAAGGAATAAATTGCTAGGCACTAAAAGTAAAACAACTTCTTTATTCATATGGTTTTGGCCATGTTTGGAATAGTCAAGGAGTAAATCATATTGGTTTTATTGATAACTTTAAAACAAGATGTATTGATATAGATAACCAACAATAGTCTAGCAGTTTAAGAACTTAAAAACTCAAAACTTTCTTTTTATTCTTGTATTAAGCAATATAATGTATTTGAAATATATCTAGATTGTATTCCAGTAAGTGCCTATCGTATTGCTTTGAGTAAATTTAGATGTTATGGTCATACTTTACTAATTGAAAATGGAAGGAAGTACAACATACCTAGAGCGTAGAGACTATGTCCATTTTGTGTAAGACCTGAAGTGGAATCTGAATATCATTTTATCCATATTATGACAGAGACGTAATGGTCTACCTTATTATTTTTACACAAATGTATATTTTGATAAATTTGTAACACTCTGTACATCTAAAACCCCATGCATAATTAATGCTTTAGCTAAATTTATATTTCTTGCTTTTAAAAAGCGTAATAACTTTCTCATTGACGCTGAAATTGTCTACTTCTGATATCATGTATTGTATAATGGGCTGGTGGCCCCCTTACTGAAATAAAGCTCTCTCTTTCTCTCCTAGTATTGAATGTATTTCCAATTTAACGTAGAAGAAAATGACACGAATCAGGCAATCATTTTGAAGTCTTAGAATAAGGTTTGCAAATGGGGGGGGGGCGCCAATAGTGAAGTTAGACATTTGTCGGTTCGGTGAAAACCCACGAGCACGGATGCTGACAAATCAGGACACAACTGGAATTAATATCTTGGGCAAATTGCGCCCCATATATAGTGTTCAGGAATAGTTGTACACCTATCAAACCGAATAGGAATCCTGCTGAGTAAAACCCCATTAATTCGAAGTCCATTGACTATACTGACTTATCCGTAGCTCGAGGCAAGCGGATGCAATACAATAGGGATTCTGGAGGGGACTTCACCTTACATCGTCTGATCGATGAAGATGGAGGTCGTGTTAACGAGGTTGCACTCTATACAGCTGTAACAATTGTTTCGTATTTAAAAAAAGACACCATGTTACTGTATTATTTAATATGTTACTTTTAATGGAGATACGTACAGCTCTATTTGTAAAGATCTAAAATAAATTCAATAGTACTATGTTCAAAGAAAACCAATATTTTGAACGAAACTGAAAGAATCAGATGTGTGTTTATTCAGAAATCATTTAGGTTAACGATTCGTTTTGTCCTCGTACCGTCGACCCAAGATTGAAGATTTCTGCGTTTGCTTAATGTCGATGCATAAACATTGAAACCTAGTTTGTCCGGAATCCTTATAAAACGGACTTCTATTTTTAAAGGGATGTCACTTGGCACCCACGATTCGGTTAACTGGACTTTCTTTTTAAAGGACAGTTACTAGGTATCCAAGATTCGGTTATCCGGACTTCTATCCTTAAAGGGTTGTTACTAGGTTTTCAAGATTCGGCTATCCGGACTTCTATCCTTAAATGGTTGTTACTAGGTATCCATGATTCGGCTATCCGGACTTCTATCCTTAAATGGTTGTTACTAGGTATCCAAGATTCGGTTATCCGGACTTCTATCCTTAAAGGGTTGTTACTAGATATCCAAGATTCGGTTATCCGGACTTCTATCATTAAATGGTTGTAACTAGGTATCCAAGATTCGGCTATCCGGACTTCTATCATTAAATGGTTGTTACCAGGTATCCAAGATTCGGTTGTTCGGGGTTCTATCCTTAAAGGGTTGTTACTAGGTTTCCAAGATTCGGCTATCCGGACTTCTATCCTTTAAGGTTTGTTAGTAGGTATCCAAGATTCGGTTATCCGGACTTCTATCCTTAAAGGGTTGTTACTAGATATCCAACATTCGGTTATCCGGACTTCTATCCTTAAAGGGTTCTTACTAGGTATCCAAGATTCGGCTATCCGGACTTCTATCCTTAAAGGGTTGTTACTAGGTATCCAACATTCGGTTATCCGGAATTCTATCCTTAAAGGGTTCTTACCAGGTATCCAAGATTCGGCTATCCGGACTTCTATCCTTAAAGGGTTGGTACTAGATATCCAAGATTCGGCTATCCGGACTTCTATCCTTAAAGGGTTGTAACTAGGTATCCAAGAATCGGTTATCCGGACTTCTACCCTTAAAGGGTTCTTACTAGGTATCCAAGATTCGGCTATACGGACTTCTATCCTTAAAGGGTTGTTACTAGGTATCCAACATTCGGTTATCCGGACTTCTATCCTTAAAGGGTTGGTACCAGATATCCAACATTCGGTTATCCGGACTTCTATCCTTAAAGGGTTCTTACTAGATATCCAAGATTCGGTTGTTCGGGGTTCTATCCTTAAAGGGTTGTTACTAGGTATCCAAGATTCGGCTATCCGGACTTCTATCCTTAAAGTGTTGTTACTAGATATCCAAGATTCGGCTATCCGGACTTCTATCCTTAAATGGTTGTAACTAGGTATCCAAGATTCGGTTGTTCGGGGTTCTATCCTTAAGGGTTGTTGCTAGGTATCCAAGATTCGGTTATCCGGACTTCTACCCTTAAAGGGTTCTTACTAGGTATCCAAGATTCGGCTATCCGGACTTCTATCCTTAAAGGGTTGTTACTAGGTATCCAACATTCGGTTATCCGGACTTCTATCCTTAAAGGGTTGGTACCAGATATCCAAGATTCGGTTATCCGGACTTCTATCCTTAAAGGGTTGGTACTAGATATCCAAGATTCGGCTATCCGGACTTCTATCCTTAAAGGGTTGGTACTAGATATCCAAGATTCGGTTATCCGGACTTCTATCCCTAAAGGGTTGTTCCTAGGTATCCAAGATTCGGTTATCCGGACTTCTATCCTTAAAGGGTTCTTACTAGGTATCCAAGATTCGGCTATACGGACTTCTATCCTAAAAGGGTTGTTACTAGGTATCCAACATTCGGTTATCCGGACTTCTATTTCTAAAGGGTTGTTCCTTGGTATCCAAGATTCGGTTATCCGGACTTCTATCCTTAAAGGGTTCTTACTAGGTATCCAACATTCGGTTATCCGGACTTCTATCTCTAAAGGGTTGTTACCAGGTATCCAAGATTCGGCTATCCGGACTTCTATCCTTAAATGGTTGTTACTAGGTATCCAAGATTCGGCTATCCGGACTTCTATCCTTAAATGGTTGTTACTAGGTATCCAAGATTCGGTTATCCGGACTTCTATCTCTATAGGGTTGTTACTAGGTATCCAAAATTCGGCTCTCCGGACTTCTATCCTTAAATGGTTGTTACTAGGTATCCAAGATTCGGCTATCCGGACTTCTATCCTTAAATGGTTGTTACCAGGTATCCAACATTCGGTTATCCGGACTTCTATCTCTAAAGGGTTGTTACTAGGTATCCAAGATTCGGCTATCCGGACTTCTTTCCTTAAATGGTTGTTACTAGGTATCCAAGATTCGGCTATCCGGACTTCTATCCTTAAATGGTTGTTACCAGGTATCCAACATTCGGTTATCCGGACTTCTATCTCTAAAGGGTTGTTACTAGGTATCCAAGATTCGGCTATCCGGACTTCTATCCTTAAAGGGTTGTTACTAGGTATCCAAGATTCGGCTATCCGGACTTCTATCCTTAAATGGTTGTAACCAGGTATCCAAGATTCGGTTATCCGGACTTCTATTTTTAAAGGGTTGTTACTAGGTATCCAAGATTCGGCTATCCGGACTTCTATCCTTAAAGGGTTGTTACGAGGTATCCAAGATTCGGTTATCCGGACTTCTATCCTTAAAGGGTTGTTACTAGGTATCCAACATTCGGTTATCCGGACTTCTATCTCTAAAGGGTTGTTACCAGGTATCCAAGATTCGGTTATCCGGACTTCTATCCTTAAAGGGTTCTTACTAGGTATCCAACATTCGGTTATCCGGACTTCTATCTCTAAAGGGTTGTTACCAGGTATCCAAGATTCGGCTATCCGGACTTCTTTCCTTAAAGGGTTGTTACTAGGTATCCAAGATTCGGCTATCCGGACTTCTATCCTTAAATGGTTGTTACCAGGTATCCAAGATTCGGTTATCCGGACTTCTATCTCTAAAGGGTTGTTACTAGGTATCCAAGATTCGGCTATCCGGACTTCTATCCTTAAATGGTTGTTACTAGGTATCCAAGATTCGGCTATCCGGACTTCTATCCTTAAATGGTTGTTACCAGGTATCCAACATTCGGTTATCCGGACTTCTATCTCTAAAGGGTTGTTACTAGGTATCCAAGATTCGGCTATCCGGACTTCTATCCTTAAATGGTTGTTACTAGGTATCCAAGATTCGGCTATCCGGACTTCTATCCTTAAATGGTTGTTACCAGGTATCCAACATTCGGTTATCCGGACTTCTATCTCTAAAGGGTTGTTACTAGGTATCCAAGATTCGGCTATCCGGACTTCTATCCTTAAAGTGTTGTTACTAGGTATCCAAGATTCGGCTATCCGGACTTCTATCCTTAAATGGTTGTTACCAGGTATCCAAGATTCGGTTATCCGGACTTCTATTTTTAAAGGGTTGTTACTAGGTATCCAAGATTCGGCTATCCGGACTTCTATCCTTAAAGGGTTCTTACTAGGTATCCAAGATTCGGCTATACGGACTTCTATCCTAAAAGGGTTGTTACTAGGTATCCAAGATTCGGTTATCCGGACTTCTATCTCTAAAGGGTTGTTACCAGGTATCCAAGATTCGGTTATCCGGACTTCTATCCTTAAAGGGTTCTTACTAGGTATCCAACATTCGGTTATCCGGACTTCTATCTCTAAAGGGTTGTTACCAGGTATCCAAGATTCGGCTATCCGGACTTCTATCCTTAAAGGGTTGTTACTAGGTATCCAAGATTCGGCTATCCGGACTTCTATCTCTAAAGGGTTGTTACCAGGTATCCAAGATTCGGTTATCCGGACTTCTATCCTTAAAGGGTTCTTACTAGGTATCCAACATTCGGTTATCCGGACTTCTATCTCTAAAGGGTTGTTACCAGGTATCCAAGATTCGGCTATCCGGACTTCTATCCTTAAAGGGTTGTTACTAGGTATCCAAGATTCGGCTATCCGGACTTCTATCCTTAAAGGGTTGTTACTAGGTATCCAAGATTCGGCTATCCGGTCTTCTATCCTTAAATGGTTGTTACCAGGTATCCAAGATTCGGTTATCCGGACTTCTATTTTTAAAGGGTTGTTACTAGGTATCCAAGATTCGGCTATCCGGACTTCTATCCTTAAAGGGTTGTTACTAGGTATCCAAGATTCGGCTATCCGGACTTCTATCCTTAAATGGTTGTTACCAGGTATCCAAGATTCGACTTTCCGGACTTCTATCCTTAAAGGGTTGTTACTAGGTATCCAAGATTCGGCTATCCGGACTTCTATCCTTAAATGGTTGTTACCAGGTATCCAAGATTCGGTTATCCGGACTTCTATTTTTAAAGGGTTGTTACTAGGTATCCAAGATTCGGTTATCCGGACTTCTATCCTTAAAGGGTTGTTACTAGGTATCCAAGATTCGGTTATCCAGACTTCTATTTTTAAAGGGTTGTTACCAGGTATCAAAGATTCGGCTATCCGGACTTCTATCATTATATGGTTGTAACTAGGTATCCAAGATTCGGCTATCGGGTCTTCTATCCTGAAAGGGTTCTTACTAGGTATCCAAGATTCGGTTATCCGGACTTCTATCCTTAGAGGGTTGTTACTAGATATCCAAGATTCGGTTATCCGGACTTCTATCCTTAAAGGGTTGTTACTAGGTATCTAAGATTCGGTTATTCGGATTACGTTTATGCAACATCAACACATCAAACAATACCGAAACCTTGAATCTTAAACCTGTTTGCAGGACATCCAAGATTCGAACTAAATGTGTTTAACATACACTACACTTCAAACCTTACGATAGGCGGTGTGGTAGCCTAGTGGTTTAAGTGTTCACTCGTCACACCGAATACCCGGGTTTGATTACCTGATGTGGAAATCACGTGCAGCATATCGTGATAAGAATAAAAACATGCTGTGGTAACACGTGACTGATTGTCAGTCTCACGTTTTGTATCCTGCACATTGTATGTAGACATGCGTGTTTAGTTGTTGAATGTTTAATATTTTAATGTCAAATGTCAAGTATGTGAAACTTTATGTGTTTCAAAACATTCCAGTGTAATTTCGTTTTATATAATGAAATAAATTTGTACACAACATCCACATATTTGTCCATGTACGAGTGTAAGTGTACCATTTTGATGTAAGTCACTTGATGAGACCTGGTAGCCAAGGTGGCGTTATTTTTTTATGTTCTGTTTGTTTGTTTGTTTGTTGTTTAACGCCTCACTCAGCAATATTCCAGCTATATGACGGCAGTCTGTCAATAATCAAGTCTGGAACAGACAGTCCCGTGATTGACATCATGATCATCGGTCTACGCAATTGGGATACGATGGCGTGCATCAATCAAGTCAGCGTGCCTGACCACCCTATCCCGTTAGTCGCCTCTTACAAACATGAGTTTCTGAAGACCTAGTCTAACCCGGATCTTCACGGGTTTTTTATCTTTTTTCTTTCACATGTAGTGTATACACGTCGTTATTATACATTTGGGTAAAAAATCAGTTTGGCTCCGCTTTCAAAGACAGGAATTCCCTTGCCTGACTGAAACAATATTCTGTCTGAAAAAGAACCCACGGGAATATCAAATATTGGGGCATCCACCTTGCCGGGGCAAGGGAGTTAACTGAGTGTAAAGTCAAGTTTCCGCTCTTGCCGAATGAGGCTTGAATTTCTAGGCTCGATCGTAGCGCCACCAGTGGCTATTGCGAGTCTTGTCCCTTCTTGGCTTCCTAACCACGTTGAGATTCCGGGTTAGAATTGGTCGCCAGCAACCCATGGATCGGGTTGTTAGACTCGGTGACTTGGTCATGGCTGATGCCGCCTATTTAACTTGTCCTGTAAATGTTGGTGTCCATTGATGACAGATGAAAGAGTATAACAACAGCAATGACAGTGTTTATTGTACCCCAAGGGCAAAGAAATCTCCAAATCCAGAAAATCAAAATACGAGGTGACTAAGTATCTCTCGGTTTTGGCACTACGGGTGTAATATTATTAAGGATGCTGGTGTTTCTGGTGATGGTGGGGCTATAGTTTAAGGGGTTTTAGCGGCCAATACTTTGACTTGAGTTGCTAAGAATCACAGCAAAAGATTATATTGCAAAAACAACACAAAAGAATTTGGACAACAGGAATTAGATGTCAACATAAGTATTGTGCATTAGATGCATGCATACACGTCAAGTGGAATCTAATGAAATTGGGGGGAAAGACGCGGGGTGGGTGGAAAGAAAAATAACCTCCTGCATGATATGTATGAAAACCGCAGGGCCTCATTTCTAAAACATGAAATATCCGTTCAATACAAACCCCAGGCCAACGAGGGAATGTAAAAATTCTTTAAGATGAGAGAAATGTTATTGATCATGCAATTTAAGAGCCTATTGTGTTATACGCCATTTTCCAGATGCGCAGGCATTACGTAATACTGTTCTTTGCTGAGCCATACACGCTGATAGGCTCCCTAACGTAGCTCAACAAAACTAGTCATCAACTTCAAGGACAGTTCTCCTGAAATTTGGGATTAAGTTATGTTTACCACAACAGTAAATTAGATACAGTCCTATATTGTCAAGCGTCTTGACATTGCAAAGATCACATTATTGGGTCCTGAATTTGGAGTTACCCGCCCTTGTCATAAAAAATGTTATTTACCTTTAGCATTTGTTTAAGGTTTGCGAGTTCTTTCAGAAGTTGTTCTGAAAGCATCTTACTAAAGTCTGATAGATACACCGTTGTTGCATGTAAATACCCGTTTGTATAATCTAGAAGCTAGACTATGACGTCACGGATATGAATAGACGTACATCTCGTTATTTTGCAGATTTTCAACCGGAACTCGTTTCCGGTCACATCTGGTGCTTTTTCCGTTGTCGGCGGTGATGTATCATCATTCCCACCGACAGAATCAGACCTGGAATCAAATATAGCAATTAAATCCTGTAACAAAAAAAGTCTCAATTTCCACATGCATGAAGTATTCGGCTGTATCACTATAACAAGGGTGTGTACACATCCACCCGTGTTTTGTATCAGGAATTACAGACTACACAGTAAGAACCAACTCTATATTTACTGAGCCAACCATTTTAGTGCCGAGTTCTGCTGAAGGCAATGTACTAGCTACTTGCATGTAATACCTCATTGTGAGAGATTTAGAGAGAAAAACAACGAGGAACGAGGAATTACGGAGTATCTGCCGGATTAAGTCCCGAGCTGTCATCTTTCATTTAACGAGGAACATTTAGACATGACCCGACATTCTATACATTACTCATTGTTATAAAAAAAAGAATATGAAGAAAAACGTATGAAGTATAACCGTAACAGAGAAATATGACATAAGACAGCTTCTTGTTCAAATGGTGTCATGATTTCAATTTGTGACGTAATAAACAATGAATGACGTCATATCGTAACCCTAACAATGAAACACTATGATGTCATATCGCTTCAAATGACCAATCAGCACTGAAAATCTAAAATGCACACGTGCAAAATATTGGAAAGTTATTAAGTCGATCTTCCTACGCTTATGGGTAATACAGACGTAGATGTACGCATGAAAAATATACCAATACTGCATGATGTTACATCGTGTTGTCCTTCAAGACTAAAGAAGTCCCTGGGTGAAGAGTAAGGATCTCGTATGTTCACAACTTCACTAGCCTATCACACTAGGTTCGGGGCCCCCACGGAATCTCAGTGCCAACACATGCGTTCCTTCAAAGTCCTCAAATATTTAGTTTCAATCACCACGCATCTCCTCGTTGGTCGTGTTCAACTCATTCAGTTCGAAGCTACCTCTTGGTGGAGCCTCGGGTGAGAATGGGTCCCCAACTCCCCACTTCTGATCGTAAGATACGATTGAACTGGATCAGGCTCTGTATCAAGGCTGATCCCTTGTCATCCTGCCCGATGTCGGGGAGCGCTGCTCATGGTTTCAGTCACTAGTTTGCATGGCCCAGACTCGTATATTTACATGCTGACATGATACACCTGGACTATTGTTACCTGCAGCGTTAAACAACAGTCACTCACACACTCTCTTTATCAGTATGCGTGAGTTGGGGGTTAATTACATACTGAAAAACACCCCTCCTGCTCCGATGTAGAGAATGCCTTTCCACCCGATGGTGTCTTTCAGTTGGGACGTCAACAGACCTCCAGCAATTTGAACCACGATCTGAAATAACCCAAAATGAATTAGAATTCACGAGAAGGTGTAATATCGCTGTTAAAAGTTACCAATAGTTTGGTTGCGAACTTGGATGGCCAACATCAGGGAAGACCGAGTGGCAGCAGGCGTGCAACGGTTGATCAAATTTGAATCTCCATTTATTCTAGAAAAAAATACTGGATTGACCGAGAGGTGAAGTTTTAGATAAGAAACATTGGGTTTAACACAACAGTAGCGGGTTCCTTTCTGTCAGTATATGTAACATTGATAGAATCTACTCACCATAGCCGACATTAAGAGGCCGTAGTTTGAGCTGTAGTACTTGTGTCCAAATATGGAGACGTTCAGGGAAGGCATGATGCAGAAGAACCCGGAGAACGTCCCATAGATCAGACACATCCAGATGATCAGCATCACCTTCCCGCCATACTCACACAAGGTGAAGGTCGCCGCTGCACTTCCCAATATGGCGCAGACAACAACAAGACTTTCCTGTTTAGGTCACAAATAACATTATAGTAAACGTCGTTTATAACGAACACGCTTATAACGAACTGACGGATATAACGAACTGTCTTTGGCCCCGTCCATTTGCTGCATGTGTGCTATATATATCTTTATAATAAACTACGGTTATTACGAACTGATATTAGTGGTCCCTTTGAATTCGTTATAACTGTATTTAACTGTTTTATAAGTGCTTCCTTGTCTTTAGTGTGCTCATCAAGAGCGACCAATAATACATCGATAGCGAACTGTAGGTTGTGTTATATGGCAGTTTATAATATCCATATGAATGAAATACTGGAATTTATCAGTGACGATAGATCAAGTTATCAGTCTCTAGTGACTGATATAAACAAGGTGCCGGACCCATCTGCACGGTCAGTCGACCTGCCTCAGATGCAGGTGCATAACTTCTCTTCAACTGACCACAGGAACTTTTTGACGAGTCTGATGTCTGGAAATAACATCTATGGCAATGTTAATATCACTCTTGCGCCGGACATGCTTCGCCAGACATTAGGGACAACTGGCGACAGCGCGACGTACCGCCGAGGCGAGAAGCGCCCGCTTGAATTTTCCGAGAATTGAACTTTCCTAATTTAATTCATGACAGCAAGCAACAATGTTTCAGTTAAAATGTTCGGGGTTCTATAAATGTGTTTATGTCAACTTTCATACTTATCTGTGAGAAAATTTCATCAAATTTGGCGGATTTTGTAAGCCTGGAGAGCGCTCAGCTGATCGTTCGACATGGTCACAGTACTAACTGTTTTTGTATTCCTACGCCAATAAAATAATCGCTGTTTGAAAATGATTTCTGTTTTCATTTTAAACAGGAATGTTTAATTATGACAAACAAAAATGTCCATGGAACTTAATACTCGATATGAAATAATGTATTTCGCATAACATATATTAACAGGGCAAGTCTTATTCACGAACTATATTCTTTTCGCAAACCCCCTTTATACGACGGTGGTAAAGGGGCGACAGGGAGAACTTAGTAATTTATCAGACACTGTTTTCGAAAAAATATATAAATTGCAAGTATTAAAATAAAAATAAAACATGTATATAATAAATAGAAAATTCAATATGTTTTCTCAAATACCACTTTTATCTCATCTCGTGAAAAACTGCGTCACTCGTGAAAATGAGATGAGATGAAAGTGGTATTTGAGAAAACACATTAAATATCCTCCTTGTATTTTAATGTTTAACAATGATTGTGGCTGTGTTACATTGTTTCTGTTGAGATTCGAAAGACGCTCATTGCATTGTATTTGGGCAGTAGTTAGTCGTCAGGAATTTTATACTATTTAAGGTAGGCAGTCGTCAGGAAGTTACTATATCTAGATGCTAGTGTGGTGTGTAAACCTCCGGTATACCGTAGACTGGTACAGCCTGGTTCCCTGGGTATGCTGCGCTGGCGCTACACTGACCCAGGCAATGACTGCACAATGGCCGCCTCCACTAGACGAACAAACATGGCCGACACGCCATGTATTTACTATAGAAAAACTCTAGAACGGGTGGTTAAATTTTTTTCTTAGCATTTTCATGTAAAAAAACCTAGTGTGAAACCTACAAACAAACAACAAATGTTGTACAATCAACAAATGTATTACACAATCCAGTAAGTTTACAAATTCGCACAAATTACTGCACATCAAGTACAATGGCAGTACACAATAGAGTGGCAGTACACGCGTGCAAGCTGGTTCCAAAGCGTTGAAACGCGTGCGAGATTAAATGTGTGCGAGAATGCGTAAGAGATATACAAACAAGCAAATGTCCCCTTATATATAGTCCAACTCGTTTCCAGAACAACACAGAATATCCCATACCAGTCTCAGCCTGGTTCCCTGGGTATGCTGCGCTGGCGCTACACTGACCCAGGCAATGACTGCACAATGGCCGCCTCCACTAGACGAACAAACATGGCGGACACGCCATGTATTTACTATAGAAAAACTCTAGAACGGGTGGTTAAAAAAAATTCTTAGCATTTTCATGAATGCCCTTGCAATGTATATGTCACGGGAATAACGTCCATTCTTACTTTTAGTGAAGGAAAACATTATTTAAGCTGTTTCGAGACTCGAAAGTGGTCGTCACATCGGTGAAATGTAAACAATGAGACACACCCCATTTCCAACAGTGATGTGCGTTAACATTTCGTGTCACCTCACTGTTGTCACGAAATCGTATACATAATACATGGAATTAAACGACCACGTCAATGAAATATCGTTGGCATCTTTATTTTAGCAAATTTGATGAAGCAAATGTTGCCGATTATGCCCCGTTTTCTCCCATTGTAAAGTGGTGGGTTTAGCGGAGTTAGCGCCCAGTATAATAACTAGAAAAATCAAACACTTTTGATCCGTAATAATGGTATTTAATAATAGGGTCTGTCATTGGTTCTGACATTTGGCCTCTGAATTTTATTTACATGAAAAGCCATTTATTTGGCATTTGTTATTAATCATAAATAGATCTAATAATTTGGGAAAAATAATTGATTAATTCCAATCTATTGTTTTTTAACTATGTGTGTGCTTGTAAAAATGCCGGGTGTGAATGGCATAATAATAAAAAATATGTTCATTATTTTAAATTAATTTGGCATAGTGGCATACACATCCATGTGTATTCTCTTTTTCACAGGATGAAAAAAATAAAAATGTAACAGTAGTCATGGTGTGGCAATTAATCAACTGACGACACTTAACCATGAGGTTGTCGAAAATTTTATTATAAATTACACCATTGTTAGGATTTTATAGAAAATCACTATGCCATGAAATTCTACTAGATATCAATGCCATGTTTGAAATCCAGACACCCAAACAGTTTGTCCTGAAAGAGACAACTGATTTGTCAAGAAAACCATATAGGAAACTATGTTTGAAACACACACTTTCAAGGGCTGTAGTTTATCAAAGACATATTTGGTAAAAAGTTAAGCAGTTGTTAAAATTTACTAATGTTCCCATCTGTCTATTGTCATCAACATGATATTGGGGTGGAGGTTGTCACCAAGTTATGATGAAACATATTATTTATTATCAAAATCCAAATAATGCTTTCTAAGGAACACACATGCAAGTAACAAATAACCATAACTTTCAAGCAAATTAAAAATAATTGTAATTTAACATGTATCTTCTGACCAATATACATTAAGTCCAAAGGGTTTTCAACAATCAGACATCTGAGAAAATTCCATCTTGTTTTCTTTTTACTTCAAATTGAACAATAAAAAAAAACATGCAAAGCTGATGAACATGATGTCCTGAAGAAAAGCAAAAACAAGAATTAACATAATCTGTTTGGAACTTGTTACTATGTAATTTACAATGCAAAATTGGTCAACAAGTTTAGTATAAATTCTCCTGAATTCAAAGCAAAATCACTGATTGTGTGTTGATCCAGGTATGGAAGCAGTACTGTTTGGCATAAGAGTGTGAAGCAATGCATCATTTTATCCACTGGCTGAATAAATGATGACATCATATTACATGTATGTGATTAATTACTTCTGTCAGATCTACATGATTATCATGCTCTGAATGATGTCAGTATATGCTTTGATACTGGTTTCAAGCCCCCAAAACTATGGTACTCATAGACAAGACAGGTTCCATTGGTACCGGTAATCATTACCCCTAGTTAAACAGTTCACAAATAAATAGTGGAAAGTACACATTTGTCTCCAGCTTTCATCCTAAAATATTACAATTTCTGTGCACTTTTAATGTTATGTATTACCATCATGATCATACTGGGTTTTTTCTTTGCTTGAACAATAATGTAGCTTAACTTCTTTTATTGAGTAGTTTATTGGTAGTATATTCGTACACAGATATTTCATCTAACATGATGATTATAATCATAACTATTTTTCAATAATAATGGTATGCACACTTCTTTATGTTGTTCTCTACAGGATTCCCCAGTGTCTATATTGCATCATATAGAATACTCATGGATGTGTATGCCACTGTACCAAATTCATTATGATTATATTCTTTATTATAATCCCATTCAGACCCGAGATTTTAACAAGCACACACAAAGATCTAGTTCAGAAACAATAGATTGAAATTAATCCAATATATGTTTAATCCAACAAATGCCAAATAAATGGCTTTTCATGTGAATAAAATTTAGAGGCCAAATATCAGAACCAATGACAGACCCTATCATTAAACAACATTATTACGGATACTGGGCGTTAAATAATTCAGCTAAACCACCATTTCACAAGGGGGAAAAACGGGGCATAATCGGCGACATTTACAGTAATTTGTGCGAATTTGTAAACTTACTGGATTGTGTAATACATTTGTTGATTGTACACCATTTGTTGGTTGTTTGTAGGTTTCACACTGGATTTTTTTCACATACAGGACAGATTTCTTGATTAACATAGTGTTTCAATTTGGGAATCGACACGTAACAGTTGCATTAAATGTTCGTATCAAGGTTACCTATGAATGTATTTGTGTGACCACATTGATCTTTCACAAATATTTGTGTAACCTATAGATTGCCCTATCCACTTTTATTGAAGTTTGACAGACCAGCTTGATACGTGCCTTTGTGACCCAGTGACGCAAAACAGACATTAAAAAATAGTGAAATGGGCATGATTTTTCTACCAACTTCTACTATAATATCTAGTATTAGAAATTCCGTGAATCAAGATGAATGTTTCACCATATGTGACCCTCGAGGAGAAAGGGCCCTTGTGGTTGCTAGGATACAACTATCAGAAACAAATGTGACGTCATAAGAATGACGTTTGACGTCAATTTACCTCCGTATAAATCGCTATGTGTGTGGACTGTACAAACATATCTTATTTTTCTGTCGTTATTTTGTAATGTAATAAAAACATTTCAGCATGCATATCTATTTTTAATTAATCAGACGTTATACCTAAAAACTGGTATCATTAAATTACAGTTAAAAGTCAGAAAATGGGACTTTGCAGAAAATGAGTCCAAATATTTCATGCCATCTATCTCTGTAACAAATATAAATTGCAGGTTATGAATATATTGTATTTGTGTGGTCCTAAGATACTGTAGTTTTAAAATGTAATATGAAGTCAAAATGTGATTTTTCACCAATTTGTCTCATGGTAGGAAACATATGTTTGAACTCTACTTTTGTACATCTCCTAGAAACTCAGGTAAGGACAAAGGATTTTTCATTTTCAAATATTAGAAAATATCTACAGGAAACCTGTCGCATCAACCCCTTACATATAATGTTGTTATACGACAAAACGTGCAAGTGTTGAAATGAACAAAGCCTCATTCTCTTTCATATGAACACATCTGCACATCGTCTTTTAGTGTTGCTAATTAATTACCTCCGTTATGTAGGTCCTGCATACCAGGACATGCCCTTATCATACCGTGTCCTTTCAAGCTGATATCGGTGAGCTGTGCTGTTGTCTTTGGGAAGAGGAGAGCACTTGTTGTAATGTGCTCGGACCATGCATTTATCATACTGGATAGTGTTATCGATGTGATAGGCCAATCCGATAAACTTGATATCAAGATCCGATACATATGCAAATGAGGTCAGCAAGCAGGACACACCTTCAATCTCCATACTTGGATACAGTGTCTGCTTTCTCAAGACACTACTGAGTAACACACGTGTATCATATATGTTCACAAAGTTTTTCTCTGATGTTTCTGCAGACAAACATGGCTGCAAATAATTTGGAACCATATGGTATATGGGGCGGTTCACTCAAATACTGTATCCATACGCTGTTTCTAACAGTTACTTCATTGAGAGAACTGTCGTCTCAATCGTCGATTATATTAAGAATGGCATTATATCACTACGGGAGTGTTACCCTTTCTCTTTTGAAAATATCAATGAATAAATGTCAACAAATGGGCGAAGACCACGTACATGTGTATATAATGTTCATTACACCTGATACTGAGTAGCACTGTGCAGTGTGGGATGGCCCTGGTACAACTAGGAGCCTTCATGACTAGTACTGGTGTAAGTGGGTTTCTTTGATACCCGGGTTACAGTCGCTTGTTGCGAGGAGGAGCATCAGGACAGATCTTTGTTCCATGAAATCCACCATACTCGAGCACATTCATCTGACATGCATTGTACCTACTGTTGTAACAGTCTTAAACAATCTAAAACATTCAGACACCACCAACCTGTACAGAATATTCACATCATGCCATGGAAAGACATTAAAATACGATCGCTGATTACAAACAACGAAAACAACCCTACAGTCAGGCTCACATTAAGTTTTAATGGAAGGCGAAGACTGACTATTATTTATACCAAAGTAGTTACTTCTAAAGCCAACTGAACTTTAATTTATGTAGGACTGTATTAAAGAAACATCTTCCTGTCAATGTGGTTCGCCCTACCAGAACTGTTTTTTTTATTTCTTTCGTGTGAACATTTGTATTGAAGATTGTTATCCCCCCTTAGCCATGCCAGGATCCGTTGTTCCTTGGTAATACACCCGGATTCACCATACTTAAAGTCAAACACCGTTGTGTCGAACTTTGATGTGTCGAAATTACGGTTGTCTCAAAGTAAACATTCCCTACGTATTGCTTCTTTATTCATCATTTTTCGGTTGTGTCGAACCTCGGATATCTAAAGTATTTACGAAGGTCCCTTCAACTTCGACACAACGGTGTTTGTCTGTATATTTGAGCTATCAGCTCTTAGTTTCCATACATCCATTGGCGTTCCACAGACAATAGGCTGACATGAGGCCTTATAAACAGCTTTCCACTCACGTGTACACACTACACTTACCCTATAGCCAAGCTTGTCACCAACTGCTCCCCAGAACGGTCGACCCAGAGCATTTAAAACTGAACTGACTGACCCAGCTAGAGACAGGAAGTGATCGTCTTTTATGAATGTCTGGGAGAATGTCTGCAACAAATACGGTTCTCTGAACAGGGTTGGCAACCATAGTTTTCAGACTGTTAGTACTGGGCAGTATTAGTAGATACATGAATGAGTCAAGAAGCAGTGCCGGGAAAGTGGTGCTGGCGTGTAAATACCAGAGCTGGCATCAAAGTACCAAAGCATATATTTAGTATAGGCATTGAAGTACAACCATTTAAGTACTGTTATTAGCAATAAAGTATTAGAGTATCATATAAGTACCAGTGGTTGCATTGAAGAACCATTTTACACTTTCAGTACTCTTGGGTGAGTGAATGAGTTGGGTTTAACGCCGCTTTGAACAGTGTTCCAGTTATATCACGGCGTGTCAGCTTAATTTGGGAGGAAAGCCCGAAGTGATGCAGGCCTCAGATGATTACCACTTCGATGAATCCCACGAGCACGGGTATGGTGCTGACAAACCTAGAACATATTCGGGGCGAACCGGGAACCCACAATCATAGGTTTCTGGCGTTCCCAAGGGACGCAACTCTGCACGGCGAATCGCGGCGCCTTAGACGACTGGGCCACCCGTGGCCCTAAGTACTCTTGGAGGTATTGAAGTTGCGATGTGCGATTTACATACCAGTGGGGTTGTTAAAACATTACTTTATCATTCAAATACTGGTGATGGCATTGAAGTATTAGTGTTTCATATTTGCACTCGTGAAGGAGTTGTAGTACTATTTACCATTTAAGTGCAAGTGGTGTTACTGAAGTACCACTTTGGCATGTAAGTGCTTGTTGTGGTATTGAAGGACCCCTGCGCCAATTTTGTATTTCGCCCGTCCACAGAGAGAGAGAGAGAGAGAGAGAGACAGAGAGAGAGTGAGTGAGTGAGTGAGAGAGAGAGTGAGTGAGTGAGTGATTGAGAGAGTGAGTGAGTGAGTGAGTGAGTGAGTGAGTGAGTGAGTGAGTGAGAGAGTGAGTGAGTGAGAGAGAGAGAGTGAGACAGAGAGAGAGTGAGTGAGTGAGAGAGAGAGAGAGTGAGTGCGTGAGTGAGTGAGAGAGTGAGTGAGTGAGAGAGAGTGAGTAAGTGAGTGAGTGAGTGAGAGAGTAAGTGAGTGAGAGAGAGAGAGAGTGAGAGAGAGAGAGAGTGACTGAGTGAGAGAGTGAGTGAGAGAGTGAGTGAGAGAGAGACAGAGAGAGACAGAGAGAGAGAGAGAGAGAGTCCGACTGATACCTTATAAAAGTTGGTTATGAAGAAGATGCCGAGAACGACACACACGTATATTGCCCACATGAGGTAAAATATCTTCGTTCGTAGAACCTCCCAGGGTGCATAATCGGTCTTCTCTTCAACGCTGAAACGAAATATAATTTGCACATAACATTCGGGTTCTTGGTGCATGCTGAATGTATTTGTAATATCATCTGACAAAGTCGTGGGTGTTGTGAGCGAACATTTGAATGAGGCCCAGACACTCACTAACAATCTGATGTTAAGGGGATACAAATACAAAGGCCAGTAGTTTCGTTTGACTGATCTAAAAACACTAACAACAAAAAGTTGACTTGTCTTGCAAGAAATAATAATAATGTACGGTATTCAAAGTAACTAAAATGTGTCTTGTGCATAGCTGCAGAGATTTCAAACATGCTCAGGGTCCAATACGAAAGGATAACATGGCTGTCAACCTGATGTCCTACATTATGAGAACCAATATAACCAATCACTGAATTCTAAAACAACCCTCAGAGTAGTCAGTAATGACAAACATCAACATCGACATGACGCACATTTTGGGCAGTCGTTTCTGAGGAAAATAACAAGGTGTACATGTAACCTCGTCTACAACGGGCGAATTAGATGATCGATCAAATACTCAGAAAACACACCAAACAACTGTCATTCACAGGTTTGAGCTTTCTGAACATTGTGTTTATTATTGTTGTTTGAAGTGTTATGTGTTTTTTCCTAAACTTTAAATAATAACTGAGGACTTTCATCCACAATCAGCCTCTCATAAACTTACCCTGATTTTGATTTCGCCCCTAATCCTTCTCCGTCTTCATAATTCTCCTTGTTTACAGGACAGTCAAGGACGTGGTCCATCTGTGTCTCTTCTGTGAGAGCAGAGTTCTGGTAGATAGATCAATGTGTCACTGCTGGTACATTTACAATGAAAGTAGTATCAGTCCGCCGTGAACAGACACAAGAAAGTAGTTCGTCAAATCTACAGCTACACAGTATTGACATTATACTCAGTGCAAATGCCCGTGATTTTCTTTTCTCACTCTGTCCACACCAATAACAGATAAATAAATCAGGCAAAAATTCTGAGACATGCTTATAAGATCATGGCCAATCATCATCTTCCGATGGATTTCTTTCGTCTCTCACTGAGAAAAGGAATTACTTGAGTATATTTTAAGTGATCAAGGAAATATCAATTTAAGACAATTCCTTCCTTAAGATATGTTTACCTATTGCACTAGATACTAACTATTGATGACCCTAAGGTTTGGGTTTTTTGTGTATTCACGGAATCAGTACAATCTGCATATACGTGATCTGTATGTAGGCCACAGACCCCTGAACATAACAAACCACACGCGTGACCAATCACATTTTGACTTCTTATTATAGCTTAAAGCTACAGTATCTTGACACCACCAACATACAATTGATGAGCTTCCATTCATATTGATTAATGAGATAGATGGCATCAAACATTTGGACTCATTTTTGGCAAAGTCCCATTTTCAGACTTATGACTATTTACGTGATAATAGCAGTTTTTGGATATAATGTCTGATAAATTGGAAGTAGACATGCATTCTGAAATGTTTTGAAATAATGTTTTTATTACATTACGAACTAACGGGAGACAGATAGTTTTTACATTCCGCACACATGGCGATTTTTACGGAAGTAAGTTGACGTTAAACGTCGTTCTCAATAACGTCATAGCACAATTGTATCATGGCACCCATAAGGTCCCGTTTCTCCCGGTGGGTCACATCTATACCAAGGTATCAGGAGGCTGCACTCTTCAATATGAATATCTGTACACCCCAAACCTCCAAGTCATATAGAAGTATGATTTGTATTTGGACGTCAAATATTATTAAGAAAACATGTGAGAAAACTCTTCCTGCTGTGATAACCTCCATTGCTGCGCTTTTCCTTCTAAGTGTAAGATGTGTTTTACAATTACCCATCTTTAAGGTTTTTTTAGACTGAAATGGTATATGTACTTGTTAAACACTGATACAATTTCGTCTTTATATTGTCATACTTCAAGAAATTGTGGTCAGTGGCCAGTCATGTAAGTATCGCATTCCGGGAACGACATGGCTGGTAAATATAAGATGTCAATGCAAGTGAATAACCAGTGTTGATTATCCGCCGAAACAGATTCCATTTGGCCTAAATGGCAAAATATTTGTGAAAACTTTACGAATGGACCACTGAATATCAGTGATGACACCAGGTGTTCGCGAAAAGGGTGAGCATGTCCCTGACCCGGGTTCGAATCCCGACATGGGTACAATGTGTGAAGCCCATTTCTGGTGTCCCCCGCCGTGATATTGCTGGAATATTGCTTACAGCGGTGTAAAACAATACTCACTCACTACCCTTTCACAGATTCATCCCGTGGCGACTCCGGTTTGGAAGATCGGGTAATGAGACTATGGGACTGGGTTGGGTGCGTGTCATCATACTCCGACTACAGGGGAGGTTGCACCTGAGAGCACTGACTTGCCTGGTCCACGCTTATTATTCACATTCTCATATAGCTGGAATATTGCTGAGTGAGGAGTTAAACAACTCAGGAACAAACTCTTAGTTATAATACTGACCTCTGGTGCTGGCGCTGCCGGTTCGTGCTTGCCAATGAGGAGTACCGCCAACAGCTGTATACCAGCATCAACACCGCCCAGTAGAAGGAAGCAGTAAGGGACCTTATCGAGTAGTACAGCCTGGCTAAAATATCTGTAACAGAATCGTTGATAAGCTATGATAGTGATTGGTTAATTATATATATGCAAGTAGCCTTTCATCAATGCAGTAAAGACAAGACAAACATGTGACTGATACCCTTTGCAAGGATGTCACAAACATAACCAGTTCGCACAGGTGACAGACCGATTTGGACAATTTCACGATTAATGTGCTGAGATGGTAATTCGGTTTGTTATCTTGTTTTAGACTGACTGTTTTCAGGCTACCGTGGGGGTAACGCCGGTGCCGTTTCAATAATTGTAGTGACATACGTAGCTCAAGTCAACAGCGGCCGTCCATCTGCCACCCACGGCCAACTGTTTCGTGTCACAACTGCAGTCTAACACAATGTTTCTGGCAATTTCAAAGATGTACTACGCCCTAAGTTACATGTTACATGTTCTTCATAAGTTAACGCTACAGTTTCGGGAAGATATATTAGCATTAAATGCAATCTCGGTGAGTGAGTGAGTATGGTTTTACGCAGCAATATTCCAGCAAATTATCGTGGGGGGGGGGGGGGGGGGGGGGCAATAGAAATAGGCTTCACACATTGTTCCCATGTGGGGAATCGAACCCGAACCTTCGGCGTGATGAGAGAACACTTTATCCTCTTGGCTACCGCACCGCCCCCAGTGATGTCAAAAAGACCAGAGAGAGTCTCGCAGTAACTAGTCACAAGTGCTACGTACAGGTCGCCATGATGGGAGGTTTCCGGCAAGGAGGTTGTTGGTGTAACTATAGCAGGTACTACTTACAAGTCGCCATGATGGGAGGTTTCCGGTCGTAGGTTGTTGGTGTAACTATAGCAGGTGCTACTTACAAGTCTCTATGATGGGAGGTTTCCGGTAGTAGGTTGTTGGTGTAACTATAGCAGGTACTACTTACAAGTCGCCATGATGGGAGGTTTCCGGTAGGAGGTTTTTGGTGTAACTATAGCAGGTACTACTTACAAGTCGCCATGATGGGAGGTTTCCGGTAGGAGGTTGTTGGTGTAACTATAGCAGGTACTACTTACAAGTCGCCATGATGGGAGGTTTCCGGTAGGAGGTTTTTGGTGTAACTATAGCAGGTACTACTTACAAGTCGCCATGATGGGAGGTTTCCGGTAGGAGGTTGTTGGTGTAACTATAGCAGGTACTACTTACAAGTCACCATGATGGGAGGTTTCCGGCAGGAGGTTGTTGGTGTAACTATAGGTGGTGCTACATACAAGTCCCTTTGATGGAAGGTTTCCGGTAGTAGGTTGTTGGTGTAACTATAGCAGGTGCTACTTACAAGTCACCATGATGGGAGGTTTCCGGTAGTAGGTTGTTGGTGTAACTAAAGCAGGTGCTACTTACAAGTCACCATGATGGGAGGTTTCCGGTAGGAGGTTTTTGGTGTAACTATAGCAGGTACTACTTACAAGTCGCCATGATGGGAGGTTTCCGGTAGGAGGTTTTTGGTGTAACTATAGCAGGTGCTACATACAAGTCGCCATGATGGGAGGTTTCCGGTAGGAGGTTTTTGGTGTAACTATAGCAGGTACTACTTACAAGTCACCATGACTGAAGGTTTTCAATAGGAGGTTGTTGGTGTAACTATGGCAGGTACTACTTACAAGTCGCCATGATGGGAGGTTTCCGGCAGGAGGTTGTTGGTGTAACTATAGCAGGTGCTACTTACAAGTCGCCATGATGGGAGGTTTCCGGCAGGAGGTTGTTGGTGTAACTATAGGTGGTGCTACATACAAGTCGACATGATGGGAGGTTTCCGGCAGGAGGTTGTTGATGTAACTATAGCAGGTGCTACTTACAAGTCGCCATGATGGGAGGTTTCCGGCAGGAGGTTGTTGGTGTAACTATAGCAGGTGCTACTAACAAGTAGCCATGATTCGAAGTTTCCGGTAGGAGGTTTTTGGTGTAACTATAGCAGGTGCTACTTACAAGTCTCCATGATGGGAGGTTTCCGGTAGGAGGTTGTTGCCGTAACTATAGCAGGTACTACTTACAAGTCACCATGATGGGAAGTTTCCGGTAGGAGGTTGTTGTGGTTACTATAACAAGTGCAACTTACAGGTCGCCTTGATGGGAGGTTTCCGGCAGAAGGTTGTAGGGGTTGATGAAGTGTGTGATGACTTCATTGAAGACAAATGTTCCTCCGCCTATTCCAGCAATGATCAGACCGGTTACCAGACCCTTCCTTTTAGGAAAGCACTGAATCGGGACAACAACATATCAACATGAACAGGCTTGTGAGTATCAACATGAACACACTTGTGAGAAGCAACATGAACACACTTGTGAGTAGCAACATGGACACACTTGTGAGTAGCAACATGAACACACCTGTAGGTAGCAACATGAACACACCTGTGAGTAGCAGCATGAACACACCTGTAGGTAGCAACATGAACAGACTTGTGAGTAGCAACATGGACACACCTGTGAGTATCAACATGCACACACTTGTGAGTATCAACATGAACACACTTGTGAGTAGCAGCATGAACACACTTGTGAGTAGCAGCATGAACACACCTGAAGGTAGCAACATGAACAGACTTGTGAGTAGCAACATGAACACACCTGTAGGTAGCAGCATGAACACACCTGTAGGTAGCAACATGAACACACTTGTGGGTAGCAACATGAACACACTTGTGAGTAGCAACATGAACACACTTGTGAGTATCAACATGAACACACCTGTAGGTAGCAACATGAACACACTTGTGGGTATCAACATGAACACACCTGCAGGTAGCAACATGAACACACTTATGAGTATCAACATGAACACACCTGTAGGTAGCAACATGAACACACTTGTGAGTATCAACATGAACACACCTGTAGGTAGCAACATGAACACACCTGTAGGTAGCAACATGGACACATTTGTGGGTATCAACATGAACACACCTGCAGGTAGCAACATGAACAGACTTGTGAGTATCAACATGAACACACCTGTAGGTAGCAACATGAACGCACTTGTGAGTAGCAACATGGACACACCTGTGAGTATCAACATGCACACACTTGTGAGTAGCAACATGGACACACCTGTAGGTAGAACATGAACACACTTGTGAGTAGCAACATGAACACACTTGTGAGTAGCAACATGAACACACCTGTAGGTAGCAACATGAACACACTTGTGAGTAGCAAAATGAACACACTTGTGAGTAGCAACATGGACACACTTGTGAGTATCAACATGAACACACCTGTGAGTATCAACATGAACACACCTGTAGGTAGCAACATGAACGCACTTGTGAGTAGCAACATGGACACACCTGTGAGTATCAACATGAACACACCTGTGAGTATCAACATGAACACACCTGTGAGTATCAACATGAACACACCTGTAGGTAGCAACATGAACGCACTTGTGAGTATCAACATGGACACACCTGTGAGCATCAACATGAACACACCTGTAGGTAGCAACATGAACGCACTTGTGCGTAGCAACATGGACACACTTGTGAGTATCAACATGAACACACTTGTGAGTATCAACATGAACACACCTGTAGGTAGCAACATGAACGCACTTGTGAGTAGCAACATGGACACACCTGTGAGTATCAACATGAACACACTTCTGAGTAGCAACATGAACACACCTGTAGGTAGCAACATGAACACACTTGTGAGTAGCAACATGAACACACTTGTGAGTAGCAACATGAACACACTTGTGAGTAGCAACATGAACACACCTGTAGGTAGCAACATGAACACACTTCTGAATAGCAACATGGACACACCTGCATGTAGCAACATGAACACACCTGTAGGTAGCAACATGAACACACTTGTGAGTATCAACATGAACACACCTGTAGGTAGCAACATGAACACACTTGTGAGTAGCAACATGGACACACCTGTGAGTATCAACATGAACACACCTTTAGGTAGCAACATGAACACACTTGTGAGTAGCAGCATGAACATACCTGTAGGTATCAACATGAACACACCTGTGAGTAGCAACGTGAACACACTTGTGAGTAGCAACATGAACACACCTGTAGGTAGCAACATGAACACACCTGTAGGTAGTAACATGAACACACTTGTGGGTAGCAACATGAACACACTTGTGGGTAGCAACATGGACACACTTGTGAGTAGCAACATGAACACACCTGTAGGTAGCAACATGAACACACCTGTAGGTAGCAACATGAACACACTTGTGAAAAGTAACATGGACACACCTGTAGGTGGCAACATGAACACACCTGTAGGTAGCAACATGAACACACTTGTGGGTAGCAACATGAACACACTTGTGGGTAGCAACATGAACACACTTGTGGGTAGCAACATGGACACACTTGTGAATAGTAACATGGACACACCTGTAGGTAGCAACATGAACACACCTGTAGGTAGCAACATGAACACACCTGTAGGTAGCAACATGAACACACCTGTAGGTAGCAACATGAACACACTTGTGGGTAGCAACATGAACACACTTGTAGGTAGCAACATGAACACACTTGTGAGTATCAACATGAACACACTTGTAGGTAGCAACATGAACACACCTGTAGGTAGCAACATGAACACACTTGTAGGTAGCAACATGAACACACCTGTAGGTAGCAACATGAACACACTTGTGGGTAGCAACATGGACACACCTGTAGGTATCAACATGAACACACTTGTAGGTAGCAACATGAACACACTTGTAGGTAGCAACATGAACACACCTGTAGGTAGCAACATGAACACACCTGTAGGTAGCAACATGGACACACTTTTGGGTAGCAACATGAACACACCTGTAGGTAGCAACATGAACACACCTGTAGTTAGCAACATGGACACACTTTTGGGTAGCAACATGAACACACCTGTAGGTAGCAACATGAACACACCTGTAGGTAGCAACATGAACACACTTGTGGGTAGCAACATGGACACACCTGTGAGTAGCAACATGAACACACCTGTGAGTATTAACATGAACACACTTGTGGGTAGCAACATGAACACACCTGTAGGTAGCAACATGGACACACCTGTGAGTAGCAACATGAACACACTTGTGAGTAGCAACATGAACATCACTTGTGAGTAGCAACATGAACACACCTGTAGGTAGCAACGTGAACACACCTGTGAGTATTAACATGAACACACTTGTAGGTAGCAACATGAACACACTTGTGGGTAGCAACATGGACACACCTGTGAGTATTAACATGAACACACTTGTAGGTAGCAACATGAACACACTTGTAGGTAGCAACATGAACACACCTGTGAGTATTAACATGAACACACTTGTAGGTAGCAACATGAACACACTTGTAGGTAGCAACATGAACACACCTGTAGGTAGCAACATGAACACACCTGTAGGTAGCAACATGGACACACTTTTGGGTAGCAACATGAACACACCTGTAGGTAGCAACATGAACACACTTGTAGGTAGCAACATGAACACACTTGTGGGTAGGAACATGGACACACCTGTGAGTAGCAGCATGAACACACCTGTGAATATTAACATGAACACACTTGTGGGTAGCAACATGAACACACCTGTAGGTAGCAACATGGACACACCTGTGAGTAGCAACATGAACACACCTGTAGGTAGCAACGTGAACACACCTGTGAGTATTAACATGAACACACTTGTAGGTAGCAACATGAACACACTTGTGGGTAGCAACATGGACACACCTGTGAGTATTAACATGAACACACTTGTAGGTAGCAACATGAACACACGTGTGGGTAGCAACATGGACACACCTGTGAGTAGCAACATGGACACACTTGTGAGTATCAACATGAACACACTTGTAGGTAGCAACATGAACACACTTGTGGGTAGCAACATGAACACACTTGTGAGTATTAACATGAACACACTTGTGAGTATTAACATGAACACACCTGTAGGTAGCAGCATGAACACACTTGTGAGTATCAACATGAACACACCTGTGAGTATCAACATGAACACACTTGTGAGTAGCAGCATGAACACACTTGTGAGTAGCAACATGAACACACCTGTAGGTAGCAACATGAACACACTTGTGAGTAGCAACATGAACACACCTGTGAGTATCAACATGAACACACCTGTGAGTATCAACATGAACGCACTTGTGAGTAGCAGCATGAACACACTTGTGAGTATCAACATGAACACACCTGTGAGTATCAACATGAACACACTTGTGAGTAGCAGCATGAACACACTTGTGAGTAGCAACATGAACACACTTGTGAGTAGCAACATGAACACACTTGTGAGTAGCAACATGAACACACCTGTGAGTAGCAGCATGAACACACCTGTAGGTAGCAACATGAACACACGTGTGGGTAGCAACATGGACACACCTGTGAGTAGCAACATGGACACACTTGTGAGTATCAACATGAACACACTTGTAGGTAGCAACATGAACACACTTGTGGGTAGCAACATGAACACACTTGTGAGTATTAACATGAACACACTTGTGAGTATTAACATGAACACACCTGTAGGTAGCAGCATGAACACACTTGTGAGTATCAACATGAACACACCTGTGAGTATCAACATGAACACACTTGTGAGTAGCAGCATGAACACACTTGTGAGTAGCAACATGAACACACCTGTAGGTAGCAACATGAACACACTTGTGGGTAGCAACATGAACACACCTGTGAGTATCAACATGAACACACCTGTGAGTATCAACATGAACGCACTTGTGAGTAGCAGCATGAACACACTTGTGAGTATCAACATGAACACACCTGTGAGTATCAACATGAACACACTTGTGAGTAGCAGCATGAACACACTTGTGAGTAGCAACATGAACACACCTGTAGGTAGCAACATGAACACACTTGTGAGTATCAACATGAACACACCTGTGAGTATCAACATGAACACACCTGTGAGTATCAACATGAACGCACTTGTGAGTAGCAACATGGACACACTTGTGAGTATCAACATGAACACACTTGTGAGTATCAACATGAACACACCTGTAGGTAGCAACATGAACGCACTTGTGAGTAGCAACATGAACACACTTGTGAGTAGCAACATGAACACACTTGTGAGTAGCAACATGAACACACCTGTGAGTAGCAGCATGAACACACCTGTAGGTAGCAACATGAACACACCTGTAGGTAGCAACATGGACACACCTGTGAGTATCAACATGAACACACTTGTGAGTAGCAACATGAACACATCTGTAGGTAGCAACATGAACATCACTTGTGAGTAGCCACATGAACACATCTGTAGGTAGCAACATGGACACACTTGTGAATAGCAACATGAATTAGTGAGAGGGGCTACCGCATGTGAGAAATTTTAACAAAATTTACGGTAGTAATCATAAAGTAACTTCCTTTATGTTTAGTGGAACTTGGAATTTTGATATAGCTTCCCCCTTTGTCTATACGAGTTGTCGCATGCCTAGGTCTAGGCCATGGCCCACATTGTACATGTGAATGTGAAAATTCTTTCCACTAAGTTAATAGTCAACCAGGCTTCAGTGAGTCTCTCGATCCTCTTCAGGTGTTCGTCCTACACCATAGAATGATTGATGACGATGTCAACGTAGGCTTCGACACCCTCAGGATTGGCTGTAATGTCATTGCCCAGCATACATTGAATTTCCTTCTTCAGAGCTTCAAGCTTGATTGGATTCATCCGGTAGGGATGTTGTTACACAGGCACAGCGTCGCCCACATCTTCATCGTGAGACACTAAATCTGTACATCCGTGAACACGTGAGCAAACTCTTGAATTAACTCTGACACTTGAGCCGTTTGCTCAGATGACAAATGACTTAACTTAGCAGCCAAGTTAGCTAAAACTTCAGAATTGTTTCGCTTAGGGCTAGTATAGTCAGCGATGCCTTCAAACCTGACAAAGTAACAATTCTCATCAGCATCAAACTCTGATACAATATCCACAGGTAACACAGTGGCAGCACACCGAGTAGGTACATTGTCATTTCTTTCATGATACTTTCCAATCATATTGACATGACAAAGCTGTGTCTTCTTGCGATGGTCTGGTGTTTGTACAACATAGTCAGTATCACTGACCTTTCGGTCAATCACATATTGACCGTGTCTAGGGCAAACTAATCATGTTGAAGAACTTTACCAAGGCCTTGATAAAAACCTGAGCTGTAAGTTTCCGTAAAGGAAGAGCCTCTGAAAACCTTGTGGAAGCAAACATGATAGGAAGCATGTGCTAATTTCCTGACTTAGCTTTAGGAATCAATGATGACCCTGCTGAAACGTTCTTGAACTGGGTTCAAAGGTGCGGCTGGGATTTTCTGATTAGGTTTGCAAAAATTGCTTTGAGAACTTTGAGTTCTGGATCTTCCCCCGTAACTTAACTAACTGCTTCCTACCCAGAACTGGTTCCTCAACAGCTAAACTGTCAAAATATTTAGTACTGTCCCTCGAAAAGTTGGACAGGTCAAGAGGATCCACGAACGTGCCAGCTAAATCATAACTGGAATCATTCCTAGAAGAACGTTGCTTAGCCATAGCAGAAATAACATACACGAAGGAAAAATACCTGGAATATCTTTAATTTTCAAGATTTTCGTTACTTTCCGAAGTGCTAAGCTCAAGAAAAACAACAGGATCAGCAAAACATTTTCCCCCTGCCAAATCATTCCCAATGAGCAAATCTACACCTTTTACAGGTAGAGTTTCTACAACCCCCACCTTCACTGACCCAGAACCAAATCTGTCTTCAAAGTCACAAAATGGAGAGGTACAACCACATAAACCCTCTAACAAAAACTCTGATAACTGATAACTCCTCCGAAAGTGGCAAAATACCAGGGGGTGAACTATCTGTTCCTGATTTGTAACGCTGCAAACTCCTGCTTGTAAACCCAGACTTCTTAAAACTAACCCTTAGTTAGCGAATAATCATCAGCCAAAGTAGCAGCCTTATGTAATTGATCCACTTTCTGCTCACCAAGATATGTCCGAATGTCCGTTGACACACACTGCTTTAAATCCTCCAGCAACACCAACTGCCTCAAACTATCAAAATTCCCATTGACCTCCTTTGAAGTACACCACCTATCAAACAGAGGTGAGGTGAAATTGGGCTTAACGTCCAAAATTATTGCACTTATATAGCGACGTGCATGCACGTGTATGTGTGGCTGCTTGTACTAGTCCGGACTGATGCCGATTTATAGTGCTATCACACTGAGATACCATGCCGAAGTTTAACATGAATACCCCACTCAGACACAGTATACTGACTCCGAGCCGACCAGTCCTTGTTTTAGCCCTTTAGTGCCGAGCGCCAGAGAGGGTAACAACAAGTTCCATCTATTAACGTCTTTTGGAATGACGGGGCCGGGGATCGAAACCCGGACCTTCCGCTCTCCGGGCGGACGCTCTACCACTAGACCACGGAGGCGGTCTCTATCAAACAGAGTTTCCTTCTCCCTTGCAAACTTAACAAAAGTAGAAACATCTCTTTTCCTAGCAAACCTCAACTATTGCCTGCAGGCTTCGTGAGCTACTTCATAAGCCTTCAAAACTTCATCCTTAAGAACCTGATAATCAGAACTCCTATCAATAGGTAAGGCAGAATTGAATTTCTGAGTTATCCCCTTAACACACTTTGTAACATCGTGGTCCACTGATTCTGAGGCCATTTCAAACTGTGAGTTATCCCCTTAACACACTTTGTAACATCGTGGTCCACTGATTCTGAGGCCATTTCAAACTGTGAGTTATCCCCTTAACACACTTTGTAACATCGTGGTCCACTGATTCTGAGGCCATTTCAAACTGTTAACTACCTTTTCAAACTTCTCAAGATCTCGTTCAGAGGAGCCGGAACAAGTCTAATTAATCTGCTTAGAAGATCAAACAATTCATCACCTGATGAGGTACAGTGAGAGAGATCATTCCGTAATTCAAGTTCTTTTAGCCTAATTTCTTTATCAGCTTTCAATCTCAATTTTTCTTTTTCTCTCTCAGCTTCCATTTCTTTAAGCCAGAATTCTCTCTCTCTCTTTTTCTCCTTTTCTGCTTTAATTCTCAATGTTTCTGTTTACATTTATCTTTCCAAGCCGCGTTTCTTTTTCAATTTCCATAGTCAATTTTTCTCTTTCAAATTCTAATTTCTTCACAGCCAAAACATCAGTTTTTTCTTCATTCAAAATCCAAAGCATCATCATCCAAAATTTCTTCCTCAACCAGGAAAGTTTTCAAAATGTTCTTGACACCAGCCTCAAGCATACCCGATTTGACGTCAAGTTTGTAATGTTTGTACTGTTTGTAATGTTTGGCCAATTCGACCAGTTCAGACCTTTGGATCATAGAGACTTGTTCCGTAGAAGGTTGGCTAACGAACTCATTTACACTAAACACCATAGTGAATGTTGGCTTCACACAATATTAGACAATAAAATGTTTATCCAGTAATTTGACAAATGATTTATGGTATATTAAATTTCGATCCCAGACGAGCCCCCAATTTCTGTTACGTGTGGATTCCCAAATTGAAAACAATATGTAAACCCAGAAATCTGCACGTAAAATAATTTAGTGTGGAACCAACAAATAACCAACAAATGGAATCAACAAATATATTACAAAATCCACAAAGTTTCCAAATCAAAAGTAATTACTGCACAGCAATTACAATGGCAGTAAACAACAGAGTAGTAGTAATATATCTAATAGTACAGTATATATTGTGGTGACAGTGATCAGTATCAAATACATAATACAGTTGTAATAACAAAAGTCAGTGATAATAATACATAATAATCCCTGATAAGTCTTGATGTAATGAAATGTGTGAGAGATACGAGAGGCACGCTCTTGTCCCCGTATACAGTCTAATTAGTAACTGAAAATTTCAACACAGTGCCATCACAACATAGAATATTCTACACGTGTCTATAACACACTATCACAGTCCATGGTATTCCAGAAGTTTACACATCACAGGAGCATCTAAAAATAGTAACTTTGTTACATCTGCTTACATTAAATAGTACTACATGTCTGACACCTAATCACTGTCCATATCCAATATATACAATGCAATGAGCTTCTACAGAAATAATATAATACAGTTACAATCATTGTTTATAACAATAAAATACACTGTAATATAACAATACCTACAAGTGTGTTCATGTTGATACTCAAGTATGTTCACGTTGATACTTCACAAAAAAGGTGATATCACAATTCGATAACATATCATAAACTTGATTATTGATATCACTAAATCGAAATTGTTACATCAAACTGCTGTAACACTAGTTTACTTCACTATTTCCATATAATCAGTTGTATGTTAATGTCCTTAGTGACAATCAACCTACCTCAAGGCCACATTTGACGGCTGCTGGGTAGGCCATTCCTTTGCCTGCACCGTGAACAACGCCATACGTCAGGATCGTCAATCCCAGCGAGTGGCGGACCGTCCAGTAGGTCAAGGCCATGCCTAGACTGGACAACATTGCGTCATGCTATTAGACACATAGATAACAGCACGACATGTCATTTAGCGACTCTCAGGTTACAAGGCCGTAGTTAACTTTTTTTGACTGGGTGGGGGCAGATATTTGTACAAGTATCACTTGTCCTCAACTTGTATTTTCATGAGTCAAATAAAAACTGTTTTCTATACCGTGATTCTGGCATCCCTGATATACGTGACGTAGATAATCTGGCAGTGATAAAAAGCAACCCTGACACCTGTTAGGTCTTTATTCTGGCATCCCTGATATACGTGACGTAGATAATCTGGCAGTGATTAAAGCAACCCTGACACCTGTTAGGTCTTTATTCTGGCATCCCTGATATACGTGACGTAGATACTCTGGCAGTGATTAAAGCAACCCTGACACATGTTAGGTCATTAATCCGGCATCCCTGATATACGTGACGTAGATAATCTGGCAGTGATTAAAGCAACCCTGACACATGTTACGTCTTTATTCTGGCATCCCCGATATACGTTACGTAGATAATCTGGCAGTGATTAAAGCAACCCTGACACATAATAGGTCTTTGTTCAACCATCCCTGATATACGTGACGTGGATACTCTGGCAGTGATTAAAGCAACCCTGACACATAATAGGTCTTTGTTCAACCATCCCTGATATACGTGACGTAGATACTCTGGCAGTGATTAAAGCAACCCTGACACATGTTAGGTCGTGTTTCATGCATGTCTGGTATACGTTAAATGGATAATCTAGCAGAGATTCTGCTGTGTAACACTAACATACGTGGAGAGTATAGAGTATAAACGTGAAGCATGTAAATTGCCGCGGTACGTTTCCGGAATTATCGTACCGTTGTGGTATCGCAAAAACCGGGTTTAAAGTGCTTGCTCACTAAAATACCCTGCCGCAGTCAAACAGAAATAACTCTCACACATTGTATTGACTGTGAGCCGACCAGTCCTTGTTTTATCCCCATAATAGATGGGTAACATCAACTGCCATCTCTTAACGTCTTTTGGTTTGACGCGGCCGGGGATCGAACCAACGACCTTGCGCTCTCCAGTCAGATGCTCTACCACTAGACCACGGAGAGGTTATTTTACTTGGGAGCGATATCTGTATGCACATAATTAATTTCACAGGTGCGTGTTATTAGCTGAATGTAAATGTTACAGTAGTGAAATCATCTACGTTGTTATGAGTTATGAGTTGGCAATTTCTAGTCAAAACAGCTTAGGTTACCTGAAAGTCCACGAGCCAATGAGCACACAGTATTTGGGATGAATCCGTTGTTCCAGCAAACCCAAGATAGGCATTGCCCCCGCCATAGACATGGCCTGAGCAGTTGATATCCATATGGTCTGTGTGTAGCCCACGCTGGAGTTCTCCTCCCCCCCTCGCAGGTAGGAGGTAACGTACGGGTTCATATTCCCTGTCAGTAAACATCATTAAGTGAATGGGCGCTCTGTTATCACTTGTAAAATACTTAACGTGTTTTACAGTATAAACGATCATGAACTTTATAATTAACAACACAGTCAATTTACGATAAAAATGCAATACATCCACGAAAGATTTTTTTATTCCTGTATTCGAATAATTACTTTATATACGTTGTATCCAGCATTAGAATAATTATTATATATTACATATTGTCCAGCATTCGAATAATTACTATATTTACGGACCCGTGAAGATCCGGGGTAGAATGGGTCTTCAGCAACCCATGCTTGCAGTAAAAGGCGACTATGCTTGTCGTAAGAGGCGACTAACGGGATCGGGTGGTCAGGCTCACTGACTTGGTTGATGCAGGTCATCGTATCCCAATTGCGTGGATCGATGCTAATGATGTCAATCACTAGATTGTCTGGTCCATACTCGATTATTTACACACCGCCGTCATATAGCTGGAATATTGCTGAGTGCGGCGTAAAACAACAACAAACAAAACAAAAACTATATTTACGTTATGTCCAGGATTCGTATACCTGTAATTACTATTTATTAGACACAAAAGCTACAATGTGATCAAGTCGGCTTTAGAACAACAAATTGGCTCAACGAAAACAATTAGATATGTTTCATTTCGATGACATGACATTTATTTGGTACGTTCTTTTAACGTGTTGAACCTTTACAAGCATTTTGATCAGCAGAAACCATCAGGCCCGAAGCAGTACCTATTGGAGGTTTCCAAGCTCTTGATATAATTACCTGATCTAAATCATCTGAAGCAAATCGTTTATTTACTTAAAGTCTCTTACCGAAAACGTAGGTGGTGCTGAGGGTCAAGTGGACGAGAAACCCGCCCAGAACAGTTACCATCCCTCTCACAGGCCATCTTGACACACTGAAACAGGCACTGTCCGACATCGTGTTTGTGAACTGATTACTTCATGTGTCTTGCTCTCTGCTTTCATGCAAGACGTGCCACGACTGAACATGTCAAAGTGAAGTGCGCTGTCATGAGCCACGTGACTATGAATATAAAGAACTATCCTCCGTTGATGCAAATAAGCACAGTTTTAATATGTCTGTGACGGAGCTTGAATAAGAATAAAGTAATAATAGAAAACGTAGCAAAAGTCTTTTGGATAATTAAGACAAACGGTGAAGGGTGAGGGTGAAATTGGGTTTAACGTCGCGTCAAATTCAAGATTATTGCACTTATCTAGCGACGTGCATGCACGTGTGTGTGGTGGCTTGTACTAGTCCGGACTGAAGCCGATTTATAGTGCTAGCCCACTGAGATACCATGCCGCAGTTTAACATGAATACCCCACTGAGACACAGTATACCGACTCCGAGCCGACCAGTCCTTGTTTCAGCCCCTTTATGCCGAGCGGAAGACAGGGTAACAACAAGTACCATCTTTTAACGTATTTTGGTATACGCGGCCGGGGATCGAACCCCGGACCTTCCTCTCTCCGGGCGGACACTCTACCACTAAACCACGGAGGCGGTCTTAAGACAAACAAATACGCCTGAATGACAATATAACCTTATAGACTAAAGTCGCTTGGACTCACAGCAATAAAAAAGGTACTTGACCTAAACTAGGCAATCCCTGGAAAATTGGTTATTCACGGATTACTACTAAAAGGTTGTTTACGATATTACATCCGAGGTTTAGCCCAGCAACACCAGTAAGTCAGTCCTATATCACAATTGCTCCATAATTACTTATCAGTGAAACTAACTTTGGACATGACCACCCAGTATGTAAACGGTCTAGGAATCCATGGCGAAAAAAACACTTCTTTCGTTGTTGCTTTAATTGGCTAAGAGACCGCAGAGTTTTAGCACTGATAACATTTCTCTTTTTGAATTAATAAGATTTCTATTTTCGTATACAAGTATTGACATGATTTCTTTTTTATGTATTGCTGTTCGGTCGAGTAGCTGTCCATCTCTCAGAAATAGAGTTAGATGGCCTTCGCTATTGCATCTCTTGGCTTTAGGATATCTACGACAGATAGTGGATCTAACTGAAGTCTTGCTTTCACCGAGCCGGGCATGGTCTTCCAGTACCAAGTGAGCAATGGATTCAGGTTGATTGCAATATGGGCGCAGCATAAAACGTGACTAGTCACTGAATCAAACTTGTCTTCATCGCAGTTGTGGCCATACTCTGTGACCTTAACACCAACCTGGTTGTGCTTTTGCGATCTTTTCACCAAAGTTCTGCAGTACTCATTCTTTCCACACAAATCAATCAAAATCCATGCAGAAATGTCCAATTCATTTTTGGTGTTAATTTTGTATGGATGTCGACAACTCTCTATGAAACGAGATAAGTATTGGAAGGTTGAGGGTTTTGAATCAAGAAGGACTTTTTCAACAGATTATTTCTTCAGCCAGCATCTGACTCAGCTAATGACGCATCAGAATCTGAACCATCACCCAAAGGTATGATAACTGGTGCAACAAGGTCGATATCTACGCCGTCACGTTGGCGGTATTGACGTTCTATTTCAAGAACGTGATATGCAACCTTTTGCCGTACCTCTGTTGTGATTCTAAGCAAAGACTGCGTTGATCAACACTTTGACATGTGTGAGTTTGAATGTTGTGTTATGTCTTGCCACGTACCTTTTGTGGTTTGCCCAGATAAGCTCGATAGCGTTGAGATCACAATGTCTCACTGGCGCATGTAACCGTGTTGTGTCTTGTACTCTACCGGTTTCTTATTCAGGCCAATTTTCTCCACGATACGGTTATCAAATGTTTTCTCTGTTCTTGATATTATCTACATATGTTTTATGGTTTTAACGTTATCCGCAGTTTATGTACAACTTGCGGGGGAACGTTGGTGGCCCAGTCGTCTAAGGCGACGCGATTCGCCGTGCAGAGTTGCGTCCCTTGGGCTCGCCAGAAACCTATGATTGTGGGTTCGAATCCCGGTTCGCCCCAATTATGTTTCTAGGTTTGTCAGCACCATATCCCTGCTATACCCGAAGTGGTAAACGTCTGAGACCTGCATAACTTCGGGTTTTGCTCCCACATTAAGCTGACACGCCGTGATATAACTGGAATACTGTTAAAAGTGCCGTTTATCCCAACTCACTCCCCCACTCAATCATTATGTACAACTTGCAATAATTTTGCGGTTGAGTTTAGGATATATTGCATGTGTCTCGTGAAATACCATCATGTTCCCCTGTCACTCGATGAGAGAAACATGAAGCGGACGTAAAATCCTATAAATCAGTCATCAGTCATGTTTGTTCATTCGACATGGCTAATCCTCAGCGTGTTGAGTTTGTGACATCCCAGAAAGGTGGACAGCAGGTCGTCCTAGATGGATATCGGTACCGCCTGAACAACAGAAGACAGACCTGTGTACACTGGAAATGCGTAACCACTGGATGCACAGAAAGTGTACCACAGTTGGAGACTTTGTCAGAAACCGCAGCCCTCACAACCACCCAGCAGAAGACATGACGACTTTCTGTACTTTAAGTGTTCTTATAGAGAGAGTCCAAGCTGAGACAACACCAATCCAAGCCATCTTTGAGGAAGAGGTTGCCACACTGGAAGAAGATGCAGCTGCAGTATTTCCATCCTTCTATACAAAGAGAAGTGGTCTCTACAAGCAGCGTAGGAAGACTATTCCAGCCCTCACTGGCACAAGTTCAGCTCCTGGGTACCTGGCAGGATACCTTGGACGGCAGACCCTTTATGTGCGTCAACGATGGTGATGATGAGAAGTTTTTTTTGCTTTGCCACCGAAGACCGCCTTCACCTTGTTCAGCAGTTGGACACTTTATATATGGATGGAACATTTTATTCTGCTCCAGCCCTGTGGGATCAGTTGTACATAGTGCATGGGTTAGTTGGATCCAAGATGACACAGCTGATCTTTTGTTTGCTGCCCAATCGCCAGAGATCCACATATGACAGAATCCTTCAGCCAACAACGTCAACGTCCTGCCGTGGCTTGCACGCTCACCCGACATGTCCCCCATAGAACACTTCTGGGACTTGATGGATCGTCGTGTTCGACAACGACCACACTCTCCAGCCAACCGGCAAGAACTGATGTTGGCACTCCAAGACGAATGGCGTCAAATCCCACGTGACCTCATCAGACGACTGACTTTTTCTGTGCGTCGAAGAGTTTTTGCGTGTATTGAGGCATTTGGTGGTCACACGCGCTACTAATGACTTGTTATTGAACGTGAGCGATTGTTTATGTACTCTGCCTATTGTCCATGATTCTGAAAGCTCGAGTTTTGTACCACACCCAACTTTGGGGGGCTCTGACGTCATTCTCGGTCTTGGTATGGTTGTCATTTTCAGTGTTGATATATTGATCTTCTCAATACACTTTACTTTATGCATGTATGTTTTGTTGTTTTTTAGCAAGAGTGATTTCAAACTCTGGTAAAGTTTCTTTTGGACGTCAGTTTATAAGAACTAATGCAGTGGTGCAGAAATCATAAATTATTACTGTTAGTGTTATGGCCATGTGAAATAAAAAGTGACTTCATACAATTTTCTGTCTTTTGTCGCCTATAGGCATTATTCCACGTGGACGCCGCCGTCTCACCTGGCCGGTTGGTCGTGTTGGATATTGCTTATATAATGATAAGTTTATTCAAATCAAAGGGCGGAAGTGACAGTTTGAGCATACACACGCTTTTTCACCCCGGCAATACAGCTGGTGCATGGTTGTTGTATGGCTGTCAGGGTAAACATGAGGTCACATGTACCAAATGAAATGGTGTATAAATCCAAACAGAGAAATTATAACAATTGACGTTCACTGTATGTTAGTTAATCCATCCTAATCAAATTGAAAAAAGGCGTCGTATTACTCAAGCTGCCAACCCCCTTTTGGTACGTGGTATTCGGGGGTCTATTTAGAAGGTATTCGGTAGAGTGGTACGCGGGATTCGGGGGTCTATTTAGAAGGTATTCGGTAGAGTGGTACGCGGGATTCGGGGGTCTATTTAGAAGGTATTCGGTAAGTGGTACGTGGGATTCGGGGGTCTATTTAGAAGGTATTCGGTAGAGTGGTACGCGGGATTCGGGGGTCTATTTAGAAGGTATTCGGTAGAGTGGTACGCGGGATTCGGGGGTCTATTTAGAAGGTATTCGGTAGAGTGGTACGCGGGATTCGGTGGGTCTATTTAGAAGGTATTCGGTAGAGTGGTACGCGGGATTCGGGGGTCTATTTAGAAGGTATTCGGTAGAGTGGTACGCGGGATTCGGGGGTCTATTAAGAAGATATTCGGTAGAGTGGTACGCGGGACGCAAATAAAGTTGTATTTGGTACGAAGATTCAACATTTACAAAAATAATGGTATAAGTAAAAGTTAACTTTAAAATATTATAGTTTTTCGATATTTTTTAAATAATCTAACTTCAAATCGCACCTTTTTCTCAATGTTTTTGAGAATTGTGTTAAGCAGTATTCGGGATTCAGGGGTGAGCAATGAGGCACCCTTATACAGTCATTCTCAGTTAAATGGAGCAAATAGCTGAGCAAAGTATGGAAAGAATAAGTTGTGATTTTCCATTAAGTAGAATCTTCAACAATACAAGTAATACAAAGTAACCTACCCTGATATTACAGTGTAATTTACATAACAAAACCTGGCTAAACATTACAGATTCTATAGCAATTCCTAAAGATCCCTTGATGGACAATGCATCAAGGGATACTAAAAGGAAACTAGATATTTCACGCACAATAACTTATAAAGATGACTACTTTATACTTATAGTGTTTCTCCTTTATTTGCATATGCAAGAAATTAAACCCGAGGACAACATGTGAGCCTCATTACGGATCCCGTGAAGGCAAGTCTTCATATTTTATACTGTACAACATGGACAAGCCAAACCTCTAGATGTTTCCAATGACATCATAAGGCGTGATGCAATGGCCAGTGGTACAAACACGTGTGTTTAAATAGTTTTGGGGGTTTACATTATCTACTAAACGGGGTTTTTTTTCAAATGCCTATCAAACTTAATGCAGTGTAATTACCTTAACGTAAATTACATCTTAACTTCAATGGTTCGTATCCAGATATATATCCAGGTTTTGGTGCTGTTCTGTTACGAAACATGTGTGGACATGGAAGCCCTGTTTATGACCACAGGCAGAAACTAATTCAAATTCACATTACCTATTTCTAGCTGTCACGTATAATTACATCCTTAAAAATCGTTTTGAAAATTCCTCATTAACGAACAAGTTCTTATCAACTACAGCTTTTGTTATATTTTACAAGGTATATACTTTTTGTATGTTTCTTCCAGCTTTGAATAAACCTGTTTGGTTGCAAAATATGATATAAACAAATGAGGTAAGCATCATGAAAGTTAGCATAACGTAAATTTCACATCTGCCTCCAAAATATTTAAGTATATTTGATAGTTCAATTCCGGCTCACATGCAGGATTTTTGGCATTGAAATAAGAGGACTATACTGAAGTATTTCTGACATTGTCACACATATCTTAGTTTAACATTTTCCTGATGGAAATGATATTTACCAACAATTGAAAAATCTCACCCCCAAGCTAGGAGGTTACATCTATGAATTATTTGCACATGTATTATGTGTTATTTTGTTTCGAATTAAGCTTCTTGTATACTTACCAATATAATGCGCAGAAAGTTATCTTAAAAATACACTACAATTTAGGAATAAATCGGTGTCATGCCCGAGCGTCTGCATATGTACCATTTAACTGAGAATGCCTGTATAACTGATAGACCGTCAAAGTTGATGGTCTTACCAACTAATTAGTATTGTATAAATGGCGAGTGAACCTCAATTTGCATGAAGATTACCTTCCCGTGAGGGTCCCGGATAAGGCTAGAGCCCCAACAACCTGTGCTAACTGGTCGTAAGAGACCACATGGATCGGGCGCTCAGGCCCAGCGATTTGGTCAATGGCGAGTCATCGTATCCCACCAGTGTAGGACGTTGCTCATAATGTCAATCCGTGGTTGGTAACGACTGCTTTGTGAAACGGTGCCCTGGTTCGAATACTTCCAGGCAGCCGTCGTGTTGGTGACCGACAGCGTCAACCAACAAGCACAAGTATATTTTACGAATGCATCGCTTTCTTTAAGAATCAGGGGAGGCAACTCTAAATGCTTGTCGCCAAGAATAAGCTTCCTGTGCTGTCAATGAAAGTACCTGGTTAAACCAGTATCAGCCGAGTGAGGTATGCTTCTTATATTCATGCTTGCTATATATAAAATCTACAAAAAGTATTCATAAATTACTTTGGTGTCTATTGTAAGGTAATACCTACCTTTAGGAGTCATGTGGACCCAACCTCATTCAGGGACCGGTCATTTTTTACAGGGGAAAGAATATGACAGTGCTTTTGCAACTTGCCTTTTCAGAGTGAGGTGAAATTGGGGTTCAACGTCGCGTACAAGATTATTGCACTTATATAGCGACGTGTATGTGTGTGTGTGTGTGTGTGTGTGTGTGTGGCTGATTGTACTCATCCGGACTAATGCCGAATATTGATGCTAGCCCACTGAGATACCATGCCACAGTTTAACTTGAATACCCCACTCAGACACGTCACACAGTATACGGACTCCGAGCCGACCAGTCCTTATAATTATTAGCCCCTTTATGAAGCAGTCAGTGATCGAATCCCCGACCTTCGCTCTCCGGGTGGACGCTCTACAACTAGATGTAGATCTACAAGGACTTGGGGATGTTCACTCAAAAATATGTTAACGGAGTGAAGTGTGTAAATCAGGGTTTTTTTTGCATGCATTGTTTTCACTAAATTAGTACATCCAAAACCTCTGATCAACCCACCCAAAATGACCAGCCCCTTAACCTCCCATTTCAACAATATTTCTATTCTTAAAGTCAAATGTTATATAAAACACCAAAATCATATAAATGTTTCAATGTTCCAAAACAAAGCAAACAACTACAGAAATTATTAGCCATCAGGTTATATTCTCGGAGAGCTGAATCAGTATTTTCTGAAAAGGCCTTGTTCTACATTGGACATATGTACCATATTCCCTCGTGATTACATCACCAGTGATTACAATATGAGCACTAGCAACTACACACAAAAGGGTAGAGGGATTCACATTACACACACGTCACAAACATGTTAGGTGTCACTACACCATGTGGACCAGCCTGTGTTGACAACCTGTTCATGTGTGTCAGTTGAAGTTGGTAGGCTGTTTTTGACCAGACTAGGGAAGGCTATATTACACCAGACCGACCATACAGTGGCTGACAGCATCACCAGCAGGGCGTGATGCCACAACCAAGTCACACACTACTCACCCTCATTGCAGTCACCAGCAGGGCGTGATGCCACAATCAAGTCAAACACTACACACCCCTAATTGCAGTCACCAGCAGAGCGTGATGCCACAACCAAGTCATACACTACACACCCCTCATTGCAGTCACCAGCAGGGCGTGATGCCACAACCAAGTCACACACTACTCACCCCTAATTGCAGTCACCAGCAGGGCGTGATGCCACAACCAAGTCACACACTACTCACCCCTAATTGCAGTCACCAGCAGGGCGTGATGCCACAACCAAGTCACACACTACTCACCCCTAATTGCAGTCACCAGCAGGGCGTGATGCCACAACCAAGTCACACACTACACACCCCTCATTGCAGTCACCAGCAGGGCGTGATGCCACAATCAAGTCACACACTACTCACCCCTCATTGCAGTCACCAGCAGGGCGTGATGCCACAACCAAGTCACACACTACACACCCCTCATTGCAGTCACCAGCAGGGCGTGATGCCACAACCAAGTCACACACTACACACCCCTCATTGCAGTCACCAGCAGGGCGTGATGCCACAACCAAGTCACACACTACTCACCCCTCATTGCAGTCACCTCATCACTTGCATGTGGTACTGGGTTCTATTAGGCCTTTGCCTCAGCCTCCCCAACAAACTGATGTCATGAGTTCATTTGTTTCACATCATGGACACATGTGTGACAGTTCATGATTTCAATATCACACACTGAATGACATGTAGGCCCATCATGAATTTTAACGGTTGAATACTAAGTGGTAAAATCTCTCCCCAACAGGTAAGAAAAGTGTGTCTGAGGTTCTAATGTTTTTCAAAGCAGCTGGTTGTTATATGAGGGGGCCAAGACACTAGGCATCCGTAGTACCATTCAATGTGTCTTGGCATCCATTTTAAGAACTCTTTTGAGTCATATCAGTGTGCACAGCTGATACAAGTAAATTAGACTGGGGTTTTCACATAAAATGAATGATCATGCATGCCCATATCTTAGGGCTAAAATTTTATTGATTTTTCACTGTTCCTATATATTTCGACATAGAAGTATTGTCATCCGCTACCATATGAACATTTCATGGCATATAGGGTAGTTCACTGCAGCATTCATGACACCACTCAATAGGGCTTGGTATCCAGCATACCAAAGGTATGAGATGAATGAGATCTATTTTCAACATGTTAAAACTGTTGACAAAAATGCTTTTCCTAAAGTTCTATTTAACTACAGATGTCACTAGATTCAAGGTCAACATGACGGTTAAAGGTCACTACTAGTTTAAAGGTCATTACTGGGTCAAATACCATAGACAATCACTGTATACTGAATAAATCATTTACATACAAATATGTGAAAATCATGTACAGCTCAACATAATGAACTAGGGCTGGGACAGGTAACTCGGCTACCCGGGTCGGGTTAGTACTGAGTAGGACCTGAGTACCCACAGGATTACCCGGACCCGTGGTTAGTCATGTGATATATTGTCTAATGACTTATATTATCTGGAACTCTATGGTTACACTACAAGTCATTAATGTTCGTTTTTCTTTCTGACTATGCACCCATTCCTTCTGATTTTTCATATGGTTGAATAAAAATATAACTTAAGTCGGGGACTTAAACTTCAGTGTATACATGACCAGATTTAGATACAGTATGTAAATACGTTTTGCCAGGGCTCAGCTAAAAATGTTCCCAATCGGACATTTTTGAGACATCTCCTGAGAGTTATAGTGAGTACCTGGGTAGGGTAGGGAAATAGGGGGGCGGGTACCCAGGTAGTTAATTCCAGCCCTACTGTGGTAAGATTCACCATCCTAGTTTCTGCATGATGGGTCATGTGGATCCAAAGATGCAGTCAACTATGGACAACTCAAAATTTGTGAAGCTCATATGCTAGAAAACAACACAGAGCTGCTCAACTACTGAATACAGGACAAATGATTACAAAATCCGAATGCACAAATACGTTTTTGGAACCCATGATTAACATTTTGGAATTTTATGACAAGGGACATCCTACTAGATATCTGTAAAGTTATTCCCATTCGGTATTGTTCCCAGGGCCCCATTTCATGAAGCAACCTCAGGCACAACCCCTACCATTTGACACAGACCTCGTGCTAAGATGTGAGAATGTCTTTACAGAAAAGAAACGGTGTAAGCAATACTGCAGGAACATCATGTTTGAGGACATCAACTATCAGCTTCACAGGTTTCATCCATGAGGGGAACAAACTTGGGTCTACAGTACAGGCAAATATCTTCATCACTAGGTTACCTCTCCCTCTTCCGTCAGTCAGGAACAGGTCATTGTGCCACAACCATGTAAGTCACTGTGTTACTGCGCAACAAAAGCAGTGAGTAAATATAGCAACATCTCAGCTATTTGCAGAGGTCCAGGACTTTGAAAAAGGAAGAGGCCCAATAGCCACAAAGACAATTGAGACACAGAGAGGTGTTGACATTTGATCTGTTGATAACCTCTTGGCAATCAGGACAGAAGATATTTCATATGTTCATTTGCTCTTTATTAATACACAAAATTTTACATAGCAAGATAGAAATTATATATGTATATTATATATAGTTTACAGGCAGTAGACCTGGCCATATGAAAGAGGCATGATTTACAATTGTATGGAGCAGAGCAGCAAGCTACAGTGTACATACATGCTAGGATAGATCTGTACATAGACAGGAGGCCTCAGAGGTATTCTACCATAGGCTCAGTAACTTCTACACATCTCTCAATGTATTCCACACAATATTGTGTCCTGTAATGGGAGGCACCCTTACAGTATTCAAGGATTATCTAAAATCTGACAGAACACTATTCTGCCTGGTTATTGTTTAACCCTACGGCACATATTTCCTAATTCAGATACAAAATGATGTGGTACTTAGCATCTTGTGTACAAAACCAGTTCAGAATAACTTCATAAATACAAGCGTTAGGTAATGCAAACATATCGTTTCTGAGTGCACTGAATTTAAATAACAAAGTCTGTACAAGAAATGGCCAGGTTTCAAGTAACTGGATACACAGTAACTCACTTGTTTTGATAGTCAAAGGCATATTTTCCCCAATCCCAACTGAATTCTTATAATATACATAATGCAACACGGATTCTTACACAAACAGAACAGTACTGACAACCACAGCCATGTTTTACTGTGACATGCTGGTGAAGAAGGATCTCTCACATTAACCAGCTGGATCTCCCGTCAAAACTAGGTTAGCAATGGGATCAATTGCCTAAGCTGACAGCTCTTTAGGATTGTATTTCCATGCCTTAGAAAAGACTGTGGAGATGGTCATATTCATCAGGTAGAAATCAATGGCGACACCAACAGCGGGAAAGTAACAAATGGAATTTTGTGATTGGACAATACGACAAGTGTGTTACAGACATGAAGTAGCTTTGTACAGAAATAATTTCATGACAATTCATTCTCGGAAGGAGAACTGCCCTTCCTTAAGGGCACAATGAAGTGTCGGCTACAAAAAATTCATCACAGATATCATATACATAAAGCGACATTTATTTGGGTTCAGTCTTCCTGGTGACACATTGCACACTATCTGGACTGAGTGTGGTGATTATTCGGATCTTAAGAGGAGTTATGGGTAGACAAACCAGCATTTTAGCCCGATTTTGGCAATGGCAATTCTGCTTCATCAACAAGACAGAGTCATGTTAATATGGACCATGTTTGTTCCTAAATGGCATCCTCAATTTGCCACAATTAATCTACTTTGGCAACCTAGTTCTTGTAAACTGAATCTGGTCACAGAATCACATCCACTTGAGCTAAGAACACCAATCAAAGTTGAATGAACAATTCAAGATCCTAGTGAAACAATATCAAAGGCCGAGACAAGCAGTGCTAGAACACACCAAATCGCTGGAAAACTGTGAAAAATTATTCTCAAAACGAGGCAGTCTTCTTCATTAGACAAATACTATACCAAGTTGTACAGGCAATGTCAGACTCAATACTGGAGACTTTCCAACAGTCAAAACAGCTTAACTAAGAGTGTCCTTAAATGATACATTGATGGTTGTTTTGGTTCAGTTAAATGTGACAAACTGTTGACGCAGAATGGCGATTGCTATTTAGTAGCAATTGGGTGCTGATGGGAGTTTGGCAGTACCTTATCAAGATCGTCATCAATGACCATGCTATAGATCCAAAGAACAAAGACCCAACCAAAACTCAAAGTGTTGTGAGACTTGGACTAGAACTCAGGCACATGAATTAATGTGTGTTCAGTTCCGTCATTCTGACTGGAATCATGTTGATGGTGAAGGATTTGGGGATCTGTTGTAGCAGCCTTCTACCACTACTCTCAATTACCTTAGTCTTGGTGCCAAGACCATTTTGTTGAAGAGGTACCAAATAGCCTTCTCTAAGCAACATGTCCTTCTAGTCCTAAGTTCTGTTATATCAAACCAACTAAACCAGCTTATTCTTCCACAAGGAAGAGTTTAACAAGGGGCATTGTATACATCCTAACATTTTAATAACAAGTCAGCAAAATGAATTACAAAAAAATATATGTCAACTTTTCATGCCTTTGCCACTAACAAGATTTGCATAATCAACAATAACAAATATTGTACCTTAACAATTCTAAGATTTAAATCATGTCATCTTTAATCAAATTCGAACAAACCAACAGTGATGTTCTAAGCTTTATACCGCAAACAAAAGTAAGACAAACCTTTGAAGTTTGTGAGAGGCAACCAAGGTCGTGTGTGTGTGTGTGTGTGTGTGTGTGTGTCAATGTGTATGTACACAGTTGTTTCCACTCAGTCCATTCATAACACATCATAACCTGTACTGCCATGCAAGAACCTTAAAATACAGCAAGCCATACCTGCAAAGGGAGATAACTCACAAACAGTACTGTACACTCCACTCGGCAATATTTCAGCTAGCTAGCAAGTGTAATTCCAAAAAGGGGAAAAAGATCATCATGGTTGACTGCCGAATATACTTATTAAGATCCTTGGTTGTGAACATCCTTAAGTACTGTGTGACAAAGTCTGTCGTTTGGGGGGAGAGAAATTACTCGGATGAAGGCCTTCTAGTTGGTTGTTCATAATCATGACCGTTATTTTGGTAAGGATTCCCATTTAAGGATTCATGCATGGCAGAAGTCAACATCATTCCACTACATAACAGCACTTCAGGCATGCAAAGACGTACAAGAACTCGCTCGATCATGAACTATTTCACTGTAGCAGCAATCTGCCATGGATAGCACAAGGTGGAATGTATACATCAGCCACTGCCACAGGAAAACTGGCAGTATCCTACAAGTGATCACGATGGTGGTGTTCTACTAGTAATCACTCAAGTTAGATACGAGCAATCACTGTAGTTTTCTACAAGTGATCATAGTGGTATCCTGCCAGTAATCACAGTAGCGTCTTACAAGTGATGCAGTAATCAATCAAGCTATGCAAGGGCAAATCACAAATAGGGATGACACAGGTTGCAAACAGGTCATCGTGACCTCAGTACAAATATTATAAGACACACTGCATTGCAGGGTCCCTAACCTGTTTTAATCAAGTCTGTAAATCACATTATGTTAATAAATAGATGCTTTTTCCTAACTTTAGAATCCTAATAAGAATTGGAAGTATGCAAGAGGTATACTTACATGGAGCAAGCATACTACTGTGGCAGGTGAACAGAATTATCCAATTATCGTAATGATCGAATTACAATCATTCAAGATTTGAAAAAAATAATAATTAAGAGATCGATGAACAATTTCAATATCAGATATGAACGAAAGTGATGCACCAATGGTCTGCTAATGGACTTAAAAACTCATTCTCCCGATTCGGACCATAACACAAATGGCTAACACATGAATGTACAAAAACGTATCATTGTAACCACCTTTTTCAGTGGCCCTTGTTAGTCAGCGTTCCACATGGAACACGGCCCCAACTGCACAAGACATGTTCCAATTCTTCCATAACTCGTCTTTCCTCCCAACTCATGTAGCTTTAAGTTGACAGTAATTTGAGCCTAGACGTTACAACATTGTTTCTTGGTTCCCACGGAATTATCTGTGGGCGCAACGGTAATTGTCTGTACATTGCTACTAGGCGAGTTTTCGTCGTCAGGACTATCACGGATTTGCTTCTGAGAAACTATTTTGTAAATCTCTGCAAATAGAGAAAAACATAATTCATGACATTCATAAACTCATACCTTAATGAAGCACACACTCCTGGACAATAACAATGTAAATGTTAAAAGTAAAATATCTAAATCATATTTGTTTATTAAAGAATAGGTCTCGATCATTGAAATCTAGTCTCGTAACTAAATTTGTGTTAATTCAAGATTTTACACATATATTAAAGGAAAACAAGGTGATGTACATTTCTTCCAAGTTATAAGCATGTGAAAGTTAACTTCTCTGAGAGGCATTTAGAAGTTGGAGTACTAAGTAAGGATAAGATTTATTGATGAACAACTACTTTATTACAATTGGAGCGACGTTTCGGTGTAGGTTCTAACACCGTTATCAAGTAAGTGATAACTACACCGAAACGTTGCTCCTAATTGTAATAAAGAAGTTGTTCATCCATTAATTTTATCCTTACATGTGAAAGTTGACATGAACTGTTTTGAATTGTCAACTGATTAGAAGCATTTTACACATAAGAAAAGTTACCTGTAAGAATGTTGTGAAATGCTGCTTCAACATTTGTGGAATCTAACGCTGATGTTTCTATGAAGGATAGATTATTTTTTTCTGAAAAAAACAACAAAAATATGTGTTATATTTTATTTGAAGAGTGAAAAGAACTGCCAAAATAAGCCTGTGTAGACAGAATTTACGGCCGACTATATACACACTCAGCAAATGGCATGGCACAACAAATTCAGACAACCATTAACAGTCCGGCTACGTCATGATGATAGAAACATTTGGCACCAGTCATTTAGTCACAACCAAAATGCATAAAGGAAAGTAGTAAGAAAATACATATAAATCAAATTAGGCATTTCTTTTCCCACCAGCGTTGCAACCATCCGGTATATCAACATATTTTGACCAGAAAAAGCAGGAACATGGAATTCCTTTTTACTTGTAAGTACTATCTGAAGCCTACACATAATATCTTACCTATTCTTTCAGTTCGTCATAATGTTGTAGATTAATCAGAACACATACTCAGTGATTTTTTACATGAGAATGAAGTAACAGGGAGAGATCTCTGTTTGTAACTTAAACAGCAGTCAGACATGAAGTAACGGCAGCATCCGTCGTGTCGCTTTTAAATTGGGTATTTTTGCTGATCTTTAATACCATATCAATTTGAAGAGGCCTAACAAAATATCATCATAATAAACCAAACTTATAATCAATGTAATACTAATATGATTTGGTGATTCATAACTGATTCCAAGGTAATGAGCATGGGGTTGTGTATTTGTCCCTGTTACCTGCAAATGCCTTGGCCTCATCTGTGGGTACAGCACGTAAATGTCTCAAGTCACTCTTGTTCCCCACCAGCATTATGACTATGTTTTGGTCTGCATGATCCCTAAGTTCCTTCAGCCACCTCTCCACATTTTCATATGTCAAATGTTTGGCAATATCATATACTAGCAGGGCGCCAACAGCTCCTCGGTAATATCTGGAAAAAAAACACAGACAGGGTGAAACATTTGATTGACAAGTTAAAGTTTTGGAGATACAAACTGCCTCTCCACAAGAAAGGAAACCATTACAGCTCAGCAAATTCATCTTAAATATTTCTCTCAATATCAAAATTTAGGATTAATTTTCATTCCTGCATCAAATTCACAAACTATGTCAGGGGTATTCAAATACCAAAATTTACTACTTGCCCAAGGGAAAGTAAACTCAAAAATTCTACTTGCTCAGTCTGATTTCCAACTTGCCCTGCTAAATCAGAGAAAACACAGCGACAAGCCAGTTTCACTATCGTGGGTCAGCCACTGCAACTCGCCAACCAAGAATATTGGAACTCTTGCTTCCATTTTCTTCCCATATGTTTTGTGCTTTCCCAGTAGTGTTTTACGCTTCTAATCGCTTATATTTTCAGTTGTCCTTGTCTTTACATTGAAAAACTTGTCCTAATGAAAAGCCATGTCAGTTAAACCGAAAATATGATGTCTAGCAACACACGATGTTTGATTGGTTAATAGATTGACAGTTCAGTAGCAAAAAATCCATTCGGAACTTGGAAACGTGTACACTGACATCTCGACTTGATAACGTTTAAGTAACTATCAGAATTAACCGCTGGAATTCCAATTTAGATTTTTAAACTGTGAGTAGACTGAAGGGTTAGATTTAACATAAAAATTTACTAAGCCAGCAGGGCTTGCTCCTTTTAAAAGTTACGGCCCTTCTCCAAACTAACTGACATACAACTAAATGGTGGAGGCCAGCCAAGTGGCTGAACCTGAGGTTGCATTGCCACCTAGCGGGGGATCTGCAATTTTGATAACCCCTCACCCATTAAACACCTTTTCCTGCACTCTGAGGATAAATCTTGGCTTCCATTTGCCTCTTTTCATGATGATTTATGAGCAATTAAAAGATGCTGCACACAACATTACAAAATGGCATCCAGTTGTCATTCTACTGAGATGATCGACATATATCTTTTTATGAACGGAAAGGGGTGAAATTTTGACTAGCTTTATGTTTCAAACAGCCCTTTCTAATTTAAACTGGTCACGGGCCAACGGGCCAGCAGTTAAATCGACCCATGGCTGACAGGTCCCCTGCCTCTGCTGCCAACGCTACACAACAGCCAGCCAGCAGATGTGAAGCATTGGTGCAGGGAACCAGTCTTATCCAGCAAGAAATTTGTGTAAAGGGAGGTAATTACAAATAATTTTCGAAGCACACGATGTATCTTCTAAGTTTTAAAGTTAACACAGCTGATTTTTATACTTGTCCGAGGGCAACCAAATGATATTTTCCCACTTGCCATGCACTTTGTTTTCACGGATTGGGCAAGGCGGGCTTTACTAATTGGACACCCCTGTATGTATAAGATTTCTACCTGTACCAGATACATGTATGTGAAACTGACAAGCAATGGACAAACACTTACGCACTAGTGATGGCTCTATACCTCTCCTGCCCAGCAGTGTCCCAGATTTGTGCTTTAATTGTCTTGCCATCAACCTGTATACTCCTGAAACACACAATTATACAGGATTTTAACATGACAAATGTACTTGTATCTATGTTCACTGTTTACATGAAAAGAAAGTTAACCAAAATCACACTTTATACACATCCTGCATTTACAAATTACAGCAATACAGCAGTAGAAACTAACACATACAAATCAGGCAAGGGGGAGGTGAAATGGAGTTAAAACATTGCATTCAAGATCATTGCTACATTCATATTTGTGTTTGTTGTTTAACGCCTGGACCAGACAATCCAGTGATTGACATCATGATCATCGATCCACGCAATTGGGACACGATGACATGCATGAACCAAGTCAGTGAGCATGACCACCCGATCCCGTAAGTCACCTCTTACTGCAAGCATGGGTTACCGAAGTCTCTACCAGGTTTTTCACAGGTCGCATACACGTGTTGTGTCTGTTTGTACTTATACAGACTTATGCCGGTTTTACAGTTCTAACTAGTCCACTGAGATACCATGCCGAAGTATAACATGACTCCCAAAACCACCAAGACGATCAGTCCATGGTTTATCACCCAATGCCAAGTGCAAGGCGGGGTAACAACAAGTACCATCTGTTAACATATTTTGGTATGATGCGGCCAGGGATCAAACCACAGACCTTCCGCTCACCTGACAGATGCTCTTTCAACTACACAATGGAGGCGGGCAATAAAAGTCAGAATCTGTACATTCATTTGAATACTAGCATTATGGATTTAATCATCAACACAAATGATGGGGCAGACGTTTGAAATTAGCACTAGATCTTTCTTTGTCACATAACAGCAGCTGCCTTTTGAAACTACTTGTCCTAGTGGACTGGAAACTCTAAAAATTACCAGTCCCTTCCAATATTTGTCAGTCCCAACATTTAACAAACAGAACACTGCAATGCAATGACGTGATCTCCGAAGTAACTTAGATCTCTAGTCATTCACACAAAGTTCAGTCACAATTTTCTCTTTTAATTTTGAATATCTCGAGACTAAGTCGCTACAAATATATATATTTAACCTCAAAGGAAAGCAAAATGTTATTTCCTTGCACTAAAAATAGACAAGGAGAAACCCTGATTGTAACACGAACAGATAAGCTGACTTCATTAAAAAAATATACTTATATGAATATTGCCAATGTTTTGTTCAACAACACAGATAACATACTTAATGTGCCGGTCCACAGGGACTGGCAACACACAAATTACCAGTCACTACCTAATTTTACTGTTAAAAACTGGTAATTACCGGTAAACGGGAACACTGTTAACAAATACAGGGTTCATATACATATTAGATGCTTAACGATGCACTCAGCAATATTCAAGTTAAAGAACAGTGGACTGCAAATAATCAATTCTGGACCAAGATAATCCAACGATTGTCATATGATATATCATATACTGAGCAGCAAGCCATGTCATCGAGGAATGATAACAAGCTGTCAACCATGTCACCCAGCCTGACTACCCAATCCATTGAGTTACATCTCACATGCACAGGTAATTGGGGACCAATTCTAACTTAGAATCACCACTGGGTCACAGATATACGAAATCAAAACTGTTTTCAAAGACTTTATCACTTATCCAAATAGGTCAAATAATCACCTGAAACTGAAAGTTCAAATGAAACATTTTCAACATCCTCAGGATCAATAATAAGAGAGTCAAGTTTTCCTTAATAGTTAGAACCTGATACATTCGTCACATTCCTTCACATATCAATGGCTACAGGAACCCTATCATAATGCTACTCAATCTGACAGGGAAGTAAACAAAGCTATGAAATATGAGTGATCATTTTTTTAAAGAAATTGATTATCTAACAAATCTTTCCACATGTTCAAGAGGTCTGTACCTATTACTATAGTATTTAAATTCTAGCACTTTTCAAGGACTGATTTAACAATTCCAGCAGTTGAAAAGCAGTTAATTTAAATACTTATCACTGAAACCTGTAATGGGTGTCTAAGTTCCACATAACTTGAGTTTGAGTGGTCAAAGGTGTGAACAATATTTCCTGTAACCATGATAACCTAAAATTAGTGGAGTTGCTGCCAAGTGTCAGTTTAATTTGGTGGTAGGGCGAGACACAGACATAAAAATATTGCTTCCAACATGTCCATACACCTAAAAAAAAATAAAAGGAGGTGAACATTGTAAATAATTTGCATAGTTCAATCAATGGGATACAAAATTTTATGGTTGATCAAATCAATAAATCTATTGTTAATGTCAAATCATCTGCAACTATATATTATAGTCCATGTCCAAATTTCTTCACACATCACTAAGTTTTGTTTCAAATTAGGAATGTCAGATTCCATCCAAAAATCATGTGGATTGTGCATACAAAAGGTGTGATACTTGATAAAAATTTACTTCTTGGTACAATCGTCACACTGGGATCACCATTTTCATTCCAAGGACCCCTCAAAAGCATCCTAGGACTTACAAATAGAAAGCCCTGGTAAATCCCTGCATCTTGGGCCTGAGATTAGTGAAAATCTGTAATGATTACCTGTTTTCGAATTAAATCTTGTTTACATAAACCACTTGTCTGAAATATGCATGAACTCAATTCATGGAGTCTGCTTGTGTGGTCGATTGTAATATCCATCAGTGATTGTCTGATAAGTCATAATAAATTATTGATTAGCTACTCTGATGCAATGATTGATTCTAACTGTCCAATTCTTTTCATGCTACTGTTGCAAGAAATATTGTATAATATGTTTAATTAATAAGTCTTTCTCTTAAGTGCCTGGCCAATCCTGGGCAGCCTACCATAGTTAATATTGCAAGCATGAGGAACAACGTGTAACAATTGAAATTTGAAAATAAACTTGGAACACAGTTGGGACAGACCTCAGATCCCGTCACAGATAAGAGGAATAGCTGTGTGCTGTAACGCTTAGGAATAATTCATGACCAGTATGTTATGCATACATTCCAAGATCATAATAAGGGTGACTATTGTACTTGGAAGCTGTCATCTACATGATGTAAGGACTCAACTCAGCAGGGGAAGTTGTTGACAGTTCCTCAGACCAGTAATGCTCCTGTGTCACTGTGTGTGCAACGCTTAGCAAATTAGACAAGGATCACCTTGATCTGCATTTCTCATCTTCAACTCACCTTGTGGCAAACTCTACTCCTATTGTGCTCTTGCTCTCCAAGTTGAACTCATTCCTGGTGAATCTTGACAGTAGATTACTCTTTCCCACACCTGAGTCTCCAATCAGGACAACTGTAACATAAAGTAACACTCAGTAATCACATGTCTCACAAAGAGGCAAGAAAGCATTTCTTAGGTCTGATGTCAGACAAAAACATTAATTCATTAAGCATGGTAAGTTTGGGAACTACCATCACCATCTATACTGTCAGCTTCCTGAGGCAAGAGAGTTAACTAACTATAAAAGTCCAGTTTCCACCCTTGCCGAACTAGGCTGGTATTATGGAGTTACATTTTGGCTGGCCTAATGAGTCTATGCATAGTCCAATCAAAATCTCGCAACGAAATCTAAATCCGGTTCCTAAACTGTTGTGCAGATTTCGGTCGATTGCAGGATTTGCAAAACATGTGCACCACCAACTCGTCAACAGATATTTTCCAAACCTTTCATGTTTATAATCAAGGTGCCCGCATGATTTGATGCACTTGGCAATGTAAGATCCGTTTTATCACAATATAGATCTTGATTATCGATCAGATCATCTTGACTGAGCACCGCCATTTTGTTTGAAACAAATGTAAGTGATCGAATCGGATTGGTCCATAGGAGAGGCTCAGAAGGGACAATCGACCGAAATCTGCATGACAGTTTACTAAGCTGATTTCGATTTCGGTGCGCGATTTTGATTGGACTTTGCATAGACTCGTTAGTCCAGCCAAAATGGAACTCCATAATACCAGCCTAGTTCGGCAAGGGTGGAAACTGGACTTTTTGTGGTCAGTTAACTCCCTCGCCTCGGGAAGATGATGCAAGCGACATGAGAGGTGGTATCTGATTGATCCATGGGAGAGGCTCGGAAGGGACATAACTCGTAATAACCACTGGTGGCGCTATGATCGAGCCCAGGAATTCCAGCCAAGTTCGGCAAGGGTTGAAACTAAGTATTGCATGAAGTGTTGCTCCTCAGCATTGTGTTGTGTGTAATAAACAGCAATGGTATGAATATCTATTTTGAGTTTCAGAAAGTCGACATGCACAATTAAGGTTAAGGTTCTGTTTGTTTGTTTTTTAACACTGCACTCAGCAATATTACAGCTACATGACAGCGGTCTGTAAATAATTGAGTCTGGACCAGACAGTATAGCATCTTCCCGAGGCAAGAGAGTTAACTGACTTTAAAAGTCCAATTTATGCTGTTCATTTTCAGAGCTTTTAGTTGGACTTGGAACAATAAAACCCCTGTGCGTTTATTTTGCCTGGTGGAATATTTACACCCCCACTCCCAAAAACAAAAACTTGCAGGTGTTATGGTAAGGTTTGTACTACCCAACATCAAACTGCTACCAAACATTACTGATGAACACAGTGGTGAAATAAGTACCAAAAATAAGTACCATAATATGTCAAAACACTGATACAGTTGAGATATCATAATAAAGAAAGCTGATTAATGATACATGTATATATATATGAATCAATGAGTGAGGATGTTTTTCTACCTCTTTTAGTTTTAGCAATATTCCAGCAATATCACCATGATCACGGCGAGAAACACCAGAAATGGGCTTCACACATTTTACAAATGAGAAAAGAACCTGGACCGATTTATATCAAAGCATCAAGGCCAGAAGACCCTCTTTGATTTCTAACATTTGAGCATCAACATGATCAAATAGCAACTACACATACAGAAAACACTTGCATGAGAACAAATCACAAACGTGAATAATCAACAGTTGGAATAAGCATGATATTGATAAAATAAATGTAAAAATATTGTACCATTGCTTACTTACATTTAAGAATAAAATCAACGTCATCGTCTGGAAAATATTGTTTCATAATCAAAAATGAATGGTAAAAACTGTCCATTTCTACAACTCCCTGAAACAGTTTGAGTTCCTTCTACACAAGATGTGATCAGTAATGACACAGTGGTAAAGTAGTGGGTATATGTAGCATATGGAGTGCAGGAGATCCTGTTTGTAAACAAAGTATGACTCACCGCTTATCATTACTATCAGGACTATTAATAGTCATTACATGAACAAGCCAGCCTGGAACTTGGAAATGAGTAAGAATCAAATAATAACCATAGCTCACTCACAAAACATAAATGACATTCATCATGTTAAATTGAAAAAATAAAACTAATAAAAAAAATTAAACAATATCATCATGATCATTACATTTCTGGAGCTCAAACTACCTTTCCCGGTTGCAAAGGGAGAGAACTCACTGCAACATGTCTCCTGTTTTGACAGTGGCATAAAATGTTTTCATTTATCGGATAATGTGTATTTTTTATTATTGCAATTTTTTACTTGAGTATTATCTGTAGGGATAATTACCAGAATGAACTGAGTTAACTGAACACCCAATAATCAGACAAGAAATTATCATCCACATATACAATTTCTTAATCTGTATACTTCAAAAAACATTTTCAACACAAGGAGATATTGTGCCATGCATGTATCAATAGTTTTAGATCCAAGTAGATAGTGATAATTTTTCTTTATCTTTCAAGAATTCTAATTTCTTGTATCTTTAGATCTTTTTACGATGGGCATATGATCAGCTGAAGATGGGCACAAAACAGAACATATGGATTAAAATCTTTCCTGAAAGTTCACTTGAATTAGGCCTACCAATGAAAACCAGCCGAGAGCAACCCAACCATGGGATATTTTCACACTTTAAATAGAAAGAGTCACACAAAACCTACTAAATTTTCAATGGAAGCAAAGACAGTGAATCATGCAGACCACAACAAACCGGGTGCACATGCATTTAGTTTGTTGCGTTCTCCATTGAAAATGTGGTTGATTTAAGCATTAAGATACCCACTTTATGGAGATTTCATTGTAATTTGTCAGGTGAGCTAAAAATGAACGTAGCTTAGCTTGTATTTCAAAAAGCATTGTAAATACATCAACCTTTCCATCATGTCCAGTGTTCAAAATTATGCGGCTTCCTGTGGCACTCAAGATCTTTTTCTCTAGGACTTGAATTCTATCCTTAATTATTTAACTGTTAACATCATGGTTATGACAAACCTCTCGACTTCCATGATTAATTTCCTACACTGCTATTAAGTTACAAACGAACCATATCAAAGTAAGAAACATCATGAACATAGTGGCAGTCACTGCGAGAGTTACACTTGTTAATTACTGAGACAAGTGTGGTGACAGTGAAAGTTGTTATGAGGTGAGGTGAAATTGGGTTTAACGTCGCATCAAAGATTATCACACTTACATAGCGACGTGCATCCACGTGTGTGTGTCTGCTTGTACTAGTCCGGACTAAAGCAGATTTATAGTGCTAGCTTACTGAGATACCATGCCGAAAGTTAACATGAATACCCCACTCAGACACAGCATACTGACTCCAAGCCAACCAGTCCTTGTTTTAGCCCCTTTATGCCAAGCTCCAGACAGGGTAACAACAAGTAACATTGTTTAACATATTTTGGTATGATGCCGGGGAACAAACCCCAGACCTTCCGCTCTCCCACGAGAGCTAGTTGTTATGAGGTATATTCCAGCTTTATGTCGATTGCCTGTAAATAACTGCATCTTGGCAAGACAAAGAAGTAATTGATACTACATAAGAAACATCCCACCATATAGGGGTACAATAACATGCTATCAACAAAGTCACAGACCCTGACCAATCAAATTTTAAAGCGTAATGATTCAAACAGTCATACTGTCTTGTGCCTGCAGGAGCCGAGGTGAAAACAAACCCTGGTAATGGGAATGTATTATTAGACCTTTAACATGATTGAGACAGGTTTTATGCCATCATATTTGATATGCCGATCTACCATGTCTATAATCATGATGATCCAGTATGTGGGAACCAGTAGATCAAAAAGTCTTTTAAAAAGACTACTTGTGGCATTAGTCATTTTCATACGTTCAATAATTGAACAGTGGGATTAATAAGTTTGACAATGAAAATCAAATGGGTTTTTTTAATGTAACACAACAGATGTCACCCATGACATTCCTGTTTGTAGTAACTTCATGAACCACATACACACCACCTTGTATCCAGTACAGGTTGGTAGCCAACTAGCTCATGTCCCTTCCTCGTTCACCATGTTAACTGTCAAACCTGTGTTCTACATGATAAATGTGAAATAATACAGAGTGACGTAGGGACAGAAAATCAATTAAGTTCCTGTCAACAGACAGGCTGGAAAGGCTACTTTGACTATGTAGTATTGTAGATGGCAGTCAATCACCAACAAGCATGTGGTTATGTAAGTTTCCTGGATGCAAATGATGTAACTCAAGCACAAGCATGACATATTAATGTGTCATGGTCACTTATACAGAATAGCTGTGGGGCTGACCCAGACCTTAGAAAAGTTATCATGATTCATGATCAGTTTGTGTGCCATGATAACTGTACAATTTGTACGTATATGTAACAATTATTATTATGGCTGGCTAAAAAGATTGATAATTCAGGGGTTTTGTCCACTAGTCCTTATAATGATAACATATAGCAAAACCCTTAAAATGGGCCATTTTCTACTAGCCCTTAGGATACCTTTACTATTGGGCAGTTCGGTAGTGCCAATTTCTAATGCTGTAATTGGAATTATAATTGCTGGGAAGACATATTAACGTTTATTGATATGAAAATTGTGTCACTGATAATACTGTACATAAACTATGGATAAATATGTTACCATTCACCAGTGACGTGAAATATGTTGCTTTGTCTCTGAACTTTAGGCATATTTGCTCAAAGTGACTTCACTGATATTAACAATAAGTGATCGATACTTAGTTAACGATTATCTATCTCTAAGATCTATATGGATAGCCAGATGTCATGATCAAAAGGACTAGTGGACTAAAAATGTTAGTTTCTATCGCCGACTTGTATTTCAGAAACATGATTTCTCTTTTGCAAAGGTATACAAAGTGAAGGGGATATTATCAATGATGGACAGCTCCAGAACGGTCAGTGTTGAAGCCAGCAGCTATGCAACAAAAGGTTTCAACTAATCCCTCTCTTTTGCTGAAGCTGTTTGTATCCCATCTGCATGATCAGGATGATGAGCATTCTGATTAAAGACACTCCGCCTCGTGACGATAAAAGTTGGTACTCTTGTTACCCTGCCTTGTGCCCAGCATCAAGGGGATAAAACAAGGATTGGTCGGATCTGTTGCATGGTACATCAGTGGGCTAGCACTATAACAGTGACATTCATCCAGACTAACACACACCCATATGTCACAATAATTGCAACAGGATGTTAAACCCCATTTCATCTCACCTCCTGATTACAGATGAGAATGACACTCTCTAGCAACTGAATATATAATCCTTCCAGTCCAATGGCCAAAAAGTGATAATTCACTGACATTAAACAAGACCAAAGATACCAACAAAGATTTGGGATAGCAGGCTTGTGCAAATTCTTCTACTCCACGGAGTACCAAAAGTTCCAGTTAATTAAACTAATGATGTCTTGCAATCTCTTGTACACATTGTCAAGATGTTTTGCAATGTATGCCCTTAATACCTCAGTGAACTTGGTCAACAACTGATATTAATTGGAGACCAAATTCCACCATATCATACCCCATTGCTGCGGTAGAAACTAACAGTTTTAGTCCACTAGTCCTTATAATGACAAAATATAGTAAAACCCTTAAAAATGGCAAATTTCTACTAGTCCTGAGGATACCTTAACTATTGGGCAATTTGACAAGGACTACAGGACTAGTGTCAATTTCTAACACTGCCATTGGGACCAATTGTTAGAATTGCTCCGCAGCATCCTTTGCTAGCCGCAAGAACCTACCAAATGGATCAGGTGGTCGGGTTCGACGACTTGGTTGATTTCATGTCATCATTCCCTGATAGATATTATGAGCAATGATCCGTGGTGTCACGGGACTGTCTGCTCCAGACTCTGACTATTTACAGGCCATCGGCAAATAGCTGGAATACTGTCGAGTGTGGCGTTAAACAACAAACATATGTATCATGATCATATTCCACCATTATTTCAAGATAGTGGAAAATGTTTATCTGTAGCAAACAGACTCCTTTTTCCATTCATTGGGAAATAATATAAAGTTCATGTTTTTGCCACCTGTGAAATTAATAATTTGACAGTGAACTGAATTTGTGACAAAAATTATGTTGGCAACATTTCGTATAAAGTTTGACTAGCTTCATGCCATGCATACCAAATGCACTGACACACCTGCTTGATATGCTACACCAGTCCTATAGTATAACCTAGATCTAATCACTCACGGAACAAGCCAAGGATACCTGTACCACTAATTGCATTACTGACATTTCAGACAATTTTTTTACACTTCCTAACCAATAGGATGTAAGATAAAGTCTTAGTAATCCATAAACATTTAAAATAAAGCAAAGATTAGATTAATGTACAAGCAAACATATCAGATCAAGTTGGCATTGTTTAGACACCTACAATGATCTAAATCAGGCTAAGAATGATTTTTCAGCAACTGTAATTGTCAGAAAATAATGTCTTATTTGGTTGCTGTAAAACACACTAATGATTGTACACACATAATCAAAAATAAATCCGATATGAAGAAGTACGCATATAACATGGGCCTTGACATATACGGGGTACACGCCCACCTAAATCCTATTGAGGCAACAATACAACCTCAGGTGACCCAATCGATCAATTTCCACAAGGCAGAGATACATTAGAATATTTACTTATGAATTATATCTGGTCGATTCGGGGATATTTTCTTTTCCATTTGCGTTTTTGTGACAATCGTTTGACACTTCACCCATAAACCACTTGGATCGTATATAGCAGGTGCCTGTTTGTTGGTCGTTTCCGTCCTTGTCAAACGAAGTCAAAATGGAAGTTGTGTAGCACCAACTCTCATCTAGCATACAAATCAACTAACAAGACGAACCGTATCTGTATACATCCACACTCCGCACTTAAACTGATAATCGATGTCGCATTTGACTGGTGTCACCTTACCTTTGAAAAGATAGTCATATTCATCATCCTTAGTGCCCATTTTCTTTGCTCTTCCGCTTGGCAGACGCTTGTAAACAAATGCCTAGATGTCCCAATAACAGATTATAATGGGAAACAATAATTATCTAGCGCCTACTGAAAACTTCAGCAAACACAGTTCAAATGGAAAAGTAACACCACAAACGCAGATGATTACGATTAAGGCCGATGACAGCCAATACTATCGTCGTCAATTCACTTCTCTGTAACCAATATGGCGGACCATTCAACGCCCCTTGGTCGACTGCGCATGGAATGACGTCACCACAGTAAGCGGAAGTGAAGTAGTCTGACAACAACGTATATCGAGTCTGGTTTATATTAGATACGAAAAGGATAGACATTGAAAGTAATTCCCAACGCAATAATAAATAAACATGTTGAATCATACTGCACCATACGCACAGCCGAAAAAAATGTAAGATTAAATAGTTTGATTTGGGAGTATCATCATCTTGCATGCTGAAACTATATAGATCTCTATAGATATCGAGGTCTACTGATCTACGCTTTATGTTTTATTTTGGATATGAAACATATTGCCTTCTAATTTCTTTATACCAGCTTCTTGGTGGACATATACCAGTCACGGGCTGAATTTAAAGATTTTCCCCAAATGAGAATAGAGGCACGTACTCTTTTAAAAGTGTCCTCCATTTATCCCTAAAAGGATTCCCGGGGAAGAATACAATAGTCCTCATGCCGTGACCTACCTTAAACAACATTCCCTTCATTTCAGACCTCTGGGGTGGAGGCTTAACTTTTTGGACTTGGCTGGAATTTATTGTGAAGACAATTATAGTGGATTACCGTCTGCCTTAACATAAAAAATACACCTCACCTTTCCCACCAAATGTAAGGAGGCGGCCATTCGTACGACTAATCAGGGTTTGCTGTACCTTGCCATTAACGGTGAAAACAAAAGCTAGCCTTCAACTACTCCAGGTATTTTTTATTTATGTTCCGAACTGCGTATGTTATGCAAATACCGTAGTCCATCTATAAGAGTTTTTTATTTAATCAACATCGGCTTATTTTCATTATGTGGGAGGAAATAATAATCAAACATAAAAGAGAGGAATCCCCTATTCTGTCAAAACCTTATCCCTAGACCCGTCCCTTCCTTGAGGCCCGGGCATCTGTCGCTCGGTCGTCTGAGGCGCAGAAATTCGTTGTGCAGAGTTGCGTCCCTTAGGTTTGCGAGCAGCATATATCGTGGGTTCGAATTCCGGTTCGCGTTGATTGTGTTTCTAGGTTTGAGGCATGCCCGTCCTCGTGGGTTTCACTAAAGTAGTACATACCTCCATCACTTCGGGATCCCCTCCCACATTTAGCTGACACGCCGTGATATAAGTGGAATACTGTTAATAGGCGTTAACTCACTCATTTACTCGTTGCGAAATGATTTCAAAAGACGAAGGACAGTACTCTTATGCAGAAAGTGTGACCCTTTGTCCCGAACAAAACCTTACTGTGAAGTAATGTTGGATATAGTGAGATTAAATGACGCGAATGCTTTGCGTGAGAATAGCGTCTACTTTTACTGTCACACTATCCTCCCACTGTGCAGGTATCTTTACAGTTGATATAGGGTTGGGTTTCCAAGCAAAGGTGATCTTATCTCAGGTAGCGAGCTGTGCAGAAGTGACGGCGTGTTTGACCCCGTGTTCACATAGTCATGTCAAAGGCAGCTATAATATAATGCAGGCCACAATCTGTCGAGGTATAGAGGCTATGTATACATGTATTGAATTGCCAAAGGGTCTATACACGATACATGCCGGATAAATGCATCGTCGACAAAATTATTTTAAAATTTATATTTATTTGAATTAATAAGTATAATTATATAGCCTACGTACGTGGTGCATAACCAAGTACAAATGGATAGACCCGTGAAGATTCCGGGGTAGAATAGGTCTTCAGCAACCCATACTTGCCGTAGAAGACGACTAACGGGGTCGGGTGGTCAGGCTCGCTGAGTTGGTTGATACATGTCATCGATCCCAATTGCGTGGATCGATGCTCATGATGTCAATCACTGGATTTGCCTGGTCCAGACTCGATTATTTTACAGACCGCCGTCATATAGCTGGAACATTGCTGAGTGCGGCGTTAAACAACAAAGAAACAAAACAAATAAATGGATATGTTGACCTTTGTGCGTATTTTTTGTTCGAAATGTGCCTCTGTTCACTCAGCATGAAGTGAATGGGTACCCGATAGGATGAGATGGTAACGTGCCGGTTACTATGGACACTTAATACTAAATATATTTAGGGTCCATGGTGAAACCCACGAATGGTGCTGACAAATCTCGAAACATTATTAAGGCGAACAGGGATATGCTGATCAATCAGTATGTGTCTGACATACGGATGAAACGTATTTATATACATAAGTCAGCAATGTGCCAGTTTTATCTTGTAAATAATGGAGCCCGGACCAGACACAATGAGTGACATGATCAACTCTTCACTCCATAGTGCATGGTCTGAGTTGTCATCTTATGTAGAAAGTATAAAGAGCACGAGACACAGGGGTGCGCATTGCCGTTTTGAACAGTATTTCAAGTCGCGTAAGATTATGTTGTTTTGTGGAAAGCACAAAGTGCTGCATGTCGAATGTAAACTTCCGGGCAAAAAAAGTTGTAAATTTGAACATTGATTAAGGACTGGCCATTTATTATAGCGGGGGTCATGGAATAATGTTACATGTAGACCTCATCCCCCGAACATAAATGACGAGTCCCTAAGTTTGCAGTGTTTCGGCGACTGTTTCCAGCCAAGTAACGTTTTGATAACGGTTGTAACTTTTGGGCCAAATCCAAATTTCAAGTGTATACTTTACTGCCCGGTTGTGTAGTTAGCAGTGTTAGTGAAACCCACGAGTGAGTGAGTGAGTTGGCTTTAACGCCGCTTAACAGTATTCCAGTTATATCACGCCGTGTCAGCTTAATGTGGGAGGAAAGCCCCAAGTGATGCAGGTCTCAGACGTTTACCACAGCGGTGAAACCCACGAGCATGTGTATGGTGCCGAAAAACCCGGAAACATAATCGGGGGCGAACCGGGACTCGAACCCACAGTCATAGGTTTCTGGCGTGCCCAAAGGGACGCAACTCTGCACAGCGAAACGACTTAGACGACTGGGCCACCCGTGCCCTCCTTACAGGATTGGAAATATTCCAGTTCCCTTCATCTTGTTCAAGGATGGGTAAATATACTCAGGACAATCCATGGACCATTATCGGGACCAACCTTGGACTCAAACCGTCTGTCGCGCGCCATCCCCCCGTCCAAAAGGGAGTATTTTAAAAGATTATAATGGGACGTACCTGACATCTCAGATATCATTTGCCGAGAATGTTTCGGTGGGGTAAATATCCTACATTGTGAAAAAAACTTGTACATACATATTTTGTATTCCTAATTCATTACCTACGAGGGCAAACATATCGGGGTTCATTAAAAATGGCATACGTGTCCTAGGGTCTTATAATGGCCCTCGCTCGGGAAATACCGGTATTTAGACACTCGTGTCGTAAACATAGTATGACATGAATACTTTTATAATATGCTCTATATATGGTATTTGCGGTACGGAATCCCATCTCTACAGCGGGTAATCATCTCTACAACATATACTGTCATGCTGACAATGATCAATGTTTCAGTCGTATTTTCAAACAGCGAAGAAATCTTGGATACTGTGTGTCAATATATTGTTTGAGTGAACTGGCTTATTTGTCATAATAGTGCCAATTATATGACTTGCAGCCATGTTTGTCTTCAGAAACACGGCGACACACGGGGAAACCCCTATCTAAGTATAACTGGAAATTATATCAACAGTTTACTGAAAAAGAAGGCATTGCATGGATGTCTAGAGCTAGTAGTTCCTGTTAGGTCACCTCATTTCCATATTTATCGGATTGGTTTAGAGCCAGTATATGATAAAACTTGATATCTCTTACGACGGAGATAGGGTGACCGATGTGGGTGAGGTCATGTATATTATTACCCGGCACGAATATTTATGAAAGTTGTCTCAGTAATTATACTTTCTCTTCATGTTGACTGGCTAGTTGTTTTCATAGTTTGCTAGGCGGTCACAACGTGACGTAATGTCGCTAAAGTCAGCCATTATTCACGACGTCACAGACGATGGTGTATGACGTCGCCTTAACTACAGTGTGACTGATCTGATTTTCAGGTTGTGAACGGGAAGCAACCATCTTTCTACATTTTCTTAGAAAAAAGAAATATCTGCAATAACTTACTCGACACTGGAGAGTACGGATTATCTGCCCCTTGCTAAATGATGTTGAAAATCCTTCGCGCAGGCTCAGGACTTGCATCATAAATTCACTCGGGAGAGATAAGCTGTATGATTCCCCGTAGCTCGTTAGGTATTCTCTAAATATCGATCGTACAAATAAATATACCCGTGTGCATTAACTGTTGAGAGTCAAGCTCGTTTTGAGGCAATGAATACATGATTACGCAATATAATAATAATGACTATTTGTAATGCGTTATAGCCCCTCCGTTCAAGCATGTTCATTACCCCCGTCAACAGATCAGGGTGCACTCGAATTCCTTTCTCAGCTCCCTGGGGAATATACGACGCAGGGTACATGTGAGGCTCTGAGAGATTAATATTCATCTCATCCTACCGGGTACCCATTAACTGCATAATTCGAACAAAGTCACTTGTCTAAGGAGACACCGCATGTGCTGCATGTGCTTCCGTGTGGGCCAGGACCGAAGCCGTATACAACTCTCAGGGGTCAAGCTGGTCAACACGGTCCCCCTTCCGACTTCTCTCCGCGGCCAACGTTGCCTTACACAGCCTGATTTGTGACCTGCATGTTGTGCATAGGACCCCGCACCCCACCCTCCTCCCGCCCCAACATAGGACACGCATAGGTCATTTTTAATTCTTTTTAACCACCTCCCCGGGGATTCTGAAAGGTTGTTTTTAGGAAACCGTGCACGGTAATGACTACACACTGAGATCAAGATATTGTATATTGTTGTTTGCAAATGATCATGATGATAATGACAAGCCGAGCCAATGCCATCATGACGTGTTAATACATTGGCTTGATCACCACACGACAATTCTGCCTGTGGAACCGACGAGCCTATGAAACACAACACTTACTACTGTAGATAATTCAAACTGTAGCTGTTGGCTGTCTGCTGCGGAATGCGTGGCTGTGGCTGACGTTCACGTACTCGTCACCTTAGGCAAA